ATACAATACCAAGAGAATTCCCATAATTTTCTCTTGACAATACCTAAAGATGGTTCACACTACTAATAGCACGTTTTTATTTCCAATTACGGTACTAACAAAACGAAAACTCAAAAGCATTCACATCTCTCGCAATACATTTATTCTATTAGCTCTTCGTTCAGTATAATACGCAATTACTCAACAGTAGAATTTACCACTTACAATTTCACTACCATATTTCTCCTTTCCCACTAACGGCGGTCTTATCACGTTGGTCCACAAGCTTAAGAAGTCTTATTTTACCGCGACTACAGTAAGATTAAGATACTTTGAAAGATCACATAGCTTTAAGAAAGCTGGGTTAATTAAGGCTGGCTCCTTAAATATCCTTGTTAAAAATTGCATGTCTTATTTCAGTTTCCTTTTTCTTTCTCTCAAAAAGGTTTTGCCGTAGTGCTGTTGGTTATTTACTATTTACAGAGAGGCTGTAGTCCGCCTGTCCTTCATTCCCTACAGGATTTGAATCCAATACACTTTACCACTACTGCAGCCGCCAGCATTACTGCAGAAAAACTGATGAGCGAATCTCTCCCAGCGGTTGTTACTTCGTATAATTCAGCTAACACAGCAACCCTTGGGGAGCTGCTTGTGGGATTTTTCAATTTTTATTGTAACTTCGACTGGCACCAAGTATTATCTGTTCGTCTTGCCGGCCCAAGAAGAGTACCTATTGATAAAAAGTGGACTCGTCCTTACATCCGAATCGAAGATCCTTTTGATCAAAAAAATGTCACACGCGCTGTGTATGAGTTCTCAGGATTCAGTGACATTAAGCAGGCGTTCAACACAGCCAAAACGAGGCTTGCATATGGTCAATGTCGTTTACACGAAATATTTTAGTTTCAATATGAACCCGGAAGTAAAGATTCATTTGAGTCTTGACTCACATCACACACTCATATGAGTATCTCTTCGATCAAAAACTGAGACCTTTTTTTTAAGAGGGAAATGAGTGTCTGAACTGTTTAGTTAACAAAGACACAGCTGGTCAAATAGTAACCCTGCTTCATTGACAATTTGTGGTATAAGTTACTACAAAACTCACCAAGTGCAAGTCAGTAAATTGTGGTGAGAGTCCTCTAAAGAAGTTTCCTCTCAATTGATCTTCCTTCCAATAAGTAAGGGATAACGGATTTGAAGGAACGAGAGTTGACTCCCAACCGTTCTGATTTAAGTAGGAACTTCTTACAGAAGTGGTGATAATCAAGTCAGTCTTTTCAGAATTTCACTAAAAAACCTTGTTGGTATTTCATCGATCTCGTGGCTGTTGTAATCATACCTTGAAATTTTCCAAAACATTTTTCACTTAAAGCAACTGATGTCAATACCATAACTTCGGCTCTATCAAGAAACAATCGTTTGCATGACTAAGCAATGGAGGAAGGTCTCAAATAAGAGCGATGGCATCACAAAATTGACCGCATTAATGAATCAAACAAGGTGCATAAGGCAACACAGCAAGTTTGGCTACAAGCCTACAAAGTGCCCTACTCTACTCCAACATATAAACTGAGTAAATCGTTTCTTGGCACTTGTCGCATGCTTAATATTAAGTAATTCATTAGTTCGAAGCTTGTTTTCGTGCTGTTTCCCCTTCCTACGTGATTTGCGACAAAAATTTTAGTCCTACGATTAGGATTTATTTAGTAACATTGTGATCGCTAAATTATTTGAGACTTCAGGGAAAGACTCTAGATACGTTCATATCTGGATACCTTCCAGACCCTTTTGGCATATTATACTATGAGCAAAAGTCGTTGGAGATTTAAGCAGAGTACTTCAGCCTGAAATGAAGCTTAACAACAGGTTGTTATTGTATCAGTTAATTTCGACTTTATTCTAACTTTTCAAATAAACATTGACATTTTTTTTGCTCACCTTCAAGGTAACCACTGTTGGGGTATCAAGATGACATTACATAAATTAATAGTTTTGTTTTTAACTCTACTCATTCACAGCATGTTTTTTCATGTCTGATTTGTACGATAAAAGAAACCTTCTATGAATATATATACAAGTTCGCACACGCTGCAACTTTAACGAGTGCAATTTACTTTAATCTATACTCCAACTCAGCAAATGGTCCTCCTGAAAGATCACTAAAAAAAGAGATGGTAAGGTCATCATGTTCTTTGTGGGAGACTCCATCTTCTCCATACCAGGTTGGCGGACCTTCAAGAGTGACGTAGAAAAAGTACTGTGCATCTGCTTGCAAAGTAAGACTAGGATTAAATATAACGCGAATGCCGTGATAGTAACCCATGTCACTCCGCATGGGCATAGATGTAAAAATGTCTGTCACAGAAGCCAAAAATTAACCATAGATATCCAAGACTTTCAGAGATACCTTATATTCATTGTTTTTACTACCAAATAGGCGAACGGCTTGAAGTTCAATGGTCTTGTTAACCGAAAGAGTCATTCGATCAGTCGAGAAGAGATCACCATGGCCGGCGGGATCTTCCAGCCCGAATCCTAATGCTGTGTACATGCTTATTCGTGAGTTTCCCCCACTTCTTTTCGTTTCAAGAAATCCAACTGGATTAGGAAGCACGCCATTAAAGTACTTCATTATGTCGTAGACTTCTTTAGGGGTCAATATCTCACAGTCAAGAACAACCCCTGCGAACTCTTTCTCTTCCATGACCGGAAAGCGAATATTTGCAACAACCCTTTCTCCAAGGATTTTCCTTTTCACAGACCCTTCTACTGCCAGGTTCTTCTTTTCACATTCTCTTCCGGCCCAGCAGTCCACAGCTTTAAATAACTCCACTTCTGTAACATTCAAAGACTCTCTCTCCACTAATTCCTCCAGTAGAGATTTTTCGATTGTTGTGAAAGCATCCGATTTCATAGCTTCGTCTCCATGTTCATCGATCACTTCCCAGCATTCGTCCACCAGATTTTTCTCTTCGTAAGTCTGTGCTTCTGGCAGGACATGAAACACATTTGATGCATCAAGATTCTTTCCTAAGAAATCTGTGCACTGGTCAACAAGAGAAGGAAGCATATATTTCTTCGCTAAATACAACACTTGCATGACATTGTCGGCGTCCAAGTTCACTTCATCGCTGTAAATGAAGCGAAACAACTCCAGCAAGCTTGGATACTCGCAGTCAGAGGAGTTGATGGAATTCGTCGTCTCTGCTAATTCACCGAAGAACATGGCGTAAAATACTGGGCTACTGATCGCCAACACGAACTTGTGAGCTGGAATCGTCTTCATACTTTCACCCCCGCCCTCAGGGTCTCGCACAATAAACTTCACATCGCTTAAGAGCTCGTTGTTAAACATAAACTTGCATCTTTCCCTGATCGTATACCTCTCTCTCTCGCTCCAATGATCTTTGCTGCCTGTACCGAGAGACATACTTTCTTGTATGCATTCAAACAGAGTCAGATATTGATGAGAACGTTTCGTTCTGTCTGCTGTATAAATTGCGACTAAACAAAAGAAAGTCGCGAGTGAGGCAAAGACATGCGCTCATGGTCACTCGAGTGTGAAATGTATTGCTTTTCATCGCGGGCTTAGACTAAACTCTGTTTCTCTCTGAAAGGGAACTCTGTGCTCTCTGCTTGTCGTCAAAGGTGAAATAAAAAATTTCATTTACCGCTGTATGTTTTTTTTAATGAATCTACTCTTGAGGAGTACCCGAAGAAGTACTGTGGATCACAAACGTGTGAGCAGAAATAGGTTTTATACTTTAACTTCCGCCTTCAGCATCTCGCACGACAACATTGACACTGTCGAAGGGAAATTTTTTTGAATACATTTTTTCGGTGAACTCAATCTGTCACACTCTAATGATTTTGCCCAATACATCGACTGACAAACTTACCTCATCGTTTTTTTAACTGAGTCAGTTGAAAAAGACCGGTCCGCTTCGTTCACGTATGTTAAATTCAACGTGTATTTGGTAAGCTTCTTCTGATTTACTCGTTGAACTACATGACAAACCTTCGACACAATAGATCAAGTATGTTAATGAACCAAACCAAAACCAAAACATTTCAATAACTCAACGATGTTAGGGAGGGGTAGCTAAGTCACATGTCCAATCTCTTGGGGGCTCTCACGATTCGTCCCTTGCAGGCTCTGGCCCCAACAAGGTGACGGCGAAAAGGAATTTCCTCACAATTACTTACCTACTCCTCAGAATCATTCATCCGTCATTTTTTTTTTTGTTTTTTTTTTTTTTTTTAAAGGGAAGGTTCATATTTTTAACGTACGGGATGAAAAGGGTTGACGTAAAAACTGCAGCCGCTAAACACTGAGAGACTTGCTTACATTTGACTCTGGCCCAAACTTCACAGATAAAACCAAGGCAGTTAGAGGAAGTGTGGTTTTCTTCCTATCTCTTTTGTACGGATTATAAAGTCACTGTTACGCACAATAAATACAGCAAATCGAAATCATAATAATAGCATAACTGCTTTTTAGAATGGACACTTTTGCATGTTCGCAAGTACAGTAGTTTATAATAGCAATCCTCGATCTGGCTGTAATCCTTAAAATTTAGTTTAGATTACTGAATATGATTAATAATAATACATTCATTCAATTCAAGAAAATTATTCATAACCCCTGCCCTGCGAAACTTGTTCATTATTTTATTTGCTCATTTCCCGCCTCGAGCTGCTGCTCATTAAGAGTTGTATAACAGAGGAAAATATCAATAGTGACATATTCTACGTCCTCAAAATTGTTGCTGAGATTGGTGCACAGAAATTAAATGAAAACTTTCGCAACCAAGGATAAATCTCATCTGAAGGAATATCCAGAATTTTTTTTCTTTTTTTTTTTTCATCTGAAAATCTCCATACTAAATACGATTACTGGAACGTTGGCCATTGTTATGAGACAAAACAAGAGCTACGTCATAGAAGGTGGAGCTATAAATTTCAAGGAGGAACGGAGAAATCGAATGCATTTCTTTATTAAGTGAGGCAATCCGCTCTTTCCAGATTTCTCATAATACACTTTGTGATCCAAAATTTTCAGTTTATACAAGCCTGAGTCTTAATATTTATTGACACATACACGTCTAAGAGGATTTTAAACATCTAAAAAAGAGGCTTGGAAATTGTAGAAGTTATGAATTGGCATCCAGAAAAGAATGAGCTGTATTTGAATGAATTAATATATTTCAAGGAAAGCTCTCTAATAATTAAACTGCTATTTATGTCAAAAATGAACCATCTAAATCCTCCGTCCGAGGGAAAAAGTAAGTAAATGAAATAATTCAGTGGGATCTTGTGATAATTGTGGATTGCATTCACACCTCAATTTCAGGGGATGCGCACTTTGTCCCGACTGAAAATGTGCTCCCATAACCAAATTGAATGTCATTTTATGGAGTAGCTTTCTGTAATTCGTTGTACCGATTGCAAGAAGTTTCCTGCAGTAGTCATGATCTCATGCAAAGCGTATTATCATCCTCCTATCCTAGCTCCTGAGGAACAAGGAATCTGAATCTCCCTTCCTAGTTTGTTGGAGGGAAGCTTGATTCTTTTCCTCATATTTCACTGACACCGTTCGCCATACCGGGGTGTCTAAACTTTCTGAAATATCGGGGTTCCACCAGTGCTCAATAATGAGTCAAAGAAAGCTCTCTTGTATAATTGCTTACTTAATCAAAACTATAACAAAATTCTCGAACGCGATTGGTTATCACCAGCCCGATTTGAGCAATAAAAGGACAGTGTACGCGTCATGCTTGTAATTGGACAACGTAATAGGATAGGGGACACGTCATGCCTGTGTAAATGGACAGTGCACGTTCTGTACGCGCGTTGTTGTGGCCCATTTCGCCGAGTTAACGTTGTTTTTTTTTTAATGAAAACGTGTAACCAATGTCTAGTTTCTTTCTTAAATTTTGTGATAGTTATGATTAATTGGTATCAGGAATTCGCGTCGTCCAGTTCTGTCTGTAATCATACTAATGATTAACAAATCGAACTCCCGCTTCGCGATCATCCGATTTTGTCAATCGCTAGTATGATTACAGACAGAATTGGACTCCACGCATTCCTATTACCGCTGGCTATGTGAATGTTGGATGACGAGTCCTGAACAGGATGCAGTCGTTTAAATATTTAGTAGTTAAATCATGTAATGTGTTTCTCCTTGTGTCGGTTATCATTCCATTTCAAATCAAAAGTAGTATACATATACCAGCGTTCTGTTACAAATACTGCAATTTGATTAGCTTAGCCGCTCGCTATCTAATCCGTGATAGATAGCGGGTTAAGTGCGTGGCCTAACAGAGTGCAGTTGTAAATAAAAATTTAAACATAAGCCATTTTTTGACAAGGTTTGAACGACTGGTAGATTTATAATGAAACAACTATGTTATTTGGTCTTGATTACTATGCGAGGATATTATTTCCGGCAATGCCTGCGCCAATTATCACGCGATTAAAACCCGGGCGCATAATCGAATTGTTGATCATAGGAATTTCTAAGTATAGTTATAAGTTACTTAACTATACGCTCACGGCTGTGGCTAAATGAATATATACTTCTTTGCCCTTCTTGAGCTTTGTTTTCCAAACTCACAGGAGGGTTTTTTGGGGCCGAAAATTGCATCTTAATGTCCGGATGCCAAGACAACATCTGTTCATGTACTCTTTTCCAAGCCATGCTAACTCCTTTCGCCAATGACCTCCTTACGATTTGTCTTTTGTTGTTGTTGCACTAAGGGCGATGGCGTTGAAAATTTCCAAACGAAGCCGAGATTCTAAGTGTTACGTATCTGAACCACTAATTATGTCATGTTTAGATTGTGCACACAACGCATGTCAACGCTTTCGGAATGTCCGTGTTCTGAGGACAGTAAGATTTATTGCACTTGTACGCAACAAACTGTATGAACGGGCCGTTTGTATCAGTGGTATTGGTACCAGGTATACCATCCGCGTCGTAATCGACACAGATGTGCTCCGATCTTGCAATTCCACCCTGTTTTGTCATTAAAACTCCGTGATACATTTTAAACCAGAGTGGGTAACACGTATTGCGTCCCGGAGTGACGAGTGTGGCTGAACGTTTTTCGCGCCTGCACACTGCGCAAGGGACCTGGAACATTTCGAGTTCTCTGAAGTAACTTGGATCGATTTCCCTGAACAACTTGCATTTACTTGGATACTGATTGCAATTTTCCTCATTAAACGGTCTGAAAACGCTCATATTCGTGCCGAATCGAACGGGTGATAAGTAAAGTCCACTTGTCATGTGTCTTGTATCAGTATATTCAAAGCTGTCAGGTACACACATATATTCTGAACCAACGGCAGGATTGGTTTGTGAATGCAAGGTAGCCACTCTTCCTATACGATAAAACATTTCAATAAATGTTAATACTTTATCTCGGTACCTGGTCTTGAAGACGGACTGGGGCATAGGAAAAGACCATAACTAGAAAAAAAAATCAGACGACACTTTTTTTTTTCAGAGTGAACAAGCCGAAGCCTGATGTGTGCGGTTACTATCTTGTATGCAAAAAAACAGACACAAAGGAATATAACCTGAACCTTGTTTTTAGATGTGGAATCTGGCACAAAGAAAACGTCTGCACATCATCACACATTTTTTTAATACTGACGTGTTGTAGATGAAGAATTTATGGGTAGCATCTTTAACGAAAAATGGACAGAAAAAATGTTCTTTGACCACTCAGAGTGACCAGGATCTAATTTCTCCATACAGTAGGACTCCGAAACGCATATAAGGGGCACAAGAATAAAGGAGATGATTACCACCAGAAGAAGCTCTTAATTTCTTAGCAAATTCTCCTTGTCAGCACCTTAGGAAATGTATGTTGAACAGTATGGAGAATATGCATACTGATGTTTGGGTGTGAACTGTTCATGTCGGTCATTATCAATCAAATCAAGTGTTTGAGTAAGATGACCACAACTGATTATTTTTCGGTAAGAAAAAAAAACCTTAAGCTAATAAGCTATTCTGTTCTGATCTCCTGTTTTCCGGACAAAGCATTGATGTGTTAAAGAAAAGGTAGCCATCTATCATTTGTGGAAGTAAGAGGCTTGAAATTGGGGACGATGGGGATTTACATCTGGTTCGGTGAATAAAGCAAACAGAAGAGCCGTTAACTGACCTGAATACACAGTGTATATATCTGATTCGTCATCGCATTTTGACTTTCCCCAGTGAGTGTAGATGGTTGTCCGTTTTCGATTTGAGCCTTTTTGGCTCAACGCCATTTGAGCGTTGAGGTTTTCCATGCCTTGGCTGGACTTTCTATTAAGTGTCGGTTTGGTGGAAGGCTTACTTGTTGAAGTAGTTCTATCTCCTTTTCGCTTATTCTTTAAAAGACCTGTTCTGCCTGTTTGAAAACAAAATAGGAGGAGCAATCTTTACTTACTGTCAATCACTTACGTGGCTTATGGTTGCCAAAGCGACCAGAGCAATGTTAAATCCACCTAAATCGTGGATGGGATACTTGTTCCTAATAAGGTTACTCCAAGCATTTTGGCGAGTCTTCCCACCAAGTTACTTAACGCAGCCCCCATTTATAGGCCTGATTTAAGGGCAGGGGGTGAGGGTGGGGGTGGAGAAGGGGGGGAGGGGTCAGTCTGATTGTTGGGTGTGGTATCTTAAATTCAATAGTAAGTCCACACCGCGAAACCTTGATAACCATCCTCAATTTGGCGCAATTTATGCTTGGCTACCTCTCCTTGTCAAATTCCGAACTGCGAACAGTTTTCTTAGAGAGACGTTCGCAGAAAGGCGTGAGTGTAACAAAATGTAATTTTCGTATTGGATTTAAGCCTATTAAATTGGTTTTGAGTGAAATTTTCTGAATGAAATTACTGTAATCAGTGAATGAAACATCTCTAAGACTTATCTTACCTCCTGTCCTTGAAGGACATGGCCTTCCTCTTTCGTCAGTATTGTTATCTGACGTAGCGCATTGTAGTCTAAAAAGAATTGCAGAAGAAAGTTATAAAGCGTCGTAAAAAAAGTTTGTGTTAACTGGAGAATTGACATAGCTTAAAAAAAGAATACTTGGGTTGCTAGGCAATGACTGGAGGTTATCTGATATCCCTGAAACCTTTTCACCCCTGAAAGTGACTAGCAGCTAATTTCTCCTTACAATACCACCGCTGAGTCACACATTAAGTCAGGGGTCAGGAGAATAAAGGAAATGATCACCAACTATTGGAGCTCTTGACTGTGGAATAAATTCTCCTTGCAAGCACCTCAGGAAATGTATAGAGAACAGTATGGAGAATATGCACACTGATGTTAGGTCGTAAAGGGATATGAGTCCGTTTTGCCATCCTAAAAAAGCTGAAAAGGAAGGCATCAAACTAGTTTGTGGTCAGAGTTAGCTAGATCTTGAGCTATAAGTTCCTTAAAGTAAAATCTAAGTAAAGAAATGTCTTTGTAGTTGAGCTGCAAGAAAAGTTAAAATACGAAGTTTTTTATTCAATTGTGACAGTTGGCAAGAGCACTGTAGAAAAACGCTTGAGATGACTATGACTGGACTGGATATTAGACATTTTATGAACTGAACAATCTCGGTCAATAGTTGGCTCAATAATCAGTCAAAAATTCAGCCAGAGGCTTGATGAAAAAGTGAAAATACTCAGAATGCTCCTTTTGGTTTGCGAAAAGCTACAATGAAACTAAAATTGTGCATTCAAAAGTCAAAAGGCATTCACGTGTACTTTATGTGAATATATTTTCCTTCGTGGCCCTGTTCTGCACAAGGAGAGAATGATCAACTGTATTTACATATTTTGAAATTTGGAATGTTTTGTAGTAAATTTAGCTTTCAGCACATAGATTTTTCTTAACTTGTGGAAAACTGGTGTAATTGAATTGTCGTTACAATCTATTAAAGCATTTTTCTCTTGTATTGCCAGAAACATCTGGATACAATTTGATGTAGAGAATCTAAGTGCATTAAGGCCCACGCAAGAAGACAACAACCCCAGGGTGTGAAATGAAGTTTTTCTATGATAGCCACTTGGCTCCCAAATTTTTCAAAGAGGTAGCCAATTCGAAAAAAGTTGGTCGCCAATTTTAAAGACAAACGAAACATTTTTTACGCTGTCAGCTTTCTAGAAAGACCCTCCAAAATTAAGTTAGGAAAAAGATCTTTAACATGCTGCAAAGTGGACAGTAGGATGGATGATATACAACGTTCAAGGCGTGTAGTTATCGACCGAGATGCATGTGCAGCGTTTTTGAAACAAACTTAACCAGGAAGTTTGCCGCGGATGTATCTTTTAATTCACTATATCTCTAGGGAAGGTCCTGATGAAGCATTTTAGTCGCCAATTTGGCGACTAATTTTCAGGATTTGGTCACCAAAGTGAAAAATTTAGTCATATTGGCGCCTGTATTAGGCGCAATTTCACGCCCTGCAACTGTGCGAAGAATTTGCAAGCAATATAGAAAATTTACGGGATTATTTGAAGGCGGTCGTTTAGGAGTCTTCCGCTTACAACAGTCTTTAATTCCTTTACAAAGAGCTTCAATTTTATTGAAAATGTTTTCCCTTCGCTCCGTTGTTTGTTCGCTAAACTGGATCATATCCTTAATAATAATATGAAAAGCTGCAAGAGACTTGACTGAAAATGTTTACATGAAGAGCAAAAATCAGACAGATTTATCGGAAGAGACTCCAGACAAAAACTCTCTATTATTTTGTCTTGGAAAAAAACTTAATATAGTAAAATTATATTAATATCCTGAAAAACGTTTTCATGAAACTAAAGACTAAACAACGGTAATCTAGTGAAAAGAAAAAAAACTCGTGGAAGGGTTGTTTTCAAAACCAAATGGACAAAATGGCAGCCAAATAATAAGAAATATACGTGACAAACACGAGTAAGCGATCAACACAGTGGGTCTCTCTAAACCTGACGGTAATTTTTCTATGTAACACACGTTTTTAAGAATTCAATTTTCCTTGGAAAAAAAAATAGAAAAAAACTTTTTCTCGCAAATTACTGGCCTCTTTCCCTAGGGGGGATGTAATCCAAAATTCTAAAAGGAAACGATACACAAAAAAGTCCTATACAAGAACTATACCATTCTTACATTAAGAGTGAATAAGACGGAGGCTCGCTGCTCACGCAGTCGTTAAAATACCTCTAGGATAAAAAACAAATGCAAATTAATCTGTTCCCAAGCTAAGGTGGTCTTCAGATTATTACCACAACTGCTCCAATTTCACACCTAAGACCATTTGGTAGCATTTTAAACGATAAGAAATACTGCCCACTCGTTTTTCAAATTTCGGCTATCACAATATATTAGTTATTCATAAGCCTTAAAGGGATTTTGAAGTTACGGATTGTAAAACACCTGTCCGAGAACATTCTATTTGCTCAATGGACTAAGTGTTACAAATAATCTCCTAACACAATGGGACGTAGTAATTAATTGCTGCGCATTTCCATCAGGATTTCCATATCTATTCTGACCGAATAAAAATGTCGGTCATTTTACGACCAGCTAAAAGGTTTAATTAAAAATAATAGGTTTTCGAATAATGAAAAAACTCATTAATAACCCTAAAGACTTTTGGTGTTTTTTTCCCTTTCTTTCGAGAAAAATAAATCCGTTTTGTTATTTTTTTTCTTCGAGAAGAATTAAGCAAAAATTCACGAAATCGCTATGGCGTCTTGTGAGCTACAATACTGTCAACTTCGAATTTTAAAAGCTGTCACTTTACAATTAGACTTGTAAACAGAGTCACACAAAACCGCTGATGAAGTCATAAAAATTTCATTAATGAACAGGTAGCGAGGTGAAATAACAACCACATGGTACTCGGCTATCGCGCCTTACAAGAACGTGACTAAGCGCCCTGAATCTAAAACATGGTGGTTAATGGACATAACCTTCCGCTGTGTGTCACTGGAACCCTGTTAACTCAGAAAATTGCTCAAAACCCCGCTGAGAATCAATCAAAACGACTGCTGAATGAAATGATTGCTTTGTGTAGGGGAAGATCGTATAGTTTTCAAACAACCACAAATTCTCGCCAGAAGAATTAAACTTCTTTACGCTCATTTCTCAAGGTTCGTTCTGAAAAAAATTGCTCCAGTGAGTTGAAATGTGCGAGTAAGGTTGAACTACTGCCCTAGTCTAACCATTGCGCTGATAACAAAACAGAAGTAATATTGTAGTGGCAAAGTTTGACCGCAGTGCTATGTTAATGTCTAGAACACCCACTGCGAAGAAGAACATTCTCCGATAAACGCTTTTTATTGCAGTAAATTACATGCAAGAAATCCCATTTCTGCCTATTAAAACATGTAACCAAAATGATCAAACGCATCCATACACGGTAGGCTAGATATTGAGCTGTCATCTGCCACAAACACTGCGGAAGTCTTGAAACAGGAATTTTTACAAGCTCAAACATAATTTCAAAATTTATATCTGTTTTCGAGTTCACAAACGCCACTGTCCTCCAAACAACTCAAGACAATTCTTACCTCATCTCCAGAATCAGAATATTTTCTTGCAGAGATTCGACCATGGATTCAAGCTTTTGGACTCTGGACTTTGCGTTTTCCAAATCAGTGCTAGTTTTTCCTTGCAGAGATGCGAATATTACAATGACGATGACCACAACAAACGCTACAGCACTCCTAACAATCCAGGGATTTTTCAGACTTGTACAACTGGATTGTTCGGCCTTTGGTTTAGGAACCTTAGGCTGATAAACATAAGATCTGTTCGGCGTATTTAGACCGCTGCTGTGAACAAGTAAAGGAACTTTTTTTACGGTGCAATTAGACGATGTTGTCCCTGAATTAGCAGATATATCCTTGGTAAAGGATGCTTTTAACTTCGACTCTTCAGTCTTCATCGTAAACTTCTCAACTCACTTAATCATATCGCGAATAGGTTCTGAACGCCTTCAGTAGTTTATCTCGCCCACATCTGTGTTTGGCGACAAACAACATGGGCTTGCTCTCGTGCACTGAGCGAGAGTGGACTTAAAAATGTCTGAGAAAGATCAATGCCGTCGATAAAAAATGTCCAATTGTGTACTTCATTATCTCAATGCTGAACAAATCAAGATGCAGTCACGCTTGAGATGTCAAATGCACCTGCTTCTAATAAACTTCCTGGCGAATCAAGTGATGTTTCGAGACATTCACGCATAGCAATGTTGAAATAAGAGCCCGTGGCGCGGAGTCGGCCCTTTAACAACGCGTTTTTCATTCTTCAGTATTCATTTGAAATGTTGCTTGTGGTGCCTGTTTGTGCAAGGACGTCTCAACAATCAATAGAATTGGTAAATAAATGATACGAATTCATTAATGTTTATGTAACTCGTGCCAGCTCAGCGCATGCGTTTTCTCGCTTTTTTTTTTTTGAACGGGAAGTTATAAAAGATCAACGAAAGGAAGTAACAAGGAATAAATGGACGTTTGAAATTGTCTCGGATAGTTTTAGTGAGGGAAGAACCACTGACATATCCATCAAAATTACCAAAATACTAACCATTTTAGGTATAACTCACAAACTGCACAATCGGAGATTTTACCTTAGTTTTCCTACTGTGAGGCCTTCTTACGGAGGTAGATTATTAATTTCCTACTGAAATTTGTAAATTCGATCGCACTGTATTAACATGACAAAAATTGACCTCAGAATGACGACTGACGAATTAATCGTCAGGGATGAAGTGTTATTAAAGAAAATGCACGAGGAAAGACTTTGCCGATATCAGACAACAAAGACAGTTTGTGTGTTATCTGAGAAGTTATGTATCAACCTTCATAAAACAATTTCTCAGTTCCACCTTCGATATACCTTTAATACAGAACAAATTTGTTAAAACGCTAAACCACTCCTCTCTAAATTAGGACGCCGGCTCGGCGGAAAAGTTTTGGATGTTTGCGGTTTTCAGCGTCATCTAAATGCAATAACTCGAGGTTGTAATCTAAAGATGCGGTTTCTCATTTATCTTATCTCTAGCGGGTGGTATTTCAAAAACACGCAATTAATCGTTTCTATGTAGCACGTCACCGAAAACTGGACATTTGCCTCGGTATGGAGAAGAGGTACTGATTGATATTCAGTGTACACTAAGATAATAAGTCACCACTGGCGTAAAGGTAATAACTGCACTGCTTTTAATACTTATAAAGTACGGAAACCGGAGTAATCAGGAATCATTATTTACTCTAAAGAACAGGCTTTCAAAAAAGGTGCCGCTAATTGTTAAAAAGATTCGGCTGGCGACATGAAGAGAAGATTTTAATTAATATCCGCCCCGTTATTTAAAGCCATTAAGGAAAACATAGTCTAACAACTGCAAGATCTCAAAGAGTTCCCCTTTCTTATTTATCCGCTTATTAAAGAGGGCACGCGTTTGAGAAAACATCCTTGTCTGTACTTGCAAAACAGTAAAAGAGATTTTTCAGTGCCAAAGATACATCCACCATTATTTTGATCTGATAAAAACATTCACTGAATCTTCAATTTATAAAACCCAATTAACCACTTGTCGTAAATAATACCGCCGCAAGTAATGGAGCAGACATTGTCTCGAGGCGACATAACTCTAAATTTCGTTAGTTACTATACGGCATTCCTATTTAGGAAACAACTAATTCTAAGTTCCTGACCATTCGGTTTTTTGGCATTATCACGCCTGTACCTTAAAATTTGCCTATTTTTCGGGTTCAAAAAAGTCTTACCAAAAAACTTTCCTTCCAAGCCAGATATTATTTCTTTGATTTGAAATTTTTCATTTACGTGTTGAAGGTTTTTTCCCTTTTTTTGCATCACTTTGTGATGTCAAATCATATGGATTTAGTTTGAGACACCAGAAATCTAACAAAAATCTAGAGTCTGTTTAACACAATGAAGTGCCTCTTTTAATTTCCAAACTCCTTCCCTCCAAATTTATGTTTTGTATTATTTTATATAAAAATATTGTACAACATCTTTTGTCAAGGGTAGGCAAAATAACCTGTTCTTTGCTGATCAGTTTGTAGCGCAGGTTTGTGGCATAAAGCAATGGACATTTGTTTAGAAGAAAATGATGTTGACGAGCAGTCAGTTAATGAACTCCCTCGGCCGGAAGCTATCCACTATTGTATACCTCAAGGGATTGAAACCAGTGAAGAAAACACACGTTAACACTTCATAACAGAAAAATTAAACAACCATTATAAATTCCTGAAGGTAAAGGAAACTGAACCTTCTTTCCTGGTTGTGTGTCGTAGATTGTTAGATTTCGTTAGAGTGCCTTCATAAGGACATAAGAGAGACAGTTTTTTAATTTATTATTATTATTATTATTATTATTAAATTTTTTATATTTTAGCAGGTTTCTTTGTCGAGTTGTTTGTTTTTCAAACGATCTTTCATATTTTCCTAAGCCAAACACTTGACATTCGACACGGAGAAAAAAATAATTGCAAAAAGTTTTAGGCTTCATACCAGATCGATTTCGAGCCCAAAATACTTTTGGCTTCGTGTTTGTGTTCAAGAGGCCGGCTAACACACCGCTGAGAGTATCCGATATGGCTCCAGGCTCAAGATTGATATATACAATAGCCAACGGACAACGGCCAAACAGACTGGGAAGGAATTTCGGTAGCCATGGCCCGTAGTTGAAATACAAGTAAATTTTTTTAGTTGAGCGGCTCCAAATCATGAAAAGTTCCTTGTTGTGTTGTAACGTGTAATCTTCGTGGACAGCATCTGGTGTGACATCATTGGAAGCGTTTAAAGATTCAAAAGAATGTTCCAAGAGATGTAGGAGAATAGTGAGAAAAATTCTTTATGAGTTCTGCAAATCACTTTAAGGCAAGCAGACTGAAAAGTTTGCTTTTTTGCTGTTTCAAATATCTTTCAGAAACGGAAATGACTAACATGGAATATCACGATTTTTCACCCGAAAATCGTTAAGTTTCTAGGAACGAGAGCGGATCTTGTTTGATGAATACAACCTATAAATTTTCCCCGAGTCAAGATTCAAGGTAAGAGCTTTCTTCGAGTATCCGGCTTTCAAAGGTGGTTAAAGAGCCGGAAATTTTAAACGATGTAACACAATGACATATATTAACATTTTTTTTACTATCTGTGTGCAAATCTGTCTTAAATTCAAATCTGATGGAATTTTCAGGTGTCACCATTTTTTTCTAATAAAAAATAATCATCTTGATCTCCGGCTAAATTTGATAACAGGCTTAGAAATGTGTTTCAGTTAAAGCATTTCAATTCCCTTTAAAATTAATTGATTTTGTGTGTTTTCTTGATCATCCTTTTAACAAGGTTAAGATTGATCCGTATCGTAACCAAATAATAAATCCCGCAAGCCCTCTTTTGGCACGCGAGAAAAAAACTAAAGCATCTAAACAAAAAACCCAACTTTAAAAGTCCAACACACAAGGTGTTCTGATATGTATGGAAGACAGATGTTTAAATTAACCAGTACTGGAATGTTGTGATACCCAAAAACATGTTTCGAGCATATGAATTGTTGCAGAAGATCTACAGTTGCCAGACCTCATGCAAAGATTACAATTTTACAGAAACCAGCAACACAGTAAGCGAGATCATTTCCAATAATCTGCAGTAATCTAGTTTTATCTCAACCACAGAAACTAAAATGACACATCGAATATGTTCTGAAAAGGAAATTTCATCGCTTGAAATATATTGCAATCAAAATCGATTTTACGTGTCAGCAGGAGCTCAGGTTAAATTTACTTTATTCTCGCACAAGAAGTGCGTTAGCTTTCAACAGCCCACCAGTTTAGCATTTGTCCAGATGATGGGCTATATTTTCAATGGAAACATTAAACTACAAGTATCTCCAAACAGAGCATAATAAATATCAAACATTCGATTGTCATACCTGCGTTCTAAATGCCTCAATTGTCGTTTCAACCGCTGAATTTCGAGACGAGACGCAGAACGACTCTGTCTCTTCGTTCTGCTATGGACAGCAGACTTTTTACTCCAATCAGCGAGAACAAAATCCAATTTGCTCTCCACTTCGATTAATGACAACTCTACGTCTGTAATGCGTTCGTCAGCCAGTTGAATTTCGCGCAAAATATGCGCAACATTGTGGGAATCCGCTCTGTTAACAAGAATCTGAACTTGGCACATTGCATAGAGCATGAAGAGAACCAGTATTAAAAGTTTCGAGGGGCGGCAGTTACCACACGGCCTTTGTACCGGCCCTCCGTTGTTCCGAGTAGATTCCGAAGTCATTTCTGATCGTCTGAGAATGGTAAAGATCTCATCATAGGGCCGACGTCGTTTGATGTTTAAACCACTTAAGACAAGCCACACAGGTTTCAAACGCAGATCCAGGGTCAAATTGTCTAATTAATGAGGTAAACTAACTTTTCCCTCTTCCTGTTGGCGAGCATACCAGCAATATTTTGAAATGGAGTGTCGCAGTATTTCACCGAAGTTTACTTGTAGATGTTGTTTCACTATACAGATGTAGAGTTCCTTTATATACTGATCGTGAAAAAGTGTTTTAAGGTCAGAAATTTAATACGATGAAACCAGACCCTCCTATAATCTGACGCGAGAATACTAGACATCTGTCATCACTAATATGTTAACAGCTTTCCTCCTTCTAATCCCAGTTCTCTCGTTTTTCTTGCATAGCACTAATTTGCCTTTTCTTAGTATCAACATTAAAATTCGCACTAATACTATCCATACAAATACTGCAACTTGTTTCAGAGGACTTTATAACTACATATGGACAGTTCTCAAGTGATAAAACACTTTGTATTCCTAATTGTTAGTGGTTTACATGCTTGAGTTCGACAGCAATATATAGCTAGGAGAACTAAAATGCTTTGAAGATTTAAAGATTGGCTAACCGCGGAGAATAGGCTCAATTTCTTTTTTTCAATAAAAAAAAACCGTGAATAAGTGTTATGCCAGATTCCAAGGTGTTTCATTGACGCCGGTAAAGCTATATAGGACAACAGAACAACCATTAAAGAAAGAAAAATCTGAAAGCGAGTGAGGGACGATTATCGACTTATACAAGTGACAGTTGCAGTTCTCAGTAACGGCCTCCCTCTGTCTCTCTGTCGCTTCTTTGTTCTGAATAAACACTTTTCATTTAGTCACTCGAGAAACTGAAGAAAGCGAATTTCAAACGTCTGTGTTTTAAGTTACTAGCCACCACTAATGGTATTGCTAGATTTTTGTTTGAACATCGGTATAATTGAGCCTCCAGAACGTAAGATTTTTGCTGATGAAATGAGATTCAAAGAATTCAGTCCAAATTAACCACTACCTTTAATCGGAAATCAACTGTACTCTCTTCTGTCTCTTCGCTAAATATCTCTTATTCGCTACAATCAAAGACCAGAAAAAGTAAACAATTGAAACAGTTCAAATTATCAAATACAGTGAAGCCTCTTATCATTGTAAAATTCTTGACCCCTATCAATGGAACTTGAGTTATGGTAACACATTGAGCCTGGCCAAATTTTTTTTCCTGTTCTGTAAACGTTTAAGTTGTCGTACAGAAGTATGTTGATTAAATGGACGATTCGATTAAAGCCTAGAGTTACTGCTCAACCGAATCGTCTATTTTTTTTCTTTCTCGCTTCGTTTCATACTACTTTACTTGTTCCGTGTTTAATTTCGTTCGGCATTACTTTTTTTTTCGAGGGGGAACCGTGATGTTCATAGATATTTCAGAATCTTTTAGACTAATTCCAAGAAGATTTCTTTACTAAAAAGTAAGCACTGTTGTTATCTGTTAATCAAAAGGTCATTTTTTTTCTTATTTTCGATTCAATTTCTAGTGGATTCTAGACAAAACCGATTGATTGGCAAAACCACGGACGATGCATCGCGCTCCACCGGCACCTCATCATTTTCTGCTTCCGAAAGAGCTTGGGGTAGAATATTTTAGTTCAAAGTGGATTCTTTTAGTTCAACATGGATTCTTTCAGTCTACTAATCTATTTTTGTGTTTGTCAGTAACTGTGCACGTAATTTAGTCTAATTTGGGAAAGGAGGTGTTTCGTAGCCTAGAGCGTTGATAAAACAGATATGGTCGGTATACTTTATGTTATTAATCTGGCGAGTTCAATTAGGTCATGGCATAAACAACACCAAAAAACGAACAAATAGAACAAAAGCAACAAAGAAAACAAGACTCCAAAACAGATAAACAACAAATCGACTAATAAAATCGAAAGGTTATATTTCATATTTACTTATTTCGTTGATATTACATGTAATGTCTTGACGTTGTTGTCGTTGTCGTTGTTTTTGTTTTTGTTTTTGTTTTTTTTTTCCTTCGTAGTTTATCGTTTTGAGCGATTTTATTACAGGGTATTTTGCTTGTGTGTTTGTTAGCGAGATAAGCTTCTCTGTTTTTCCTTTCTACCAAATAAATATACTTGTTTGAACTTAGTAAACGTGCTTTCCTGTCCATTAACCAAAAGTGTCATGTTCGATGTTCGTTCCAGCAGTAACCTGAGATATTTGCACTTTTATCGGCCTGGTGTAACAGTGCACATTCCAAGTGATCTCCCAGTCTTACTGAAGACTAATCCAACTAATCAAAGCCCTAAATTTCGTGCGGGAAAGCGATTTCATAAATCATCCGTACCTACACTAGTGACAAGTAGCATTAAATTGCTTCTGGTTCAGCTTGACTCGCTGACAGCAATCGTTTGGCGGTTTGGCGAGGTTGCCGTTTAAGGGTGGCTCACGCCAATTACATCATTAACTTCCGCCAAAAGTTTCAGTTTTTCTGTTTTTTTTTTTTTTTGCTTAATCGGATTATGGTTCTCGCAAGGTAACGGGACATGAAAGGCAAACGCCGGTTTGTTTACACCTTTTACCCTTTTTGGCCAAATTTCTTCTTCTTTTTTTTTTTCTTTGACAAGAAGATTAAATTACTTGGCCATGGATCTACTGTTAAAGGGCATAGAAACTGCGTCACGAATACAAGATTTTTTGCATTTTAAAACAGCAGGAGAACAATCAAACCACTACAAAGTAACGAGGGTTGAGGACAAATTACAGATCAGACACAGATTATAGTAATCAGTACTGTGTTAAAAACGTGGGGATATTTGTCACAAGTGCAAAAATGCTTCCTGATAATGAAGAGGTCAAGTGGTTATCGGTTTGTTTTAACAGCTGTGATCCACTCTAGTACACTTATGATAAGCACTCGAACAGATCTGTTATCAATGCTTGGAAAGGACTTGTGGCGCAATATGAGGTGAGTTTGGGATGAACAATGATACGAAGGCTCTCCGACTCCAGTCTTTTAACAAATGAAAAATGGTAAATGCTACCAAATAGGGTTATATGCCCTGTTTTCTCCTCTTTTCAGAACTATATATCATTTCTTGATAACTGCAGTCGGGTTTTTGAGACTGTTGTGTATACTAACGGAATATTACGTGCAGTGCATAGAAGGCGTCATTACTTAAAGCGTTTCTCAAATTTTGCTCCTTTATTGCATTAAAAAAAAAGGTTCCGTGTTTCGTGCCTCTTTTCAATAAGAAATCACAGAAGATGTCAAAATGTGGTCAGAAAAATCAGTGACACACAAGATTGCGCCTCGTGTGCAAATTTTTTACCCATACCACGTTTTTAAGTCATCATTGATTTATTATTGATAAGACCCGCGGCAACAACATGGAATCTGTTATTTAAGTAGATTAAGGGATTAAGGTACTCTACTGGATGTTTTCCTCTAAAGGAGCCACGTCAAAGAAGAGTTAGAAGGCCTCAGAAGACGCAAGGTTTCCCGCTAAAAGAGGTATTTTTCTCAGTCTTTTGAAACCGTTTACAATCATTTTTTCCTTTCTTTTTTAACATTTAGTTGCAGCTTTTTTTAAAAAAAAAAGAAAGATTTCATATTTGTGGTGGACAAATACGACACTTTGGAGAGGAAATCTGATCCATCCGATGTTCCAAAACTGAATCTTCTCGAGTCAATTTGTTTTAGCAATAAGGCTAACAAAACTACACTTTCCCAAAAGCGAAAAGAAAAGAAGGACAACTTTGTACATTTTCTTGTTACCTATTCATATTGCATGCCTTGTGATTTTCTTTTCCTCTTCTTGGGTATTTTGTTCGTCCGCTTTTTCTGTCAATTCTTACCCAGAGTTTCCAAGCTAGCTGCTCTCTTTTCCTTGACAAGAGAGTTTAAAGAAGAAAAAAACCCTAACAGTTTGAACTTTTGAAAGTATATATTCCTGTAAAGTAACCTCTGGTGTTCCCACCAGCTGTAAACTATAAGGAATCATAAGTATTGCGAAGTACAGGTAATTGAAGCTAAGGCAAACCCCAATTTCTTTGCCTTTTCCTCGGCCCCTGTTGAAATCATGAACGCATTTTTGAGGACCAAAAAAGAAAGCAGTGTTTCCTAAGCGAGATACAAGGTGGGCTAGGAATGAAAATTTTAGGAATAAATCTAAAGAATCTTCCACCCCCTTGGATGTTCCACTTAATCAAGGAAGACAATTTAATTCATAAATCATTCATACTCTTTTTAGTGACACATGGTATTCTAAGCTAGACTTGCTGACAGTTATTGTTTGGCGGTTTGTATAGACCGCTATTTAAGGGTGTCTGACGCAAAAAAACTTCCTTAATTCCCGAAAAAATTTTTTTCTTTGGTCGCGTAATCGCATTACAGTTTTTTGAAAGTATCAAGAATTGAAAGAGAAACAGTTTTTTAAACATTCCATGTCTTTTACCTTCTTTTTTTTTAAAGACCGGAATATTAAATTTACCGGCCTATCTAATCTTTTCGCGAATGCAAGTAGTAATTACCTCACGCATGCAAGATTTTTGGAATTTAAATAAGCAGAAAATCAGCCAAACCAGTACAAAGTAACAAGGACTAAGGATCAACTAGATTATTCATAGATAATTGCAATCAGCAATCTCTGCTTAAAACACCACTAGTGCGTCTATCAGTTCCCAATGTTGAAGAGGTCAAGTGATTATCATTTTGTTTCAACAGCTGCGATCAGCTATAATACAGTTAAGACAAGTGCTCGAACACACCAGGTGTCAATGCTCAATATAGAATCGTAGAGCAAAGGGGGCGATGGTGGCATGCAAACTGCCACAGACTCTACGACTTCAGTGTCTAGGGAGGGATGGGTTCTTCTTAAAGGTGAACGCCACAAAAAGAGTTTAATTACGTGCATTTCTTCTTTTCACGTTAAATTTCATTTAGTAATTCAGTGATTGGGCTTGTGCAGAGAGGAGAGCCTCGAGTTAACAATAAATGGTGGGTTTACGGGTACTTTACTTGATGTTTCCCTCTGCAAAACCCTCGTTATAGAAGATGTTGAAGGCCTCTGAGGACACACGGTTCTATTTCGAATGAATGCTTTATGAATTCATTATTACATCATTGTTATAAAAGAGGTACCGATTACGTTCGGTTGAAACCTGATTTACAATCAGGTAAGTTTTTCTTTCAGTATTTAGTAAGACCATCTCTTTTAATGCGGTTCAATACAGAATCTTATCAAGCCAATTTTTAAGCGAGAAGTATACAGCGTACTGCGATAACGCGATGAATTCAGTCAAAAAACGCGAAAGCTGAAGGAAAGGAAAAACAAAAATTCGACGGACTTATATTTCCTATTGCACGTCTAAAACGAGAGGAATTGTTTCGTTTTCCCATGTGCGGTGATGGAAAGAACGTGAGCGAAGATAATTCTATGTATGTCATATTGTGTACGTCTTATTTTTGGTGACTATCGGTCGATCGAATCTTGAACAGTGGTGAGAACTTATAGTCGTGCATCATCTCAGGCGCCGTGAGGCCAATCTTAGCGTTGCAATCTCCGCTGTAGCCTCGGTATGCGTGGACCGGGGTAGCATCCAGGAGTTTTGATAGGAGGTCCAAACTTTGAACCAGCCTGGAAAAGCAAGAAACATTTGAAGATGGTAAATTTTAAATGCCTCAAGTTGGGTAGCAATATGCGATCCTTCTGAGGTAAGAAGTTTGATTTAAAACAAGAAGCAAAAATTACTCCAGGTTCTGACGAGATAAGGGGGTTTCCGGGGCCCCGGCCCTTTCCGCGGATCTGTTACTGATGACGGATAGTCGTCGTGGATCTGTGTGGAATTCTGGGTAGTCTACGAGACGTTTTATTGTTTTTTTTTAAATTGATGGTGGGCAAGCAATACCATTCCACATTCTTAAGGATCGACTGTCTCAACTATTGTGAAAAAAGGCTTCATACACCAGCCTGCCTGATGATAATATAAATGATAATTCTTCCTCTTTAACAGATATGCATCGAAAGAAGAATTCATTTAAATGATACAAGGTAAATCGCACATCTTGCGCTACGCAATAAAGAACGTGCACTCACATTGTCAGAAATAGAGGATATGTCGTGTCGTGTTTTGCAAACAAAATGTATACATCTGTCCGTGAATTTTGTGCGATAAATGTCACATACCTCAAGAAGAATTTTTCATTAATTGATAAATTCAAATTTTGGAATGAGCATAAATGGCAAGGAAATGGTGTAATCATCGCATTTTTATCTATCAAAACACCACACGACGGCCATTCCTGTGGGCTGCATAGAATGTGTAAGGTCTAAAGTCCTCAAATATACCGCCTCTGGTCTGCAGAGGTTGACGATAGCATCATAATTTGACCGTTAAAATTATGCTACACACTTAACAAATACAACATTCATAGCCTTGTAACACGCATTTGATCTAAAAACAAAAAATAAGGGTTCAAGGTCTGAATTATCAACAACATCGGCCTTAGAAAATAAATGTTCAAGGACATTACAATGAACTTTTTCTTAATAAGATGCTCAATTCAGTCTAGACAAGCGACCCCACAACTAAACTTTGTTTCTATAGAGGCTTGTATTTTCGGTGGCACAAGCATCAAAACGAAGTCAGTCAGACGATCGATGAATAAAAATGACTATAATGAATGTGTTCGTTTAAATTTTGTCATGGAAATGTGGGTGAACAAAAACTGATGGCAGACCAATCATCTGATACGGAAATAATTTTTAAGCAGGACCAAGAGATTAAAAACATTTCATAATCTCTTGGCAGGGCCTAAGAGCAATGATTCTGCTCTCTTCAAGAAATTATCGTCAAAAATATGTTCCAAGCACAATTTTAAATCTGGGTCAATAACTACGTGATGCCGATTCGAACCCAGGCCATATTTATCCCACAGCGCCTTCGCCACAGTGTTATTGGATACTAGCGTAAGTTCACCTAATATCAGCCTGATGAGATTCATCTGTCGTGACCGTTGCACCACTTATTTTCCTGATGGTAATTTCTGGCAAAAAATTTCAAACCTATTTATAGTTTCATTAAGCAGACGAGACAGTTCACGTGATAAGCGAAGATCTTAATGGGATTGCAGTTTAAGTGAATGGCTATTAAAATTGAGATACAACAGTTAGAGAAAAGCCCCTCCTGCTTAGGGCTAGTGTTAACCCAAGGTCAAGTTAAAATGGTTCCATCTCGCTGTTTAAAAATCCTTCTTCTCTTATCAAAGTCACGCACATGTCAAACCAGTACCATCCAATGACCTTGGATAAACATGGAAACTGACTTGTGGATAACAGGAAGCCGGCTCTTAGAACAAATTAGCCAATTAGCAAGTCTGTCGATAAGTAAGCCTTTCTAGTTTAAGAACAAACCGAAAGAAGAAGAAAAAGTGTCCATCGTCACGCATTTAGTCGATCTGAAAAATAATTCCATTGGGAACAATGGTAAATTAAAGTAGTTTTAATTGATACGTCATCGTGTTAAAATTTTTGGACCACTTGTAAGGGTAGACATCATTTCAGGATGAACATAACCCGATGTTCTCACTTGAGACAAATCGCGGTCGAAGACCCTTTATCATAACGAGAACAGACAAAAAATTGGAATCGATCCATAAAGGCCAAAACCTTTTTATTACTATTGAGAGTCCTTTCAATCCTTTCTGTCATTCGACGTAGAGAAACTCAAGGAATCGAAGGAAAAACAGCTGCAATCTAGGGTTGCCAGTCTCCGGTTGAACGTCAGAAATGCCAAGTTTGTTGACCCAAAGAATTCAAATCACTTTGGACATGTGATGCATGGACTTTAGCGCTTGCACGGGTGTTTTTGTGGTAATTTTATCGCAACGGAAAAGGCAAAAACAGACGGTGAGCACACCTTCCAAAAATACATACGTGGTAAGGGATAAAAAGTTACATGTTGAAATTTCTGGTTTACGCGCTATTAAAAGGCTAAACAGTTTGGACAAGTCAATCAAGATTAATAGCGAGGGTAAGAGGCTTTAAATGTTAATGTTTTTAAATTCGCTGGCAATGTGACAGTACACGTTGGGCAGATCAGTTAAGAATGTTCTCCTCCGCTGTTACACCAGGTGCGATTTATATTACCAAACAAAAGATAAAAGCCTGTACGAAGGGCTACTTTAGGCATGAACGGGCTTTAACAATAGCAGGGCGTATTTGTATTCTATTACCACTACACTACGACTATTGACTGTTGTTTTGTAATTGAAATTTCAGCAGGGGCTATGGTTCCGCTTCGGTTGTCGTGTCATTTGCATGACTGAATGTAAATTCTCGGTCTTCGGAGTTTATCGACGTGACGTTTATGCGGAATGCATACTTCGCACACAAAGAAGTAAACAGTTTACAAAGGAACTCGAGACAAAACTCAAACATGGTCGCCTTGTTTTTACTCTTCTTTAACGAGTTCTATCCTTCCTTTTCGCAGCGTCAGTTTATTGAAGTAAAGTGTTAGCAAAAAACGAGGTGAGGATGACGGCGCGTGGAATTTTGCGGTGGATCGTTTCTCGTTATCTTTCGCTGTCACTCTGGCAGTCACTTCAGATCGTGGTGATCGTAAGCTACATTTGGGCCCAATATGCCCTTCATGTACAGCTAAGCAATCGTTTAACGAATATCATTGAAAGGCTAGACAAGCTTGAAGATTACATGAACGGCAAAGACTACAGAAAGGTACAGTTGAGGACTCATGATATGAAGCAAAAGAATGCTCCCTCTCGTGGAAAGCGACAAGCGGACCTAGCAGGAATGAACAACCTCTTACGGCGACTGGAGAGTTTGGAAAATCGGTAAGTAGAGGATGTTATCGTCAATAGAGCTGTAATCTTTCAACAGGCTCAACTAATCAACGTGTTTCGCCCAACCCTCGCTGACAATTAGCAAGAACGATCGTAAAAAATCGAATAGATAGATACAACCAGACGAATTCTAAAAGTGCTGAAATGCCAATCAATTATGCAACTGACTGAGTTATAATAACTTGAACTTGTTATGATATATACAAACGACCCTCTCACAAATACACAACCGATCACCACCGGTAAGCTTTTTGTTTTAATTTCGTGTGCGTGTTCAACTTTAAGTCTGCATGACTATAGTATTTTTGTATATAATGGTGGATCCAAATTAAAAAAAGAGCCTTAATCGTTAAATCAATATCACGGGAAATTTAATTGCATTAATCGATGACAGATATTAGCTCATAAATTCCCCAGGGGATTAAGATCGAAATGTATTACATTCACAATCCCGACGGTTAGAACAAGGCAATAACGAGAGACGGGTGTTTAAGGTAAGGACCTCCACCTGGGACATTGTCTCCATGTTATATCACAGAGGACCAAACGATCCACGTGTTAATCCAAACGGAGGTAGAATTCACACTAGGATACTTTTTAAAAACCTAATACGTAATCCTGAAAGTAAAAAGGTTCAAACTCTGCAAGATGGATTAATATACACGTAGTCAAGTCTACCAACCGCCATCTCCAACGTTCCCGAATTTTCCGGCTACAAAGCGAAGAGGTAATTAATTAAGGCAAAGCCGTAATCTCCATAAACGAACTAACGGGATTGCATTTTTATCAAAGAAAGAAAGCAATTAGCGGTATTAATCAAAGTGTGTTCGTGCACTAAAACTGTCATTTGATGAAGAATTATTCTGGGCATATAGGTTTAGTCAAGGTCACATATTCAAACATGAAGTCAACAGCATAACAATAACAGTGGTAAAATTGAAACTACTTCCCACACAAATATTCACGATTATTTTTTTACATAGTTCACATAAGTTTATTTGATTTTTAGCCAAATGCTTCACTGAATTTTCCAAAAAAAAGTTGAGCTTGTTCATTTGAAACTATTCCTTCGTAATTTTACTACTTTCTTCATTTATCTTAAGATTGCTTTGATACACATTGACAAACAATGTTGATTAAAATGTATCGTAATAGTACATTGTTTTTTTTTGTTTTGTTTTTTATGATTCAGTTGGCCACACAAAGAGCCAAATATTTCCATCTCCGACTCTCTGCACTACTGTTCAAAATAACAGCTGCCCACTTGACATCCAACCTGAACTTAAATTGACACACTGACTGCGGGGCCGCCAATGTGCATTTTTGCACGAAGCTCATAGTTTTCGGATGAATGACGAATCGAAAATTACAGAGACGAAAGAGAAATCCTACATTATATCACATAATAACACATAGAATATGCATAAAAAATTGTTATTTTAAGAGATGTACATTAGATCTTTAAAACGCCTGGTGAATATCTAAAAAATATCACCACCTTAAGAGCTATCAACCAGTGTTGTGTTTTGACCGTAAGTTGAAAAATTTTACAGACATAAGAAGAAGGCATGTATTGATGAATCAGATCAGTAACAAGTCTTCGTAAAACAAGAAAAATTGCTAGTAACCACTGTAATTACAATGAACGTAGTAGAAAATGGTTCAATGACTTTATTTTATGTTACTCGGAAAGCGGAGCGACACCAAGCACATGGTAACGTCACTTTTCCTGATTACCGGCTAGTTAAGCGAGACTCTTGTCCACTGTAGCTTTGAACAATGACATACATAAAGTCCATTCAACAGTCCACGCGTTGTTTCCATGTGCAACAACATCGGTCAACACTGCCTAAACTAACCTGGTTGATTGATTTCTTCAAAATTTAAGGATGTCACTTAACACGTGGTGCAAAGTTGAATATATCAGAATGGCTTGTACCATTTACCGAAGAAAGTGTAAACGATCTTGTTCATAACCTCATTTTTCGTCTCCTTGTTCTGAATTTCAGCTTTTCAGCTTCAAAAAATTTCAGTGCGCATGACGGTGGAGCGTTTTGTGTTCAGGGACCTCAAGGAAGACATGGAATTCCGGGAAAAAATGGGATACCAGGACATGATGGTAAGGATGGAACGACTGGAAGAGACGGTGAGTAGTAAGCTGATTATGTTGCCTTACTTTACTTTAACCATTTTTTCTTTACATAATGAGGCAGAATGTTCCTTTCGTAACTGTATGTTAAGACATGAATAGGTTCTAAATCTGCTGACAGTCCCATTAGAACAAACAGGCTTATCAAAATTGTCTTACAAATTGAGAACATGATTATAAAAGAATATTATACTTAGCCACGTAAACCAATTAAACTATATAAAAAAATGAACAAAAGAAGAAAAACAGCTGCAGTTACGTAAAAAAGAAGCGAGGAAGGAATAACCAAACAAATCGTTGAGGAAAACGAAGGCTGGACTGGAACAAAGAAAGACTAAAGAATTCTCTCTTCTGAGCGAAAAATTGTTGAGAAAACTTGTAGTTGTGACGCAGTGTTCGTGTTCATTAGTGTAGGAAGAGACGGCATCGATGGACGCGATGGAGTACCGGGGATAAATGGAATCCCAGGAAAGCAAGGATCGCCGGGTAGGTTGGCTTCATTTGCATCCAAGAGTGGAGCGCCTTTTTTAACCTAAACTTTGATTTCTTTCGGAATTTGGTGCAAAACAATATCAATTTACTATTTCCTGTTTTAACTTCTCGTTGAGGACAACCGAAACAACTCTGGGCACTTCCAAACTGGGCTGCATTGTTGAAACTTCGCACTGATTTCCATTACTTCTGGGCGAGCTTGACTCATAGACAGATCTTTTTCATGGCACGTAATTCGGATTAGTGTCCCACGGCCTGCAAAATATCGCAAATCAGCTTAGCGTGCGGGGTAAGGTAAAGGGCGGCCTCGATCAGATAAACTCTACAGCCTGGTTGTTAGCTGATTACTGGCTAAGAAATTTAGGGAACCCTTTTTAAGATCCAAACATGTCCGCGGTAAATCCACATAACACCGACAAGAAGCTACTAACTAATCAAAATATTAGTACGTTACTTCATCTTATTAACTTGAAAGGATTAGAGAATGGCATGTTTAGCCTCATAGCTCGAGGAAATCACAGCCAACGAAGAGAAGTCCACAAACTTAGTCGGAAATTACAATTACAATAAGGAGTTACGCCATTGCATGGGCAACTTGAAAAAAAAGCCTCGTCATACGATACCCTTTGATCTTCTTCATCCTCGGCCATTCTTGTACCTCCTTGGTTTGCTGTTGCCCGTTTTTGAGCCCTCATATCTTTCTAACCTCTTACGTCTTAATTCCTCACAGGAGATAGTCTTAAAATGCGCGAGAATTGTTAGAAATGTCGGAAATGCTGTAATTAATACTTAACCCTTTAACCAATAAAAGTGACTAGCATCTAATTTCTCCTTACAGTATCACCCCTAGATCAAACATTAAGGTCATGAGAATGATGGAAATGATCAAAAAATACAGGAGCTCTTAACTGTTAAGCAAAATTTCTTTGTCAGCAGCTTAAGAAATGTATAAAAAACAGTATGGAAAACATGCGTACTGACCTTTGGGTGTCAAGGATTACTAGAGAGGAACACCAAGGAGATCGTTTTGACACTCAAGGGATGTCCAGTAGCTACTACAGCTGGGTTTGTTTTGTTTAAGGCAGAGATGGTGCTACAGGACCAAAAGGGGACCAAGGCCAAAAGGGACACAGAGGAAAACAAGGCCCTCAGGGGCCCCCAGGCAACCCTGTGACGTGTTCCCAAAAAACAGCCTCAGGAAGTTCCATGTTTATTCGATGGGGACGTAGTGTATGTCCATCTCGCACAGGCGCTGAACTAGTTTATGAAGGTATGTTTAAACTTTCGAAGAAGTATGCCACTAAAGAAGATGTAAAACTTAATATAGTTGTGATTGTGTTGAACATCTCAGTACAGCCGAAATACAAAGAACAGTGAAGAAATACCAAAGTACGATGCGGTTTGGGCAAAACTGTGTAAAGCTGTGAATTTGCACTTTGAACTTACATCACCTAATTAGGAGGCCCAATTTAAAAAAGTAAGAATATTCACTCAGCAATCAAATGTTTGTTACAGCTCCAATAAGGCCTAGTTTTTCATATTTGGATTCTCGTTTGAATGCTTTTTCAAGGCCTAGTAACTACTTGGCACTTTTCCAGAATCCACACGATTCCCAGAACCCATATACTCCTGTCTAACTTTATAATTTATCCGCTATCATTTTGTTGGCATCTATTGGGTTCTCACTTGATGATTGAGGCTTTTTTCATCGATTGTGTCTCAGGCCGAGTAGCTGGGTGGCGCCCAACAGGAGAGGGCGGAGGAGCCGACTATTTGTGCATGCCTCTCAATCCTCTTTACCTCAAGAGCTCTTCGTCGGGGTCCAACTCGAGGGCGCCCTTCTTTGGTGTAAAGTATGGTCACGTGGAGGATCTTTTTATGAGGAGAGGCCGCAGGGGACCTCATATTAGTTACCTTGGTGTCCCATGCGCTATGTGTCGCGTGCGACAAAGAGGATCCTCAATGATGTATCCCGGAAGGAATGTGTGCCCGAATGGATTTTGGACCCGCGAGTACCACGGGTATCTTATGACGGACACCAACAACAACACGAGACCTGAGTACATTTGTGTTGACGCTGATGCTACTGGAGTAAAAGTGCCCTCCAACAAAAGACAAGCCGGGAAAGCTTTACTAACGTCAGTACAAGGACAGTGTGGAGTGTTGCCTTGCCCGGATTACGAGCAGGACTGGGAACTGACATGCGCAGTATGCACAATGTAGTAAAATGGCAATTATGATAAAACAAGCCGCGCTGAGTAGTTACCTGTTTTAAGAGGTTTTTTTTTATGTTCCGTCCGTTGCAACGCTAAAAAATTGCAACAAACCACCAACAGACAATCCAGAAATGTGCAAATTATTTTAATTACCACCTTTAAACAAGCGAGACCTTTGAAAACCGGTCGTGTAATCGTAACAAAAAAACACATCAAGTATATACTGTGAGATATAATCGTAAAGGAAGCAGTCGTTATTGTAACCAAATATTATCGAAGTTAAAGGATAAAATTGTATTCAGATTTAATAACTTGTTAATCGACGAAGGTCCGTTGACCAAGGTCATCCAAATATCTAATGCCACAACAAGGAAGCATGAACAGTGTAAATATGTCGTGGCAGGTCACGATTGATCGAATTCGCGAGAGTAACAAACGTGTCACCGGTTGTAAATCGTTGAAAACTATGACAAAAATTTCGCTTGGTTTTCTTTCTTTTATTTTTCGTTTAAAAATATCATTACCTACTGGTCATGCTCTTGTGACACGATGTTGGCACAACATACACGACAGAATATTAAACGCTATGCAACCGAAGTTGTAAAAGCCACTTCACTTTATTGATACAAGTACATGACCAAAAAAACGCCAATTTGAAAGTTGATCTAACATAAGATATTCTTCCGCAGTCTATAGGAGGGAAAATCTAAACCGTCTTTTCCTTCTACAAGGCCGTCTTACAGAAATATTCACCTTATGATCTTCAAGAGTGATCAACGTATGTGTCCTAGTTTCAAATTTCATCATAGGTCAGACAAAGAAATGATACAAAAGTTAATCACATTTTCAGAGCTAACACACGCCGGACCAAATCTGTGGTTGGTACTCACGTAGCAAAGGCCCTTTTGTGTCTCTGAAGTTTAAAGCTTTTTAAATCTGTGCATTCGAGCCTCATTCCTGGTTAAGAGTAGACTGATAAGCAGATGACGTATCACTCCTCAGAACTTCACGCAAGGCCATTGTAGCGTAAGTTGAGGTAGGTAGTGTAAATTCCAATTGCAGCGCCCAGTACTTTCCGTCTGGAACTGACTCAGGCTCCAGGGCACCAGAAAGAGCTTCCTTGTCGGTTACAACCAACGGTTGTTTGACGTCATTGTAACGCAACCAGCGCCAGCTCATTAGGCTCGGCTTGACGAGTAATTTCCTGTACGGCACAAATAATTAAAATTGAAATGGGTGATGCGAAAGTACTTTTTATGCTTGAAGTTCACAACTTGAAAATTAGACTAACTGTCAACTTACTGCAGGTAACCGAACAACAAAACTACGTAGTTTGATGCGTGCGCTGCCAAAAATTGTAAAAAATTATGAAATGTAAAATAAAATGTTACATAATCCCTCAGTCACAGCTCAAACGTTTTAATTTCAAGGTCTGGGTAACAAAAACTAACGCTCTAACAACTGAGCGGAAGAAAACATCAGCGTTACAAACTGTTTTCCATTTAAATGTTTTAAGAGCGATTCATGACACTAACGATCCCAAAATAACTCGGCTTTGACAGTCGCTGCCACGAACAAGAGTCCTTCATGGGAGAGCCAAGAGCCATTGCAGACTTTGAAATACAGGCCCGATCGACCGATAAACTCTCCAGAAAATCTTTAAAAAATAAATAAGGTAACGCAGAGGAGAAAAAATCTTTTGAAAGACACTCACCGATAAGCGCCTGACAGAGCGTAATCCTTCACTTTATGCCTCATGTTGTCAATGTCCAGTCCATCGTTGGCCATTATTTTTCTGTACTCATCTTTCAAGCTGTTGTCAGGGTAAACAACGTCGTATCCAGGAAGTGGAAGAACAACGTCATGGATTGTGAACTGACCTGTTTCCAGCAAATCCCTGGTAAGAACGGTAACCGATGTCCTGCTTGGCTCGGAAATAAATTCAACGGTGTCTTGCGGCCCTGAAGTGCCTTTAATGTTAAAGGAAAAAAGTCAAGCTAACTAACCTACGTCCTCGCGTCCAAACCTCCTTACCTGCGCACCTGCGCACCTGCACACCGACGCCCTGCAGACTGACGAACTGACGCAACTACGTGAGGAAGCATCGACGCAACGTCTGACACATCGACGCACGTCTGCAATTGAAAGCGAACGCGTATTCACGTACGTATGAGCACACACGCACGTACGCGAGACAAACAACGTATTATCAGCTTAGAGCATACACGTGATACGTACATGATTGTGAACATATGCGTATGCATATATGCGTATTACACGACGTGCATACTTAATACTCATATAGAGCATACGTATGTGACTTCTAACGGCATTTATTTTCATTCGAATACTATGAGCAAAAACAGCAGTTTTTTACGCCAAAGTTGATTGGAAGTTTGAGATTTCATTTCAGTCCCTGAGTTGCTTGAACGCTACTGAGTAACACCTACATGACGAGCACGTCAGCGAAGAGGTAAGTTTGATGTGCAGGGAATTGCTTGCAGAAAAAAAGAAAATGTGCATGAATGGTTCATGGTGGCATTCACAATTCACCTGTGTCTAAAGAACATGATGCCGTTGATTTTGAAGCCACAACCAGGTCGCCAATGATTGGCTTCATTCCGTGTTCCTGAAAATTCAATCAAAACAAGACATCTAATCGCGTATACATGTAAAAAAGAATTCTCTTTGCCCACATATCACGCATAGCTTTCAAACCTCGCTAGGGAAAAAGAACCTCGCAGGAAAGAGAACCAGCAACAAATTTGACTTAGTAAGGAAAACGACGAATGGTTTGACATTCATTTTCGGCTATCGACAGAGAGGTTGGAGGTAAGGAGCCAATCACCAGATTAAAACTGATTATCAGATTCGTAGTGGACCCAGTTCATGGAAATCACATCCAGCTCCTGTACGTGGAAAAAAGTGGGGTAGGACTCTCAGTAATGTTTCAAGTTTTCGATGTTTCCTCGTGATATTTCCCCAATTCGGAATAATTACCCGGTAATGGGGTAGTGACTATGAGATTGAGTTTGAATGAAGAATTGCGAAAGATGCATACAGTGTTAATAACAAATATGAATACCTTAATGCGCTTTGATGCTACGTAGTTCCATACATAGCTTTGATATGCATGGACATACATGAGTCTAGTGTTCCTGGAGATAGACTGCAAGGCTTTCACCAAACCTGAAGGTCCATGCCTCACAAGGCCAAGTAAAAGATCACTCTCAATACCCTTTCTTTTGGGAAGTTTTTTCAGAGTCTCCTTAGCATCATGGGTGTCTTTCCAGTGTTGTCGAGCAGCTGTGAGGTCATCGGACTCACCAGAACGTGGATTAAGAAGAAGATCAATGGCCTCAGACCAGTTACTGAGAAGCAATGCACAGCCTGTGACAATTAGACAGTCAAAATAGGCATACTAAAGAACTGATCAAACATTTGGATTGCATAAATGTTGGACAAGTTACTTTTTTCCTTCCTTGGCAGAGCAGTTTTCAACTGTGTTGAAAAACCAATACAAATTGCCAATTGCCAATATTAACAAAGGTTAGCATCATCAGAAGCCATTAACAACTCAAATCAAAATCAGGCACACTACTGAGATGCAGGAAAATGAAAACACAAGTAACAAAGAAGTGATTAGTTTGGTTTTGCACCTGATGGGTTGTGAGAATGGCACAAGATGTTTCAACCAATCACAGAACAAAGTTGTCCAAACCAATAAAATACCCTCTCAATTCAAAAATTGCTCCATACAGGTAGAGTGGGGTAGAGTGGCTAACTGCACCACCACAAAAAAAGGTTCTCCCATGTCATGTATGCATTTAACCAATGTGGAAAACAAAATAAAACTTTAAATAAATGGCATATTGTATACATACCTATTTTATGTGTTGGGACTGAGGTTGTTCCAAATCTTTGCAATCCAAAGTAATTTATAAAACCATTGATTTTAAGTGATTTTAGACTTTCTTCTATCTCTCTGTGATCCCCAACAACATTCCTGAGAGTGATAATAAAATGATTCCCTGATAAAGAGCCAAGTTTAAGAGGCTCTTTGCAATACTGGAAGTTGCCAAGACACAAGTTGCGAAGACTTGAGTTTAATTCCTGCAACTGTTCAGCCCTGACTCTGTACACAGACACCTGCTGGGTGGTAACTGCCCTACGATCTTTGGTTCCAGCGTAACCAAAAATACCTGCCTTGATTCTGAGAAGTTTGCTCAACAAATTGATTGCATCCATGGTGTCTTTGTTTTCTTTGTAAAGAACAAACCAGCAATAATTCTCAATTTCTGATGGCCATCGGCTGTTTCTTTGCCTGCCACTAGAATCACGCTTATGAAATACTCTGACCGCCTTTTGGTTTCCCACATCAACTGTGTCACTATCTAAAAGTAATTAAGAGCAGTGAGTTTTGATTTTGAAGGTTGCATTGAATAATACTGACAGTTCATTCTAGGGTTGGCTGACAAAAATCCACTAAACCTCCCACCATAAGTCACCCACCTAAGGCTTATGAATGACCCCCATTCATAAGCCTTTTGTCACATTACCTAAAACACCACATGGAAGACGAAATTAAAATCTGGTGAGTGCCCTCTGTTTGACAAAGTGTCACCTCCAGGAAAAATCCTGGTTATGCCCCTACACCCATTAACATTTCTGAATGAAATGACACATGATGAGAATGATTTATATTTCCCAGCTACAACAATCAATCACCTTACCTAAAAAAGCAAAGTTTTCTCTAATGGTTCTGTGAACCAATCTTCTATGGTCTTTGTCGTCATCAGGAGATAAAGTCGCAAGGGTTTTCTTCTCCTTATCATCAATAACTTGCTGAATTTTCTCTTTCTCTTCTTCACTTAAAACATCAAGTCCAAAGTCTTTGTTCTTTTCTTTCCGAGGTAAAGATGTATCTGATAGTCGCACAAGATTTCCCAGAAGGTCCCTCTCTCTGACGATGAAATCCGTGTATCTCTGTTTCAGGACTCCGTGAAATCCGGGTAAGTTGGACACGAATTCTAAAATTCCTACGTCCTTTTCCGAAGCACAAGTATTTCTTAAGATATCAGGGTCATCTTCAGATGCTTCCTCAATCGATGAATCTTTCCCTTGCCCTATATTTGCCTTCATTTCGTCAGTCTCTTCTGGGTTTTCATGAAGCACGTGCTTTACGCCAGTAACAATTTCACTTCGAAGTTTTCCATCGGTCTCGTTTCTTTGATCGCAGTTTCCTTGTTTTTCAACTTCACCTTTATCTGACTGGCCAGCATCTCTAGTTTCCCTCGTTTTCAGTGATTCTGAATTAATTCTGGGGCGTTTAAATTTAGGTTCATCTAAGTTACAATCATCGATTTCGTCCGCCATTTTGAAATCTGAGCCTGCATGCAAAAGCAACACAACGAGTTTTTCATTCAAGTAAAACCATCGTCATTTATCTCTAATCGATTGCCCGCTTTAGTAAGTCAAGGGAGCCCAGAGAAGGAAGAATTTTAGCTGCCTTCTACATCGAGCTGCTTTGAAGTTTCTATAAAAAGAAGGGAAAGAAAAAAAAATTATATAAAAATATGTAATAACTGCACTCACAGGTCCTTGACTGGCGGTTTATAGGCGAACCGGCAGCCATGGCCTACTTTTAACGAGCGTAAGAGTAGCTCAGCTTCCCAGCTGTTGTGCTGATTTTAAAGTAGACATGCAGTTATCTGTTGCGATCCTTACACTAAATAATTCCTTCGAGGGGAAGAGAGGAGGGGATCAGGTAGACTTCGTCACCACCTCAACCGAAAAACTTTGACGGAAAGTTCTCTCGTCGTACGCTGAACGAGAGTATAGTGTTATTACAATGATCACCCGCACATATCTCTCTTTCTCTCTCTCTGAATAATCTCAATAATCGGTAGATTTTTATCCTTAGACTCCAGGCCTTTGTTTATTAATTTTGTCTTTTATTTGTTTGTTTATTTGCGCAATAAGTATTTTTCAACCCTGTACAGAGTACACGCACAACAAGGCATATGCGACGGTTTTTATTTATTGTGTTTTTGTCATGATTCGAATCCACTTCAACACTTTCCAGCTAAAATGATTTTGATCCGTTTCCAATCTAAGATGTCAAATGGTGCTGAATCTTTAATCCAAACACCTGCAATTCTGAATACAGTTTAGCCTCTTGAAAGTTACAACAAAACTTTCCGGAGAAGATTGGGCACGACCCTTTTCAACCAATCACAGAGCTCGTACCATCATTGCATGTTTTTGTATACCGAGTGTTGATTTTTACGGTAAGAGCAGCTTTGGAAAAGCTTGGTACATTAGACATAGCAAGGTAAGCGATCGAGGATCTTTATTGTGTGGAACATTTGTTTCGACATATCCAGATAATCGGAGTGCTTTGAAGCGCTTTAATTTACAACTAGCTTCTCTGAAGGCACCGTAATTTTATGGAATCTAATCTGCGGCCTTTCAAATTTCGATGACTGAAATTTCAGCTCAAAAATCTTGGTCAAATTTTAAACCCTTTTTTACAGCGATGACAAGGGATAAAAAACTTGATCAGATCTGAAAACGAAATCGATCTTCGCAGCAATCAACACTGCTTAAGCTGTGGTGAAAATAAGCCCTGAAAAAATTCAGGCCTATAGGGGATTCGAACCCATGGCCTCTGCGATACCGGTGCAGCGCTTTACTAGTGAGCTGACATGCTAACTGGGAGCTGATTATTGTACTGGTTTGCAATAAACCCGTGAAGTGATGAATCAATGACTGTGAGTATACGAAAATCATTTATGTGAACTGCAAATAAAGAAGTGAATGTAGAAGCCAAGCCAATATGGAAGCGATCTTCGCAGCAATGATCACTACTTAAGCAGTAGTGAAAATATGGCCTGAAGAAATTCAGGCCTGCACAGGTTTTGAAACTAGGCGCCATTTTCTCTATAAGTACGTTTCCTTCATTTGATATTCAAAATACAGATCAAAAGTAAATCGTAAGGGAAAATCAATACTTTTCGCTCTGTGCCGAGGCAAGGGTTGCAGAGAACCGCGTCCATTCTCATTTACATCTTGGATGTATTTTTGAATAACAATGAATGGCACATTTTTTGTCATGCATCGGTCAATTTGAAAATATGATCCCACGCTGTTAATATCTGTGGCCGAATTATTCACCTTGCAGACATGCCTTAGTTACTTTTGTAACATTTGATCAGTCATGATGAAAGAAAGCTTGAAAGTATAGTGAAAGCAGAGCTTCTCTGCTGTCACTTAGAAAAACATCTTTGTTTTGATTATAAGAAATGTCGAACGAGTTACCCAACCGAGCGAGATAATTAAATTAATCTTCATGGTTCCGTGTCTAATTTAATTCTGACCCTTTCATGACAATTATTAAGATCAGCCTAAGTCACGCGATTGACCGAAATATTTTGAGCAAACTGGAGTATGGAAGGACCCTATCGAGGAAGATTAAAAGGATTGGTCCTAGGGAGTTTAGTTGGAAGCAGGCCAAAATTATCAAATTCACTCTTTCCTTAACTTGTTTTAGGTAGAAATGCAGTCAAAATCACTATTTATTTTATTTAACATGCAGCCAAAAATTATTGGACTTAGCTGAGAAAGTTTGTTTTTCTCCTCTTTAGATATCACATCCGTATACGAACGTTCACAAGCATGAAAGCAGTTCTCTATAAAACCGGTGGCGTTGAGAACCTATATCTCGGCACAGCCCCGAAGCCGACGGCCGGAAAAACTCAAGTGCTAATCCGCGTGGAATACACAGCGCTGAATCGAGCGGACACTCTGCAAAGACGAGGACTTTATCCCTCTCCTTCTCTACCTCCTGGGCAACCCGACATTCTGGGGCTTGAGGTATCTGGTGTGATCGAGGAGGTCGGTGGCGAATGTGCTGGGACATGGAAGTAAGTTGCTTGTGGTTTAGTATGTGATAACCGTCAAGTAACTGATTTCAAATAAATAACAAAAATGACTGTACAAAATTAATTTCCCTCACTTCTACGGAGAAATGTCAAGAGGTATCATTTTTTCTGAATTGCAAGGCGTATCATTTAAGCTTGCATTCCTTCAACACCAACAAGCTCGCTTCAATGATGAAGCGAAGTGGTTGCTGTACCACCACTTAGAAAGAATTATTGAAAGATCATAAAAAAAAAACCGTTGGCGTTGCACACAAGAGATCGCGCGAATCGATGGAGGACAATGGACGAATTTTTCCAACGAAGTATGTTTGCATTCTCTTTGCGTAGCATTGTACTTTAAACTTTGAAAGATGGAGTCAAGAAACCATAATTAACTTAGTTCGGTGTTAGTTCGGTTGCATCTAAATACACGAATGAGGCAATCAAAAAGCAAAAAGGGACAAAAACGGTTTAGGATGGAAAAGCTCACAATGGACATACAGATGCATGATGATCTTGAAAATAAGGGGCTAACTTTTTCTTAAACGAATACAAACTATAGATACTTTAATACTTGAACTCATAACACAGTAGCCCTATACCGTTTTCAGGAGGGTAATGCGCCTGCAAATACGGTTTTGACAATGTGTTATGATATTCCTGTACAAAGTTGACGCCATAACTTGCCGACTAAATTCTTTTGGGAATAACCTCGAAGTTACGATTTGGACTACAGAAAACCGAAAAAGAGACTACCTGATAAAAACAGCATTGGAAAAAGAGACTTTTCAAAAATTTTTTAGGCACTGATTTTTTTATTTTCCTTTTACAGGCAAGGCGACAAGGTTATGGCTTTGTTACCAGGTGATGAACGTGTTTTCTTCATCAAATTCTGCTTATAAGCAAGTTATAATAAAGCCAACAAAATATTTGCTTTGATGCTCCCATGATGCCCCCCTAGCTGATCTCAAGAAACGCTCTAATTCGGTCAGTCTTCGCACAAGTTCTCTTACTAAGACTCATCTGCAGGTTTATTTAACTCGTCACAAACCCATGTCCTTTTCACTGCTAAACAGAGATAAACATATTATGAATTCCTGTTACCTCAAGCCCAGGTTAAGCCATTTACAACGTTAAACGTTTGGTGTTGTATTAACCAGGAGGAGGGTATGCGGAATATGTTGCTGTTGAAGAGGTCCTTGTCATGCCTGCACCTGATTCTCTTGAACTTTCTGATGCGGCAGCCATTCCTGAAGCATGGCTAACAGCATATCAGCTCCTGCACTTTCTCGGGCGAGTTGAGAGTGGTGATGTAGTGCTTATTCATGCTGGTGGCAGTGGTGTTGGAACAGCACTGGTGCAGCTGTCACTAGTGGCTGGAGCACAGCCATATGTGACTGCAGGCTCAGAGGAAAAGATCAAAATGGCAGAGTCACTTGGAGCCAAGGGAGGCTTCAACTATAAGACAGGAGATTTTTCCAACTGGATAGAAAGTGTTACTGGAGGTAACATATCATCTGTATGAAAAGGAAAATGATTTACTGACACTCTTGCATTGGAAATCTGGTCCAATTTAGTGTTGGCACAAAAGCGAAAGCTGTATTTCATTTTTGCAAAAATACAATTCTAAAGCCCCAGATCGGAAAAATCACTATGGGTCAGAATGATCATCTGCATCATAACAGTAGAGCTGGACTGTAATAAAGCGTTTTTTGCATTCTAATTTTCCTGCTCCTTCGAAGAAATATGAAGCAAAAGATGTCCTATTGATTTATTTACATTTATTTTATTACAGGAGTATGCAATATTGAATTTAGGCCACTACGCAGTCCTTGCATTTGTGACGGAAGTAAAACAAGATGCGTAGTGTAACAATTCAGAATTCCCTTGTTTTGAAATTGGTTATACTTAATGGCTCGCGAAAATCCGGGAGCCAGCCAGTATTTTCTAGTTATTACACTTGACAGAAAAAATTCTACATCATCATTACATTTTCAGGAAAAGGAGTGAATGTGATTCTAGACTGCGTTGGTAGCTCTTTCTGGGAAAAGAATATCAAAGTCCTTGCTGTTGATGGTCGTTGGGTGTTGTATGGTACACTGGGCGGAGGAAATGTAGATGGTAATCTTCTTGGAGGTCTACTCAAAAAGAGAGGTTCTCTGATAGCCACAACCCTAAAGCATAGACCTCTTGAGGTAAATTATTCTTAATAAAAAAATACTTCTCGCGTTACACTGCGCTCATTGACAGGAGAACGTAGTCTAATTCCGGGGTTCTTGCGCTTTTAAACAGTGATCTTTTACGTTGTTCGTTATCTTTTCGGCGTCATCTTAAGTTACATCATATGCTTTCACTTTCGATTTCTCTCTTTTTTTACTGAAGGAAGTATATCAAAATCCCCCTATACAATTATAACGAACTTTGTAAGAAAAACGTGCCGCCTTTTTGTGCCTCTTTATTTCGATTTGTTTTTTGTTTTGTTTAGTTTTGTTTTTTTTCTTTTGCTGTTGTTGTTATTTTTGTTCTCGTTGTTCTTCCCATGCTGGTATATTCCAAGTTTCCAAGAGCTAGTACGACAGCAGTGACATTACTTGTTCCCGAAATATGTATTTTCTTCTTATTTCACAGTACAAAGCTAAATTGGTACGAGCGTTTACGGAAAACAGTGTTCCTTTATTCGCCGCTGGAAAGCTGAAGACCATCGTGGACTCAGTCCTTCCCATGGATCAGATACAGCTTGCTCACGAGAAGATGGAGTCCAACAAAAATATTGGAAAAATAGTTGTTCAAATAGCAGCACCTTGAAGGAGACATCACACAACTTCTATTTAGAAGATTTAGCTTCACAGAATATGACTTGAAGTAGAATTAGACAATAATAGTCAAAACAACAAATAGCAACGTAGGTAAAAGTATATCTAAACTGATAGCAGATAGAGAATTTCACAAGGATTTCAAACACGTAGGCTAAATTTTCAAGACGCACTGACCTGTTCCAAGCATTCAGACAGTTCATATGAGCAAAAGAGCAAACTGAAACAGTTAGATCCTTACTGTGTTTGCACGCCCGCTCTTTTGCAAAAGATATGCATCCTTTTAACTGGGTGCGAATAAACCTCAAACCAGTATACGTTATTTATGAATAAATTGTATTCCCGATTTTTAAATATCTATTTACGATTAAAATATCGCAGTAGTCACCTTGCAGTTTTTTCGGGGGGAAAGTCATAGGCGACGCTCCCAAACTGCACCTTTTCCGGGTTACATTTAATCAATTAGGCACCAATCACGAGAGAAGCATAAAAATTGTGAGTCTAACCTCAAGATCTAAGCGCTTGCTAATTGTTTTTCGGGTAATTTGTCTATTCATTTTGCCCATTACTTTTTTCACATCTCCGGTTTAGTTTGTGAGCGATTTCCTTCGTCAGCTATACCTTTTCGCACGTTTCTCATATTGCGCGTCATTTCGCAGTCCTCTTGTATTTAAAGCCAGTTTCTTTTACGCATTATCACTTTTCAAGTCAGTTTACCTAAAGTCGCACTCAGCGCAGTTCTCTGTTTTGAAGTCTTCAAGTCATTCGATTTTCCAGCCATATATTAGGCGTTATTAATGTGATTACTTTTTCCGTTTCGCTTCGGTTGTAATCGTTTTTTGTTTACTGATTGTTTATCCTAATTTGTTAACTTAACTCTTATTTATGTTTTTAGTTCCAACCTCCCATAACTTCTGAATAAAGGGGATAAGTTTCTGAAGAAACTGTGGTGCTGCGTCGGTAGGAGAGTATAACAGGGTAATTTAGTATTATCACGTGAGTTGATAATACTAAATTACCCTATTACCACTACTGCTGCTGTCTAAATAAAAAGTATTTCGAGTCGAAAAGATAACGTGTTTACTGTTACACCAACCATACTATTCTAGTCTAAGAAAAAGCACGTTATTTGCATGACCATCCTACAACCAACTTCGACTTTTTCAGTAGTAGATTTTGCGCAGAAACGAAAAGAAGATTATGGACCAAGTCGGTTCACTTTATTTAGTCAAAGAGATTATAAACTGTTTATAACCTCTTGCTTTAGTTCAATATATGACTACAACACGACCCTTGTTAACTAAAATGCTTTTGGAAGCACTTTAATTGAGTTCTTAAAGTTGAGCCCACTCCACTCTTACCAGCAGTATTTCGAGTAATCCAGTAAGTACTTCATATAAAGACATCCTTCCACTCGTCCCAGGCATCCCTCGCCGCGAAGGAAACATGAGATCACTGAAATTTCTTGTAGTTGTACTATGCGATTTATTTCTAGCCACCAACATCGTTTATGGGAATCCTAAAATGAAAGCTGTTCTATTTACACCCGGTGGCGCAGAGAACCTACATATCGGCACAGCTCCAAAGCCAACAGCCGAAAAGACACGAGTGTTGATCCGCGTGGAATACACGGCATTGAATCGGGCAGACACTCTCCAAAGGCGAGGACTCTACCCTCCCCCTGCTGGGGAATCGGACATTCTTGGACTTGAGGTGTCTGGTGTGATAGAAGAAGTGGGAGAGGAATGTGTTAGGAAATGGAAGTAAGTTGTTATTTCAAGCTTTGTACCGTCCTGTATCGTCACACACTCTTCACAGGCGCTGATCGAATACTGCTTTAGAACCGTAAGGGTAGATGTAGGATGGATTACTGAATACTGAAGTACAATGACAGTTGCAGTGCAATTGTTTGAAATGTTTATTTTAGCTCCTTATTCCAGATGGATCTTTCTGTGCCAACCACAACACCCACCTTCCCCCCCCCCCCCCCCTCACACCCCTTCTATCCGAGCCTCTCTGCATAATGAAATGCTGGTAAAACGTAGCTGAATTTTGTTTTGTTTTGTTTTTACTTTTACAGGAAAGGCGACAAAGTTATGTCTTTATTGGGAGGTCAGTACGTTATTTCATAAAGTCTTGCAGTTCTTTCTTTACCTTGAAAGCACCAGTGCCACAAGCAGCTAAGAGAAGATTGGGGCAATGACCTCTGTTCTCATTGTTGGAAGGGAAGCGGTTCTCAACAAGCTTTGTTCTTTAGCCAAAAAATTATGCTATGTAGATACAGGGGTGTAGCAAGGATATTTTAAGGATGGGAAGGTGTGTAGGTTATTAATTTAATTGTGCCTTACATATAGGGGACTGACACATGCTCTACTTCTTTATATATATGATCTTGTATCATAATGTATGAAGGACAGGCACTAGAGAACATTCATGCCATGTACATTCTTTATATTCGCAGTTTTTCACAAACCATAGTATGAGATTTGTGTTAATCTAATCACTTAATGAAAATTATCTCTCAAAGGTAAGGGATGGGTGAGTGATGAGCACCTCAGGAACCCCCCCCCTCCCCCTTAGCCATGTCCCCTGTAATAACTGGCTTTTATGGGCATTGTAATATTCTGTAATTTACTAATTTGCTGTTTTCTGATAAGGAGGAGGGTATGCAGAATATGTTGCTGTTGAAGAGGTCCTTGTCATGCCCGCACCTGATTCTCTTGAATTTTCTGAAGCTGCAGCCATTCCTGAAGCATGGCTAACAGCATATCAACTTCTGCACTTTCTTGGGAGAGTTAGAAGTGGTGATGTGGTGCTTATCCATGCTGGTGGCAGTGGTGTTGGAACAGCACTGGTACAACTGTCATTAGTGGCTGGAGCACAGCCATATGTGACTGCAGGCTCAGAGGAAAAGATCAAAATGGCAGAGTCACTTGGAGCCAAGGGAGGCTTCAATTATAAGACAGGAGATTTTTCCAACTGGATAGAAAGTGTGACAGGAGGTGTTGTATTATTCAAAGATAGTTCATGAATTCTTGATGCTGTTTTGATGACAATGAAAAGCTTATATGTCTGTTTTTGAAAACAAGTTGGTGGTAGAAATCTCCCCCTGTCTTCCTTTTCCTAACTTAAAACTTCCTTCTCTGGCATCAACTGAGCCTTCACCTCCAAAGACCTGATTTAATATTTCCCTATAGACTGCTTCTATAATAAAATTTTAAATTTTAAAGGGAAATTAGGAGGTGTGTCAAGATAACACCTAATCTCCTACCCAGACCCTACCAGTTAGCTGTAACTGAAATGCATGGCTGTGGAAGGTCTGGGTACAAGATCTAGATTAGATAACACATTAGAAATTATTGCTTTGTCTCTTCTCATCATTTTTCACTAGACAGTGTAATGAAACTTCAAGGTTTTAGAATGAAATACATTTTTAAAGGTTGCAATGGCAAGCTGTAATTCTTAATCTACAACAGTATGTCTTGTGTCAAAGACAGCTCTTTCTGGCCCCCTTCCCCTGCCCCTCCACCTCTCCTCCCTGATAATGTAAGAAAATTCTACCAAATGTTTCCTACAGCTTTCTGCCAAAGAAAATACTGAGATTATAAACTGGATACCATAATGATACACTAATAGAACTGTTAGCTGTACTATCTACAATGGTGCGAGGCCTTTGCACTCTGGCAACATGCTACTTGTGTTAAGATTTTTAGGAATTTTTGTTATTTCCTCAGGAAAAGGGGCAGATGTAATCTTTGACTGTGTTGGTAGTTCCTTCTGGGAGCAAAACATTAGGAGCCTCGCTCTTGATGGTCGTTGGGTACTGTATGGTTTGTTAGGAGGAGGAAATGTCAGTGGGAACTTACTTAGAGATTTGTTAAAAAAGAGAGGATCACTCATAGCCACAACACTGAGAAGTAGATCTCTTGAGGTAAGTTTATTCATCTTGAAGAGTGGTGTCCTATAGGAAATCAGAAAAGGAAAGTCTTAAATTGCAGTGCTCAGTTTCCATATTGATGAAATGCATCAATCCTCTGCACTCCCTCAACAACCCTGTGACAAGGTCAAGAAAGACCTTGGAAATGAGATTCAGCCACTCCCCTCCCTCCTCATTTTTTTCATGTCAAAGGACCCCCAGGACATTTTATATTTTCTCTATTTAACTAATTTTTAAATTTATTCCACAGTACAAGGCAGAATTAGTGCAAGCATTTACAAAAACCATTGTTCCACTATTTGCCACTGGTAAAATGAAGACCATTGTGGACTCAGTGTTTACAATGGATCAGATACAACTTGCTCATAAGAAGATGGAGTCCAACCAAAACATTGGAAAAATAGTTATTAAGATAGCTACACCTCAAGTAGATGAAAACGTCACAAAAAATAAATCTGAACTCTGATCTGCATTTGGCTCTCTAGGCCAGGTGTAGGTTAGCTTCTCAACCACTCACCCCTGTTAGGGGTGAATGGTTGAGAAGCTAACATGGTCGTTGAAGGGTTTTTTTGGCCCTCACTATGTACAGTTCTAGGGCATAACAATTAACTTACAGACCAATACAAACTATCCATTAATTTATTCGATCATAATATTTGTCTGCATAATGAAAGACTGTGCTCGGCCAGGAAGCTTCCCACAATCCTACAGCACCTCTGCTTTCATAGTCTATTTTTGCATGATTTTCAACCCTGTAATGTACTTTGTCTCGGGAGGAAAGGCTATTGGCGTCGCACAAGCAAATGCTGAAGAACGTAGGTTCAGTTTGTTGACTGATTCATTGATAGGACAACAGAGAATAGTAATTTGGTCAAGGGACCAAAAAAACGGTCACGAATATCTAATTATACGAATAGATCGGTTTGAGTGTCCATTTTAGAGTAAGTTAGTGTATATTTTCCATCCTAAATACAATTTTATTACAACGGTAAAAGATGATATCAAATATATAAAACAAATAAAAAAAGAAATGGTACGAACGTCTCAATAAATATTAAAGAAAACCGTGTGTTTCATATTCTACTTAAATGATTCCCGTTTTAAATAGAAATTCATTATAATCTCATTACGTTGCATAAACCTACTTGGAACACGTCAGTTATCAGACAGCTGCAATCGTGCGTAAAATACAAGTATTATTTATCTTAGTGGCTATTTTAATATTTACACCATTTACACACGAAAAAAAAAAAGAGACCAGTTGTTGAGAGACTAACGTTAGTAAGGATAACTTCTTTTTCTGCTTCTTATTTGCTGTCCTGTGGATGGATGTTCTGCAAAGCTGTCAGGACAACCACAAGAAAACCACGCAACGGCGTGGCCATTTGTATCATAAATTTGACGGAAATGTATGGGGAAATCGAAAAGTTCCATAACATCCCACAAACACTCGTGAAACTTCAAATTAAACATTTTACTACTAGGTATTACTATATAATTTGTTTTATCAACTGAGTTGATGATGTAAATTAGCCATTGTAAAGATTTTCTACAGCTGAAGTTTCGAGCGTTAGCGCTTAGTCAGAGCGAATAATGTACTAGGTATGTTGTATTGTGGTTTCTGTAACTGAAGATGCAAAATTTTACCGATTCGAAGGGTTCGGCAGCGGACAATCATCCGAGTGCATAGTAGAACGACTTACTCTAGAAGTTTCGACATTCCCATGTATTTCCTCCAAATTCAGTTATACAAACCGACGCACCGTTTGTGTGGGTTCCTGTGGTCAAACATCACGGAGGATCGTCAATTAACGCATGCGTAAAGAAAGTTCAAGATTGACGAAGGTGCATTGCAGCTTTGTAGTTGCATCAAACTTTCTTGACAAGAAGATGAAGAGTTGCATTGGGCACTAAACCACATTCTTGTAAAGTTGCGTTAGGATCATCGTAAACTCTGTTAGGAAAAGACGTTTTCATTTCGTAGGATGGAGCATCTTTCGGCCTATAGAAAGAAAAAGAAAAATTCCGTTAAATGCTACGGACAATTTTCATTCTAATAAGACATTGTTTAAGGCATAAGTCCCACTTGGGAAAGGTAAAATTACACGAACGTCTGCAAAGTGCGGTAAAACGAGAGAAGAAGTCCAAGCTCATAAATTGCAAATTGGACGTCCACAGCAAGTGATTTAATAGCAACAACCATTGATGTTTCGAACATCTCTTCATTCATTTCGATATGAGCATAGCTCAATTTGATTATCTAGTGAACCGAAACATCGACATGAATAAGTTTTAGTTTTTCATCCGATAGTGTTCTATCGTTTCTTTGCATACCTTGCAGCATCAATGTGACTTCTAACATCTCGTATACAATCTGTAAACTTCATCTTCAGGATATATGTCTAAAGAGACGAAAAAGTCAAATGAAGGGGTTGAAGAGACTTGTACGACAAAAATAGATAAATACGTACATAAATAAATGAAATAGAAAATAAAACAAAACAAAACAAGATCCAACCATTTCTCCTGTCTCTGATTTGATCCTCAAAGTAGAAACCTGTGTTTTACCGGCTGATTGAGGTCTTGTAGTTTCAGCACCTCTAAAGGAATACAACGAAGACAATGAAAAGTCTTAAAAAGGAGAGGCATGCGAAAACGTACAATTTTATTTCTGCCATTTAAAAAGTTTAAAAGAAAAGTTAACCATTCCCCGCGCGTAACCTATCCGCTCGAATATCGTCTTCAAATGAGCTCGAAATTCGGCCACGGATGCCGTAATTTTGAAACAGATTATTAACCTAGCCACAACTGTCCCAAAATGGCAGCAATCACTAAGCTCGATTCACAGAAGCTGCCGCTCTTGTAGTGGCAAAAGTTAGCTGAACAGCAGCAGCTATGACCCGCGCCTACTGGTTCTCGCAGTTTGAGTTGAACTCTGGGAAGTCATGCATGAAGCATCAGGTAACTGAATTGCTCCACATATACTTTTACTGGCGGCGATTAAGATCAACAGAACACTTTTCTCCGATGCTAGTACCTGAAAGTCTGTGACTATGCTATACGTCCTAACGAAAGGAAACTCCAAATTTCCTAACCTTAATTTTATCTCTTGAAGCACAGGAGTGTCTAGAACTTGGATATCTGATTGTCTTTCTCCACCCTGTTAAAGCGAAAAGCTCTATTCAGTTGGATCAACTTTTGCAAACAACTTCTCTCAATGTAAAACAGAATATTTAAAACGATAATAGTTAAGTACAGTACAAGAGGCTGGGAAGAGAAATTAATTTTTACCAAGGGGTGAGTGACGGGAAAAAGGGAGGAGAGGGGAGGGAGTGTCGCAATGGAAACCTCGTCTTCCACGCCTCCTCCCCCCATCTCCACTACAACTCTCAGTCAAAAATGACCGGCCGGATAACGACTGCGAGCTTGTATCGCTAGTTCGTCCTAGTAAGACGCCTGCACCGCAGGCTAATTGATATCATTTTCAGTGGTTTTCAACACTTTAATAAAAGAAAAGGAAAATATCACTTCAGTTCCTATCTGTGAGGCTACAAACCTTGATAACATTTTCCACTCCTGATCTCACGTCAATTATTTTACCATCTTTGATAACAGACTGCGGAAGCCGCGACAAAAATTGATCCACGGACTGTTGCTTTTGCCCTGAAAAATTCAAATAATGGATTTTCTGGATAAAAGAAAAACGGTAAGAATACTAAGCAATATAAGTATCATTGCGCAGAAGGTTATTGCCTCCTTTTTATTTTGCTTTATTTTCAAAGTGAATGCCACCGACTAAACAAACCTGGTGTGTGACTCTCGACTCGGTGGCTTTTGGCATTTTCCTCACCAGCCAATGACTTCCCTGTTCCAGGAAACAGAAGTGCTGTCCTTCTGTCTTCAAACACAATATCTCTTTTGTCCTGTACCTGTCACACACAAAACAAGACGCGAATCAGTTACATAAAACTTGGTTGCGTGCAGCTCGTTATCGTAAATATTTCGCGGCAACAGTTCAATTTTGAAATAGATACTCGCGTGAAAATTAAAGTGTCATCATATGACGATCAAGGTGAACATTTCACCTGCACTGTCCACCTCAATCAGGAGGACATTATGTCATGAGAGGTTGAGCCGGAATAAACCCTTCGATACTGCTAAGAGTTAAATAAATTTAAGCAAGCACCTCAAAAGGAACTCCACCGGGATATCTGGTCTGTAACTCACTTGGAAAATATCCGTCCATTATATCTTGCATACATTGCTGAAGAGAGTATGACCGCAAAAACAAAAAATCAGTGTAAGCAACGATACAGGAGTTTTACTGAGCATACACAGCAATTAAATATTTATCGGTGATTACTTTGATAAAAGGCATTGATATATGAATTTTAATGCACGTACTGTAGCTTGTTTAAATGTGAATCGAGATGAAAATATTTGAAGGAAACCCATACATCTTTTAAAGTTTTTTTACGTAACAAAAAACAAACAGCAGCAAAACAAAACAAAACCAAAACTAAAAACGATCACTGAAGCTCGTAAAAACAAGTTTTGAAAATATTTGAGATCTGTAACATCATTTTCAAAGCGGAAGCTGGAATTAGCTCAGGTCTGCAACAATCGCTAACATAAGAATAGACACAACTCTATGTCACATGTAAGAAGACAACTGACTTCTAGGAAGAGAATTGAAAGTCTCTCTTTAAATTTCCAATTGAGCGAAGAAAGTAATCAGGAATTGCATTGGTTTTGCTTTATTTTGCTCTCTAATTGGTCTAGAAAGTTCGCGCCACCTTATCAACCAATCAGATGCAAAACTAAAACTAATCGCGCCTTGGTCGCTCGCGTTTTCCCGCGCTTTACGAGTTTGCTTGTTGTTACTCTGCGTTCTAATAGGCTTCTGGTGATATCTTCCTTCGTTCTAATTGGCCGTTGTGATTGCTTTGTTTTGGTCTCATGACATTCAATGAAAAACTGCTTTACGTAATAAACGACTGGTGACGAATTACTAACCTGAGTAACTGGATCTGAATATGGCCTGAAAGGTCCTCCAAACATAAGAATGCCGTTTGAATACAAAACCAAGGGCACGGAATCGCGAACCTAAATTGAATCATTAATAAATATTAGACACTGCTGAACATTTGGAGTTTAAGTCCAATGGTAAAGGAAACATTCTCAAAAGATAGGGTCATACCCATGTTAGGAAAGAGCGGAAAAAATTGCCTTACAACATGTAGCTTCCTACCTCAATTAGTAACAAAGCACTCAACTAGTATCTAGTCTACGAATAGGCCAACATTATCTTCCTTATTATAAGTTCTACAAAAATTCCTCACCTTAAGTCGTGCTCCATCTTTAGTCCGTGATACATCACTACAGCCCTCTCCTGCCAGAATGTTCAGTTCCCTGATATTCTTCAAAACAACATCAAAGTCCATTTGAAAGTCATATGGTGCTGACGTAACCAGAGAGGAGTCTAATATCAAAGGGAAACATAAATCATAGAAATGAGTCAAAAGAGCGATTGGTATGTTGAGAAAAACTCATTATATGATGACACTTTTTGATAAAAGGAAGACTTGCTTTTTCAGTGAAAAGGAAATGATAAGTAGGTTGTAGTTTCATGGTCCAAATTGTGACCAACAAGTCGCCAATGCAAACTTGAGCTCAAAAAACGAAATGTCCGACATTTCTTTCTTTTAACTTTTACACATTCAACTGGTGATCGTTCACATGGAGATATATGCTCTAACAGACTACAGGTTGTCCCTGCTTTTCGGTGAAGTCCGTTCCACGAGTCAGAAAAAAATTTGTGAAAAATTGATGTTAGCTTACACAGTGTTTCGCGGGGCACACTAACAATTTTTTTTACAGACTTTCTTACTTGCGCGACGGACTTCGCCGAAAAGCATGGACTGCTCGTAGTCTAGTTCTTTAAGCAAAAACACATATATAAAACCTTGGGACTTTTTTGAACCGGTCATATAATTATTTCCGTATGTTTAGATGGAAAACAACACCGCTATGGTACAAGTCCCAGAATGCGTTGCGGAGTGGGGATGCAAGGATCTTTCGACACCACGTTTAGAGAGAAACAATATGAAAAGGCTCAGTTTACTTGGATTCCAAACTCCTTGTCTGCTGACTGAGCTGGGGGCAGGTGTGGATGTTGGTTCTTCTAAAACTTCATAATCAGAGTCACTAGCGTCATCTCCAACCCAGACCATACCATAATCAGCAAGGAATTCCTGTGGTAAAGAAAAGAAACCTTGCGTTTAACAATTGGAGTTGGAGTGAAGCAACGGAACTTACACTAAGTGACTCAATGTCCATCGTTTCCGGGTCAAAATTGGAATTTAGAGTGTTGCTTTTGGCGGCGGGAAGAAAACTGAACATCCCGGAGAGAAACCGTCGAACAACAAACTCAACCCACGTGTGAAGTCAGCTCTGGGAATCGAACCCAGGCCACAGTGGAGCGATGCCATCTCCTCCTTTTACTAAAAATCCTCAGTCTAAAAATCACGGATGACTCTTCCTCTGTTCATAAGGCTACAATTCACGCGCGCGTGGCCATGACCATTGCGTGAGCGCAGAAAGTATGCACAGCGAGAAAAGCAGGCAGTGTCCTTAAAGTAAATCGAGAACTCATTAACCCCCCTCCGGTTATTTTTACCCCCACCCAGGATGTAAAAATACACCTCCTCGCTTCATGCAACAAAACAGCCATGTTCATACCTCCATCTGAAACACTTGGGTCTGTAGTCTTCTACACTTCTTCTCCAACTCTGTTATTGTGCCAGAGTTATATCCTAAAAAAGGCAATTTAGTATATTAGAATCACGTTCAAACATTTTGTGATAGCCCTTATAAAAAGTTTGAGAGCAAATAGTAGCAACTATAAAATGTATGTATGCAATCAAATACATGACTGTGCATTTGCTGACGGGTTTCTGTGTGTTAACCATTGTTTTTACCTCGAGCTTTCTCCAACAATTTAGCTTTTTCTTCGAGTATTCTTATCTTCTTATCCTACAATAGATAAACACAGACAACAAGCTAACCTATCATTGATATACACAAAGTGATAATTTGACATTGTTCCTCTGAATCTCTATCACAACAACTCATGGGCTCTTCAGGCAAAATGCTCCCTGATGCCTTAGGGGTGTAACTAGAGGTAATGATGCTGCAGTAGACTATGTCTCTCCCCACCCTCAAGTGTAACACCAGCACACTATCAGAATAGCTGATAAATTGGATATTCACGATTGATGTAAGAATCATAGCAAAAAATAAGGGAAAAGAGAAAGAGAGAAGCAAAATTCTTCATCAAGTTTTGCCATGGAATAAGCTCCTGCTCATTGTTACTATAAATATCATAGTTATTGTTAGTAGTTTACTGCACTCTGATAGATCATAACTTTATTTAAAGCATTATAATGTATGGTAAGACTTTGATGAAATGACATACAAAAAGATATCTGCTATTCGCCATTGCACATTACACCATGATATATAAGAAGCAGGAAAATGAGACCTAACTATTTTCATTATGCCTCAACATTATACTTCTCATTTTATATTGGTCTCAAGCGCACAAGTGTGGTTAAACTTTGAAACCAGACTTGTAAATCAAAGACCACAGTGAATCCTCAATACACATCTTTTAACCAGTTATTGGATGAGTATTGGTTGACTATTACAGGCAGTAATACAACACAGTCAAATAAATGAAGGATATGGCAAACATTTTGGGCTACCCTAAATGTCGTCAATGATGTGCACAGGGGCAGCTGGCTCTCACCTTTTCTCCTATCTGTGCCTGCGCAGATTTTAGTTGTTGTTCCACCTGAGCCAGACGTGACATCATACTGCTCAGAAGATCTCTATCTGATGGTGCTATAAAACATCAGCAATTAATGGTTGCATTTATCCATGAATCACCACAAAATACCAAATTAAGGCTGCAACTTCTACACTGGACAATTTCCTAGGTTTTTGTTGGAATGTACTGTAACTGTCAGTCCAACATATTTTTGCCTCATATTGTGAGTATTGTTGTTGATAGAGATAACTGACAGCAAGTAGGCTGATAAATTATCACATTTATAACACATAGCAAAGGATAAAATTATATGAATTATTTCAATATTTATTTATTGATCATAAAAAAAATGTACTGAAAATTACAACCTCAAAGTTCCTTAACAACAATAAACAAGCTTTATTGGGGTCTTCATCAACTGAGTGCTTTGTAGTATAATAAACAATTATTCCACTAGCCTGTGTTAAATATAAGATTTTAGATGGCCAACAAGGCCTGTATGGCCGGGTTCGCTATAATCACCTAATACCCAACAAGCATGAGTGGAATGGATAAATCTCCCCATCTTTATTTTATTATGTTATTTTTTTGATGCATACACTTACAATATTTTTAGAGCACAGTATAATGGCTCATAACTCATCATGGCTATTGGCTATGAAAACTCTTGACGTGCACTATCCAATGATCCAGTTTTTAACAATTGATTTTAGAAGGAGGACCTATGTTGTTGTATGGAACTCTCCTTTAATTAGAGAGTAAGTATGAAAAATATTTACATTTACCAGTGAGCTACCCTCACCATTTGTTGAGCTTGAGGACTTTGGTACTTTAGACAATCCATCTTTCTTCAATGAACCACCAGGAAGTTCGACTTAATGGAATAAATATCAACACACCACATTAAATGATTGCAAACTAACAAAACAACAAACTCAATCCCTATGAGGAATCAAATCTTACATGATGCTATTGACATCCCTGATCCTAGTAGTATGCAGGATGCGTGTCATATGAACTTTGTAATAGACCTTGCTCACCATAGAGTGGCTTAGTGGTAGAACATCGGAGTACAGAATCTGAAGGTCTGAGGTTCGATTCCTTATAGGGACTCAGAATTTTTTCTTTGTCCCATGCTTGTGACAAGAAAAAAAACATCTTTCTATGTTTCTTTACAGAGCTCAAAACTTACTATCTGTCTTATTCTATTTACAATAAAACTTTGATTACTAACCTGAAGCATGCTCTAAATTTCTGAATGGAACTTGAGCTTGCCTGAAAAATTTGAGAAAACAGATTAAGCGTATCTGTCAATAGAATTGATAACATTTTCAGGGACTGAATAATTCTTCTGTTAAGTTGAAGTTTCCTGAGTTAATTGTTGCTTCTATTTCAAAGTGTATTCATCTCCATGACAACCCATAACCTCTTTTTACAAGATAAATATTGTAGATTTTGTCTGTGTGGTGTCATTTTATTACAAACTAACATTTACTCTTTTTTTTCTGTTTTTTACAATTATTATCATCATAACTGTTACTATTATTGTTAGTTGGAATAAAAATATAATAAATTTTAAAAAAGGCTCTGTTACCAAGAATAATTATGAATCGTGACGCGTTATCTCTCTTGATCATGACAAATTCAAATTTTAGATCAGTCAAAAATTTTTGAAAATTTATTCATGTTCACCCCATGCAGATGGAAAAACATAACATTAATCAGTGCTTTATTGAAACATACTTTGACAAATAACCCAAACTCAAAAGATAGCCAGACGAGAAACAGTAAAGAAGCAAACAATTCAAAGCCTTGATCGGTATAGTATCGTTCAAATTGTCATGAAAACAACCAATACATTTAGACCGGTAGTAACCAGAGAAAACACAAAGACAGTCCACATTTGGACCAAGTTATCTTAGCAACGCAAAGCGACCTAGAAAATGTGCTCATTAAAACTTATCTTTGTTTCCAATTTCAACTGTTACCTGGGATCGAGTGGAGTCCTTTTCCCTTTCTTCAAGCTGGAAATTGGTGAGCTCATCGTCTTAATATTTCTGAAATTTTGCGAGCCTTTTTTACCTAAAAATTAACCGCAATCTGCTGCGAATCTTTCATAACAAACAGAAATCCGAAATGTCCGCCATTCGCCGCCATATTGGTTGTGAAGTAGTTACCAGTCTTTCTCAAATAAACTTCTGAGCCTGATAAACACGGTGGTCATGAGTTTAATGCACACCGGCAAAAAGGGAGAGGATTGAATGTTCCGATCTTCTCTTCGAAGAAACAAATTTGAAACTAATTATGGGATCTAAAAGAGACCTTAAGGTAGGCACCGTTCTTCTGACGCCATTACTTGGATTAACATCGAGAAAAAGCGAGAATGATTCTTCGAACGCACTACATAATTCCATGCCATCGATTTGCTATCTTCCTTCGCGATCGTCGAAGAATTTGTTGGGGTTGGAAAGAGAGAGCGTTGAAAATGCCACAGTGTCATTACATCAGGTAAGTGAAGCAAAAGGCAATTAAATGGTGCAACAGTTGGAGTTATAGCTTAAAAAAATTTGGTTTATGCGTAAACTTGTTAATTGGGTTTTTAACACATTAACCAACCTCAGTGTAAAGTTGTTTTTCTTTCTTATTTTTTGCGTAATTACTATTCTGAGCTCATCTTGTTGATAACTGTTTTTAAGAAGGATGAAAAATTTCACAAAAATATCTAGAGATAGTCGGAAGCTCTATACTGTAGTAAAAATGCATGTAATCAACTCCCTGAGTGTAAACAAGTGTATGCAACGCTTGGATGTATATCAAATTTGATTAATTACTTACAAGTACTTAACATTAACAGTATCGGTAAACTTTGATGGATTTTCGCTGAATCTCTGGAGCAATCATGAAAGTGTTGATTTAAACTCTGGAAGTTTTGGAAAACGAGATGATCGTCTTAGGTCGGGTTTTGACGGCTCGGATTGAATGCAAATGAAATTAATTTCTGTCAATTGTTTCCGCCCTCATTAAACGCACTTGATGGCAACATATGCCTTTTGTTTTGGAGCTTTCTTTGCAAGCAGAGGAAAAAATGTTCATCCCAAATGAAATCTTCTTTGGCTGTGCACAGATATAAAGCATGAACTGGATAAATTAATTCAAACTAGTTAAGAACTCTCGATGTACTTCATCGCATATGGGATGCATAATTAGTGGAGCCCACGAGAGAATCTGAGCGAGATATCAAGGAAAGCATATTCTTTCCAAATGCACAGGGTAACTTGTGAAAATCAGACATGAAAACACAAATACCATCGCAAAATTTATGACAGTATATTTTGAGAGGTACGATTCATCTGTGAAAATCAGACATGAAAACACAAAAAACATCGCAAAATTTATGACAGTATATTTTGAGAGGTACGATTCATCTGTGAACCAGTCTGTGCACAGATATAAAGCATGAACTGGATAAATTAATTCAAACTAGTTAAGAACTCTCGATGTACTTCATCGCATATGAGATGCATAATTAGTGGAGCCCATGAGAGAATCTGAGCGAGATATCAAGGGAAGCATATTCTTTCCAAATGCACAGGGTGACTTGTGAAAATCAGACATGAAAACACAAAAAACATCGCAAAATTTATGACAGTATATTCTGAGAGGTACGATTCATCTGTGAACTAGTCAAGTTCACTCCTAAGATCCTAATAGCAATTCTCCTTACTACCTGCTGTACAATTCTTATGATGTTAGTTCTGAGAATTTGATATTTGATCATTTAATAATCCCCTTATTGATATTCTTCTTTATTCTCAACACCTGTCTGCTTGATATTGTATTGCTATTGTAATGAGAAATTCTATCTTGGTCACTCATGAGAGTGAAAGGGTTAATTAGTGAATGCCTATATGCAGATGTATTCATGATATGAGGATCACGTCATGTCAGATAAACAGTGAGTCATTTTCAATCCCAGGCTCACACATCATTAAAATCAGCCCTGAGGTTTTCAACTTTCTTTAACTAAGAATTTTATGACCAGACAAAGCAGATATTGCAATATGTCAATGGCAAGCAGATCATTTATTTGCTTGTGTGTAACCTCAAAGCTGAGATGTTAATTCTTTAGTTGATATTACACCAAATTCTCTCATCTGATTTTTAAAGAAATATGTATTGTAGTCGGAGGAGAGAATTCCCGTTGACATCTTTGGAATTAAAGGTAAAAGATAGAAACTCTGGTGGTGCCTTGAGCATTTGTCTTTTATTGAAGTTTTTCAACTGATTTTGTCATAATTTTATCTTTTCAAAGGCAGCTCGAGATGGGAAACGGGAACTTGTAGATAGAAGGCTTGAAATATTAGGTAAAGGAAACAAGAAGATCAACAAAAAAGACCAGGATAACACAACTGCACTGCATTATGCTGTCCGCTACAATCACCTTCAAATTGTTAAGTTGTTAATGGAATATGGTGCAGGTAAGAGACACTGTGATTGTGTAGTTTGATCATCCAGGTAAGGGTCATTCTGAGAAGGACTCTTGTTGTTAGTAGTGACTGACATTTCAATAACCTGAGGGAAGTCATTGTCAGAGTCACTTGACACTGATGATGTCAGAGTCACTTGTGGAAATGCCAGTCACCTTCTCAAATGTTACCCTTGAGTTCAAAACATTTACTGTAAGGAAACTGTTAAGGCTTGCACATCAATGGAGAGGCTGTAATTTAATTTATGGTGTTTACAGAATCTTCTAAAGAATCAACTACTCACCCCTGGATGGGATGCTAATCCATTGCAACATTACACTCCAGCATTTTACCAGGCTTCCCTGACAATATACCACTACCCATTTTTTTCAGTATGTCATGATAATCTTTTTTCTAGATGTTGAAGCAAAGGGAGAAGATGATGCCACACCCCTTCACTATGCAGCCAGGTTTCGACCAGTCCCCAGAATGAATGGAGGTACTCCAAGACTAACACCTCAAGTTACACCAAGTCCTAGTATGGAGAACATGATTGACGTCGGCTTGACTCTGAAGAGAGATGATAAGAAAAAGGATGGAGGCAATGGTAGCCTCAACAAGGGTGCAAAGGACAGATTGCTGGGCTCATTGAATAAACGCAGGGAGACAATTGGAAATAAACTGTTTAGCAAAGATCACTTGACTGTAGAAAAGAAGAATTCTCTGCCAAAAGATATGCCAATTGTACCACAGGGGGTAGAGACTATGATTATGTATTTACTGTCGCGAAAGGCCAATATTAATGCACAGGACAGCTATGGTTCCACTCCTTTGCATTATGCAGTTAATAAAGGTAATCCTGATGCAGTTAAGGAGCTATTGGCAGACCCAGGTATTGATATTGAGGTAAGGAAACACTATGTTTATGATTAAGCTGTGCATAGGGTGTCAGGTACTGTCACATTGGATCAACAGAAAAGAGTGATTTCACCACTGGGAGGCTTCATTCAGTAGATAATCCAGTAGGCAATAGTGTGGTAGCATTGACCCATTAGTGAAGTGGTGTTTAGAAATATGGGTGGGTTTAAATCACTCCCACCTTTGGCAATCTTGTTTTGTTACTTCCTTGAGTCATCTTGTGTTCTCAGTCAGGCATGGGTGGAAGGAGCCATGACCATTAAGCTCAGTGCTTCGTTAGAGGGTTCCTTCTCTTGAAGCATTTCTGCAGATAGAAGCTAATAGTTGTTTATATGCCTCAATCTGCCACTCAGCTAATTACTTTTAAACCCACTCCTACTTGTAACACTAAGGTCTGATGTGTGCCCCACTCATTTCAAGAGTGACCAGGGGTTTTTTGTTTTCATAACCGGCTTTCCACCGTAAAAACCTCAGTGTGCATATTCTCCATTCTGTTCTCTATACATTTGCTAAGGTCCTTTAGTTTCTGATCATTTGCTTTATCCTCGTGACCTTTATGTTTGATACAGAGGTGATTTGTAAGGAGAAATTAGATGTTAGTCTCTCTTGGGAGTCAAAGGCTTAGTGACAGTTTTGGAGGGCAAAGCAATCACCTCGAAGGTTCTGCCAAAATATGTGAAGAAATGAACAAAATCGTGATCTGCGAGAAACTCCTTGGAAATGAGCAAAAATATGCAGTCAATTATCAATTGAGATTTCATCAATTGAACATGAACCAATTTGCGAATAGATTCTATGTTGCCTTGCGTGTGTTAAGCAATGAATCAAGATGATGTCACAACGTGGTGAGAACATTAGAGACACACTAGGTTGTGCCTCGTGCGCCACTCAGCTGAAAAGACGCACGACAACGTAGGATCTATTTGTTTTATAATGATACAAAGCAGAATGGTGTTAGTGGTGACGTCATCTGTGCGTCTTTCCTCCGATGGAGCATAAGTAATAACCGACAGATAGATAGATAGATTTTTTATTTATCCACATAACGCCTAGGAGCATTCAGCATATTCGTTTACAATACGCATGTGCAATTACAAAATAATGAAAATAATGAAAATTACGTAAGTATAAAAGACTATAAACAATCATCTGCAGGGCACAGTAACAAATTCTTATTAAGGTGCTTAGCGATAAGTAAACGGTACAAGGTTTAATTTGTCTATTATACTTCTAAAAGTATTCACATTACCAGCGATTCTAGCCACTGCGTGGAAGAGTATTCCGTAGGTGGCTGCCAATGAATGAAAAGGAATTAAGGCCCCACTTGCTATTAAAAAAATTTTGCTCAAGCTTAGTGCCTGAGCCTCTAAGATTATAAGTGACTGTACGGAGTTTAAAGAAATCTTTAATGTAACTAGGACCATTCCCATTGAAACTTTTAAAAAGTAGGATCAAAACATTAAAAACCTCCTTTGTTCCAGTGTACGCGTGTTAATTAATTTAAGAATACTGTCATACGAAGTGGACTTAGGTAAACCTAATAACGTTCTGGGAATATAGTAATTTGCATCTTCAAGTTCAGCTTATCACATAATTTCTATTGAAATGTTCCAGGCAAAAGATAAGACTATGATGACTCCCTTGCATGTGGCGTCCGGCCAAGGATCTCTCGCTGTTGCTAAATGCCTGATTAATGCTGGGGCTGACTTGAGAAGCTTGGATGAAGAACAAATGACACCTTTGCATTTTGCGTGCATGGAAGGGAGTCTTGAGGTTGCACAATTGCTGTTTGAGACAGGTGAGTGTGATGAAATAAGAAAGCTTGTTACACAATTCAGGGTGGTCTTGAAAAGAACCGTAGTTATAGTGATATGTGCATTGATGTATCTATAACCAGACCGGAAGTCGTCATAAGAGTCTGGAAAGGAGTTCTTTTTCAGTCAAGTGTTTTAAGGCTTTTTTCTTGGGAACTGATAGGCTAGTTTCATGAAACCACCATCAACTCCCAATAACTCGCGCCTTCAAGGAAATTGAAAAACAGTAAGTTAGCGAGAGTTTGGATGATGACACTTTGTTTAATTTTGCATGACGCACTAAAGCGTTGTCATTCGCAACGGTTCACGCTCTCACAGAGACATTTTGTTGTATATCAAATCGCAACTTGGATGCCAATTCGGCCATATGATTGATTAATTTGCACCACGTGGTAAAAATGTCCAATAATCTGATTGGCTATTCCCCATTATGTCCTCGCATACTACTCTGGCCTATGGATTAGCAATAACTAATTTTTAATTACTCCTACAAGCCGAGGAGAAAGGCGGTTGGGCCTTAGTATCTAAAATGGTCACCGCTCAGGATCGTGAGGAACAAACTCCACTTCATCTCGCTGTGGAGGACGGTGATCTGAACCTGGCGAAGCTCTGCCTGGACAAAGGAGCAAACGTGAATGCACTCAAGGTGAACATGAGTACTCCTCTGCACCTGGCCGCTACAGGGGGAGACTTAGACATCGTCAAGATGTTGATAGAACATGATGCTAACATAGAAGCAAAGAATTCCGCGCAGGAGACTCCGCTGCACAGAGCAGCTTTGTTTAACAGGGTGGATATAGTGGATTATCTTTTGAGCAGGTATTGTAAATGAAACAGCGCGAACGAGCTGTTATCACAACTAAACTGAAAACGTGCTTTTTCTCCCGGTATCCGTAATTGCTGCCTTGTTATTTCAAAGGTACTGCCATAAATTCTTAAAGATGTGTGCTGTCCGGTTTTCCAAATCCTGAGCCCTTTTCTAGACAACGAGCAGTCCCTCCATTTGGCGAAGTTCATCACGCGATTGAAAAACAAAATTGGCGAAAAAACCAAATTGAAGTTAGCGCGCGGCGCAGAAAACTGGAATGAGGTGCTTACTTTTTGGGCATCACACTCCCAAGGTTTCGCGCGAGTCTTTTTGACTCGCGTGACGGACTTCACCGAAAAAGAGACACTGCTCTTCGTCTACTCTATGTCATACTAAAACATGTCATTTTTCACACCCATTTTCAGACCAGTTTCTAAACGTTTTACTTAATTTGGGATCTATTAAGCCTTGTACAAGCCTTGTACAAGCTTAGGTAAGTATCACACCGGTTCTGCACTTAAGGAAACCCAACAGAGAAATCGAACTCGAATGATTAATTTCAGGTTACTTGTCTTTTTCCGCAATTGGAGCTGAAAAGATAGATACGTGCATACGCGTTTAATGGTTCCCTTGAAAACCATACTCCATCTAGGACGTTAATTTCTGGAACCTATACCCATTTTTAGACTAAAAGGGGCACAAAAACCATATTCTTTGGGGCGGCAGATACGTAGTTCGATTATATAAGGGTGCACAAGTGTGTTCAGTGTGTTCTCCATTTCCATAGTTTTCCTCTTCTTTTAGGTAGTAAGATTTCCAAAGTTTTCCAAAGTTTGTGCAAAAGTTGGTTAAACATTCATAGTATTTAGTTATCCTGTAATTATTTTTTTACTGAATTTCATAATCTGGAAATACATATGCTCATGGGAAATTTTGTTCGTAGGGGTGCTTTCATTGAATGTCGAGACAAAGACAAAGATACGCCTTTACTGATAGCAGCGAGTAAGAATCATTTGGGAACAATTAAAACGTTGTTGAATCATGGCGCAGATATTGGAGCAAAAGACAGTAATGATGAAACTCCAATATACAGAGCGGCCTCTGAGGGATGTATTGAGGCACTTGAAGTAAGATGCTTTGTTTTGTTGTTGTTGTTTTTGTTGATTTTTTTTATTTTGTTTCGATTTATGACGTCGCTGTGGTAATGATTCCGTTAACTCAGAGGTTTTTTCCACCGTCTTATTGTTCGTTCCTTCCGCGATACCATTTTTTTCTTTGTAGGTTCCTGTTTACGTGGGATATTGATCGAATGATACTTTCTTACTTTATTTTCCTTTGTTCTACGGCATCATCAGGGAGCTTCATTCGATCAATATCCCACATCATTACGACATGCTACTAAAGGACACGTTCAAACGTTCCTGTTTACGTTGTTGGTGCCTTTGCATCTTTGTTCCTTCGTAAAATTATATATCCAATCATTCAATAATGTGCAATTGGCAACATGGGGACAGTACCGCTGTTCAAATGTTGAACGAAATTTTGTACACCCGAATGAAAGTACTTAATACTGGTTGTTGCTGATAATAGCCGTTTTAACTGAGTCGATTGTTATGTTTTATCTTTCAGTTTCTTCTCAAGGATCGCAAAGGCAAAACGCTGGCTGAGGAATACGACAAATATGAGAACACACCCTTGCATGTTGCTGCCAAAAAGGGTTATGTTAGGATTGTTCAAGTAAGTTGAACTGTTGGCGCACATTTTGATTGACTGAAAAGACCAATAGCCAATCAGAACAAAGGAAAATACCAAAAGGAGCCAATGAGAACTCAAGATGAGACGGGCAAACAACCAAAAGCGCGGGAAAACGGGATTTACCATCGGCGTAAGCTCTGCATGTGATTTGTTGAGATTTTGGCGCAAATTTTCTCGGCCAATCACATTTACATAACGGTGTTTGGCAAAAGCAATACGAAAAGGATCCTACCTAATCCCGGATTACACTTAAGTGAATGTTTGAATTTGGATTTTAAATTGTTAAATTATTGCTAAGCGAAGAATTAATGCGTGATTTGCATAATTCACATTTCAGCTTCTGATCGATAATGGTTGTTGTATCGACAGTAAGAATGATGGATCATTAACACCGCTTCACCTCGCAGCAAAGTTTGGGCGAATAAGGTGAGATTTTAAACTGTAGTGTGCTATTGAAACCACATATTTTTTCCACGCCGTTAAAATGAACTTTCTTAAATCTAGATCTCACTGCGTTTTAGATTCCAAAGGATTTCTTAACCGACTGAAAATTAGTTTCGACCAGAGATTCCGCTATTTTGAAATCAACTCAGTTACCGAGCTTCACACGCAAAATGATAACGCATATTTTTACGAACATTTGCTACCCTGGGTATCACAAAGGAATCTTTATTTGAGGCAAGGTTGCCTTCCTTTACACCGTGATATGGTTTAAACGTGTAAAATAAACGATTGAAAAAAAGGGAGAGAGACTTTACTGCGTGATAGTTTGACGGCCAGGTTGTTAAGTAAGTTTGGAATAGCGGCGTTGATGGAGAAGTTTTAAGCATATCTGACAACAACTTACAACAGTTTAGTTAGTTATTTGGAATCTCACTGCGCGGTCAGTGTCTTAATTTCTTACATACTTTCTCAGTGCAGTGGTAAAAAATCAAAAGTGTTCTGGTGTTGCTTCGTAATGTGTAGATCGTATATTTTGTAGCTGTAGGGTGAATTGAAAATTGCCAAGCTATAACATGACTTGTTTTTCCCAGAACCGTTTGTGCTCTTTTGAAGAAAGATATGTCAATTATTAACGATGAAGATGATGCCTCAAACACTCCGCTGCACCTGGCTGCGTTGCACGGATATGACAAAGTGGCTAAGGAACTGATTGATAGAGGAGCCGCTATTGACGCCAGGTGTGAAATACTTAATTCTCTTTACTTTCTTCTACAAAACTAAATAGGAAGCCGGGTATGAGAGCAAAGGATGTGATTTAGAATCAAGGTAGTGAAAACAGGCAATCGAAAGTGATGGAAGGCGCGAGGTCGATTTCCGATCACAGACGTTTTTTGCAGCAGCGCCAATGAAAAGGTCTATTGACAGTCCACGATATGTTTCGTCCAAATCAATTTCAATCAGTCCTGTTTAGCTGCGCGGTGACTCGAGGTCGTTGAGATTTGTTCTAAGTTTGGTTATGCCTCAGTCGTTACACAGTACATCACTGGCAAAACTGTTCCAGAAAAAGGGAATATGATATTCTTTTGTGCCAAAAGGATCTCTTATTTTAGACGTAACCTTGAATTAATAGCTCTCAAAATGTGGTTGCCTTATTACAGGTTATTGCGTTTCTAGGCTTAAAAATAAGCGCAATGTTTCTTGCTAAAATTTTGAGTCCTTGTATCTGTTTAGGCCAATTGACTGGTCTCCCCCTATAGTAAATTTTTGTCCGGCAAGAATTTCAGTGGTCTTCTTAGGTACATTCTGTAATTGGTTCAACATATTCTCGCCAAGTATGCAACCAAAAAATGCCAAACTAAAACCAATGGCGGCTCTGTTATCCAAGTAAACTGTGTCTGGAGGCGTATATTGTTTTGATTGCAATCAGCCGTTGTGATTACTTAGCTTGGAACACTGAATCGAAAATTACCCTAATTAAAATATTCGTTATGGGATTTCTTACACAGGAACGCTAATCTTTGGACTCCGTTGGATTGCGCAGCCGCGAAAGGTTCGGTAGACGCGGCTACTGTACTGTTAGATGAGAACTGTCCTGTGGACCCGACAGACAAGGCGAAGGTAAGGGATTATTGGCCAGTAATTGTTGTCTTGCTGATTTTTCTTTTATTCTGCAGCATCTTAAAAAATAAGCCGTCTAAGATTGTACGTGGCAACTTGTATATCTCAATTTTTATAGCATTGCAAAGATATAGAGGTTGTGAAATAACGCTAGAATGTAGTGTTGCAGAAGATTTGTAATCAGATACAAAACAGAAAACCTGTCGCATTCCACATATCCTACACAACCGCCGCTTGGTTAGCTCATGATGTAGAGCGCTCTGCCAGCGCTCTGCCAAATAAGTGAGGAGAACGTGTAAATGCCGTGAGAACGTGCAAATGTATGTCTCCTGCATCTCTGTACTGGTTAGCAGGGGACGTCAAAGAACCCACGCACTTCTCGCAAAGAGTAGGGAACGTAGCGCCCGGTGGTCTGAAATTCCTGAATTTAGGGTACCTGCAACTTTCAAAGCGTTGTGAACCGCCAAATGCAGTCTGGCTAAAGTTCCCCGAAAAGTACTGTAAATTAAAAAAAGAAATCTGCCAGGAGTGTCCAAAATTGGCCAGTACATTCCAAAATCCAAAATTGGCCACTAGAGTCCAAAATCCACAATCGGCCCCTAGGCTCCAAAATCCGAAATCGGCCAGAATCAGCCACTGGTGTCCACGATGCAAAATTCCCCACACGTGTCCAAAATCCAAAAATCGACCATTAGTGTCCAAAATAAAACATCGACTACTAGAGTCCAACAATAAATAGGTTTCGTCTTTTGCACATCGCCCGCTTCCCAAATTTAGCGGTTACTTTGGGCATATGTCGCCAATTCATACCATAAAATGCTTTCTCTTCGATTCGATGATTCCTAGAAATGCAGATCACACCTATTTAGATATTTCTAAGAGGGTTATTTTTTTTTTCGTATTTAGAATTAGGCGTCGGCGAGATTGAAATAATTTTGAGTTGTTTATCGTCTTTTGTAGTGTCATGGCAAGAACTGGAACGCAATATGCCAGTGGTTTTAGCCCAGAAATCACAAAAAGAGAGAACTCAAATTTGTTTCAAGTGCGAATGATGACTAAATAAGATACTCCGAAAAAAGAAATAAGAAGCACCGGGAAACTTCAGTTCAAAATTGGGTCAAGATCGGAAATCTAGTGCTACTTACCATCCCTCATTCAGTCACTCACTTATCCCCGTAGCGTAGTAGCTTCGCCCTCTGTTATATAGGAGGCAGTAACCGAAAAACTATAGTTCTGAAATGACTGTTATAAATGTTTTATTATTGTTGTCAGTGGTTGATCATTAGTGCTATCTCTTGTGGTGGTTCCACATTCCTTGCTAATGAAACACAAAACAGTGTCAAGCAAAGAGTTAAGTTTTGTTGTGTGTTTGTCTTTCACAGACCACACCACTTCACCTGGCGGCGCGTGAAGGTCACGTGGAGATGGTTAAACTACTGTTGTCCAGGAAGGCCAACATCACTTTGACAGACAGCGCTGGGCGCAACTGTCTGGATATAGCTATCGAGAATAACCACAAGTAAGTACTAACAGCTTGTGTGTGATACAGATGCCTGATAATTCGGAGCAAGATCGCCATAAATTATTTTGCATCTGTTTGTCTGAGATAGAGTCGCTCCTGTTTCGCTAGACCAATCGCACAGCTACATGCAGAAAAAATGAAGCAATCCTGAGTTATTGTCGTCCACACTCAATTTTGCCCTCGTATTGCTTCATAAAAAGCCTTTGTTTCATAAAATGCTTAAACCTACATAGAAGGTGTTCTCTCTAGCGAATGGGTGCTAAATATTTCGATTGAGTATTGAAGCACTCGTACCTCGCTGCAATTTAATTTGGCGGCTTCAACCCTCGCTCGCCAGTTAATACGCTATCCACTAGCTGGCGAACTAAAACACCGTTTATTAGTCGTCTCTGTCACTCCTAGGGAAGTGGCACTCGTTATTATCCAGCACAACGATTGGAAGCAAGCCATGCGCAATAGGACCAAAGATGGCACAACTATTAACACGCCGATGAGGAAGCTTATAAAGAAGTTACCTGGTGAGTGATTCGGCGTTCAAGTTGTTGTTTTGCTGGTAACGGCTAAAAATGTTAGTTTTCATTCGTAAGTGCAGAGCTATCGTTTCGCCCAGTAACTCGTTTGTTCCATTACATTCTCTTTGCTGTTGTCTTCCTCAACTCAAGGGCCAGGACAAATTCAGATTCACTGTGATCTTGTTTTCAACTTTTTTTTCGATGCTTCTCGTTTCCCAGAGGTTGCAGAGAAAGTGTTCAATAGATGCGTCAAACCAAATGGGCTTCCTGTGGATCATCCGCAGTACGCCATTACTTTGAACTATGAGTTTCTTGATGACGTAAGCCTCGAGTGGGCGGGATTTTTGACGCCAGAGTCATCTGACCACGAGGGGTCTGGTGTAGACGCAGTGATGGACAAGATTAAATCGGCATTGCCCGAGAATGTTAGCAAACAAGTGGAAATAAAAAGTAATCATCCTCTGATGCTAATGGTGAGAACAATCTGAATCCTTGTTCACGTGTATTTGTTTCGTTCAAGATCGCAGATGATTTCAGCATGTGGTAAGGACGTGTAAGAGGCACATTAGGCGCGGCCTTCTTCACTGGAGAAAGCTTTGAGCATTCTTGGTGCTGAAAAATATGACAATTACGCGTTTTAAGATCCTCGATTTGCCAGCAGCCTGTTATTTTCTGGGTCCGAATAGACTCAACCATATTTAAATCCTGATTTACAAAAGTGCTTGTCATGTCTTAGATCGTGACGTGCACGACGTAACGCAACACATACTTTCTTCACAGGTCACCAAAGAACGGGTCAAACTGCTTAGTCATCCTTTAGTCACATACCTATTGCGTTACAAGTGGCGCAGCTTTGGTCGCTATGTGTACTACGGCCGTCTCATTCTGTACGGGATTTTCCTGTTTTTCCTGACTGGTTATGCCATGCTTACAACAAAGAGTCTACCCATCACACTTTGCAACGAGACTCAGTGCACGTGCAACGTGACGTTTGCAACAAAAACGGCAAGTACAGGCAGCGAGATTATGTGGAGAAAGCTTGGTCGTCCGATGATTCTCGTCACAACGTCTATAAGTTTGTTGCTAGAGGTGAGTAAGCGTGGTCATATTATTTCTAGCAAAGTTTCATCCAGTACTATACGTTAACCCCAAATTTAAAAAGAGAACCTGAACAAGCAAACGAAACATGCGATTATCAGTTCGCGAAAACTTTGGACGAAAATCGATTACCAACTCAAGTTTCACAGGGGAAAGACGTATTTTGCGCGAAATTAAAAAAAAGCTGAGACTCTGGCTTACAACTCCTCGAATGATGCAAACCCCTGGCCACAAGCCTGGCTTAACTCTTGACACCGTAAGATCGGTATGCCTGTTCTCGTCACTGTTCTCGATACATTTCCTATGATACCGACGTGAAGAATTTGATCAGCAGTCAAGGGCTTTTTTGTGGAAGATCATTTCCATATTCTCATAGCCTTAATGTTTGATTTAACAGTGATACTGTGAGGACAAATAAGATGCCAATCGGTTTTAGAGGTTAAAGGGTAAAAGCGATTGGTAAATTTGGGGGAGAATCTCCATATCTGATATTCGTCTCCTTGTATCTCCTCTATTTGTTCCTTAGATCATTCGGTTCTGTTACATGTGGAGACTGTACATACAATGGAACAGACTGGTAGAAGTGTTAGCTTATATCTTCTCGATGATGTATATCGTGGATGACTTTAGACTAGATGGAACAAGCTTTACAATTCTTGAGGGGTCGAGGTAAGTTTGTTAACCTAGCCATGCGAGAAATACGAAGAGGATATTACGCGGAAGCGAGAAGATATGAATCTTATGTTCAAGCGGCAAGAATAGCATCTCACGAGTGAGTTGAAAAGGTGGGAATCGTGACGTCATTGCGCAGTATGTCCACGCGTGTTGCATACGAAAAATACGCCACTCCGTTCCAGATCAACCTGCACTGCTGACGGGGAGGGGAAGCGGTGGACTAAAATGCCATTACAGGGAAGGAGCATTATTATTGAGAACTCGATGTAAAGCGACATGGGGAGGCAAGGGGAAGGTGTTGAGAAAATTGACTCTTGCTAGAGTTTGTCTTTACCTTTTATTGGTGACAGCTTTCGCCTCTGGAGGACTTTACGCTTACTTACCTTTTCTTGCAGTCGCGCGTGTAAATCTGTTTATCTTGAAAAATTTTTCTCTGCATTCTTTTTTCCAGGTGTTTCGTGTGGCATAGCAGTTTTGGTGCAACGGCTGTTTCTCTGTCCTGGATTGGACTTGTTCTTTTCATGCGCAAGTTTCCCAAACTTGGAATATACGTGGTGATGTTCACTGATATTTTTAAGACTTTTGCTCAGTTCTTTGTAGTCTGCTTTTTGTTCATCGTGGCTTTTGGGTTAGGATTCCACATCCTTCTCTTCAATCAGGTACGTTTGGTGACGTTATTAGTCACTCACCAACTCACACTCTCAGTCACTAAAGCACGCACGCGCACGCACGCAGGCACGCAGTTACCCATTTACTCAGTCAACTCAATCAGTCAGTCAATCAAGCATTTGATCAAAACCTTCTTTTATTTCTCAAATTTCTGGTAGTAGAGTAGCTTCATTCGTATCTATAGGAAATAAGATATATCTATTAAGTTCATAGAACCAAGGAAAACTTTGTCAAAGTAAGCCTTTTAAAGTCATATTTCGCGGTTACATTCCAACTGAGGCAAGAGAAGACGAAGGACGTTTACTCTTTACTAAAGAATTTTCAAGCGTACATGCGGTGGAACTGAATGCATAGAAATTATGTAATTCTTTTATGGAAGGACAATGTTGTTTTTTCACAAGCTTCGTTTACGCCATACCTGAATATGGACCTAATTCTTGTTAAAGCGTCAACAATTGTGCATTTGGTTACATGTGCTCTCAAAAATAATAGGAAAACATGGAAATAAAAATGCGTGCGAGGTGGGGACTGAGTGCAAATGAAAAAAAAATTGGTCAGTTCTTCTCTTTATGGCCCATAAAACTTCGCGCTCGTTGTTCCCAGTTGCTAAGCGGAGTGTTTGTGGAACGCTTCAGGAGGTATGCGCAGTGACGTGACAAATCTCTTGGATCTTACAGGATATAGAATAATTGACGTTTTCGTTTCTGTTCCTTCAGGTGCCCTACTCTACACCAGGCCGAGCCATGCTCAAGACAACAATGGGCATGTTAGGAGAATATGAATATGATACAGTTTATAATGATAACGATGTGCCGCCGGTCACGTGGGCATTGTATTTGTCATTTCTCGTCATTAACTGTCTTATCATCATGAATTTACTGGTGAGTCATCTAATGATTGTTTTGGTCCGTGCTTCGCATGGGACTTTAAACATCTTTCTGCTAGCCTGCGTAATTTTGGCGCGCAAGTGCTCAGTATTTTCTCGGTAAAAATCATAGCTGCCATCTTTGATTTTCATAGCGGCGGAAGGTTGGGGAGAGAATGGGTGAGTGACAGGTAAAATGAAGGAGAGGGGAGGGGGTGCGGGAAGTGGGGGATATCAATTACATTGCCTTTTCCCTCCTTTTTCATAACTCAAAATAAAGCATGGTCGGTCGAATAAACGATCGCGAGCTAGTAACGTTAACTCGCCCTAATAAGACGTCTGCTATCTGTAGGTTATCTTTCTGTATAATTTTTCACCATCTGATTGTGTTCTCTTTTCTTCAGGTCGGTTTAGCCGTAGATGACATCAAGGGGGTCCAAGAAAAAGCGGTTCTAAAGAGATTAGCAATGCAGGTGGGTCTTTTTATGCACACTTTGTTCCTTTACGCACAGGGTCGGTTCCTGTTGAGAGGTAAACGGTTATTTTTATCGACTGTTCAAGTAAATTTTCTCGACTATGTCACCGAATGTTTATCTTTGGACTAATGTCTTTTTCAATCGTGAAAACTCATTAATAGGAAAGATTAGGAAGGGGGAACAGAGTAGAATAGTTTTTTTCGGTAAGGCCCGCACCTCAGAAATAGAATTGAAGATAATTCTTCGGGCCTAAAAGGTTAACAGGACTTTCGAGAAACGGGTCGGTGGCGTCGTATGCGGGTTCCCTTTACAGTCGGTTCTCGACTTTCGTGAAAGTGCTGCGAATTCGATATTTGTATTTTCCGGTTTTCCTACCTCTACGAAAGCCTCCTCTCCTAATTTCAATTTTACCCAGAAACTGATTATGAACAACCACATTATGGGTTTGTCTGTGCAATTCAGCTCAACTCGAATTAGACACCGAAACATAGATTTAGAACGGAAGTTACTCTTGATTTTCCTTACGTGGATTTTCGTTTAGGTCGATCTTGCTTTAGATGTGGAGAAGGCCCTTCCGGCCATTTTTAGACAGAGGTTTGCCACAACTCAGGAAGATATTTATCCTAATTCAAACAAGTATTGGACTATTTGGTCGTTTTGGAATCAAACCGTTAGTCCTGCCAGAGCAATTTACGAGGCTATGAACCCCGAGAAGGTTGGTAATCGACTGAATGTCAACCATGGTTGTCTTTTAATCCTTTAGTGTTGTAAATATGGAAAAGTTGAAGTTAAAACGGTAAGATTTCTTAACTGACGAATTTTTGTTGTTAATATTATCAATATTGATAGTTAATAACTTTTGCTTTTCTCCCAGACACCAATAGAGAAGCTCCAGAACCACCAGGAAGCGTTGAAAGAAGAAGTAATGACCGTCAAAGCGAAACTGAAAACTGTCCTTGATCACACAACACAACTAGAGGCCATGATGAAAGCACTCATGAAGCACCACGCCATATCTGTGGAGGAGGAGGAAGAGGGCGAGGATGACGACTAGAAGTACGCAATGACTGCTGGGAAAGCGCTTCTTTAGAAAAGTCTTTCAGTATGAGTGTGTGTGTTATTAGAAATTTCAACGCCTTTCCTGTAAGGAAGCGAGTATTTTGCACACTTGCTTAAGTGAATTAGGGTAACCCCCATTGCCTTTTAGGGTACCATGGCTCCCACAGGCCATGAGTTATGCTTTAGTAAGATTTCTTTTAGTCAGGGAAAAGTAGTAGCGGAAATTTATTTTGGGACGGGGAATATAAAAATTTGACGACATGTCAAGGAAAATTCATAGGTCCATAATTCATCCCTTTTTCCTACCTTCTTGAATTTGTGGAGGTCTTGCTCCAAATACGTTATTTTGATTGGTTGAAAATTTATCCTTTTGAGAAGTAGGTACTTAAAATATATAGAAGGACTAGAAGCTAGGGGTTGGGAAATGTTATTTTTATCAGGGAACATTTTTCATAAATAATGATTTTGGTGACTAGACTTTAGGTTTCTCCATCCATGTGCGTCCTCTGTTCTTCATTCTCCCTCGAGTAAATGTCCTCATCAATAAATACATACACTCTCAATTCGCAAAATAAGTTTCATTAATATATACCCATGTCTTTTTGTCTATAATATTCAATTCCCATACTGCATTACTAGGAAATATTATTTATGATACATCGAGTTTCGAAATTATGTGGAGTTGACAAATAGTTTCATTTTTAAAATCATCCGAGGGAAGGGAAACCAAAACACAATACCATATGGACTAAAAGAAGAATTATGCTACAGAAATTATTTATATTTGACCTTCGCTTTTAATAGAGTACCTGAGATTACGGTAAGGACTGCGTTTTGAGATTCCACAAAGAGACTTAACCTTCAGAAAGAGAAGGAGGAACTCTTTACCTATAATTGATGATTATGGTGATAGAAATGACGTAGTTTCTGGAGCACACTTCTCTTTTAACTGCAAGGAAACATGTGGTTAAAAATTACTCTTACTAACAATTTTCAGTTTTCACTCTGGGCCTTTGAAGCCACTGTGCTAAGGCTTCGTTTAAGACAGTTAAGTTTTGCCTTTTGTACTATGGTGAAGTGATGACGCGTAATCTTAAATAACAAGTTGTGTATTGGCTGTAGTTCCCTATATATGTTATCTACTTAAAACAACGTAACAAAAAGAGCTAAAATGAGAAGAAAAATGGATTCAAGAGGGGCACGATCGATCTCAATTTGATGCGAATATTTATCTGCAATGTATTTGAGTCGTACCTCCATATTATTTATATAATTTACTAGCAGATGGGCGGTGTATATTTTCAAGATTTAACAATATTTTTCAAGCTTTGTTATTTATAAGCAATGGTTATTTTGGCCAAACAAGGAATATAGAGTACCTAGCATAGTTATTTACATTGGACGCAAATTGAATCCCTATGAAATTTTTACGTTAAGGGAAAGCTGGAATAAACGAAAATGTGGAAAGTGTCTCGTTCTGTTTAGTCTTGTGCCGCCAGTCGGTTTTGTTTTGGAGATGTAGTATTTACCATAAACGCCTTAACATCAGTATGCATGTTCTCCTCACTTTTCGTCACACCTTCCTTATGGTACTGACATGGAGAATTTCTCTAACAATCAAGAGTATTTTTAATTCGTGATGATTTCCTTTTTTCTCGTGCGCTTAATCTTTGATTCAGTGGCAATACTGTAAGGAGACATCGTGGATCGCCTCTTTTGGCAAAGTTCTTCCAAAGGAAAGGCTCCTCTCAAGAACAAGAACTTTGATCTCGTCTGAAATACGTTTGCGTATTTGTAACTGTTATCTCACTTGAAGTATGACTCAAGGAAAATCTCGACTGGGAAGACTTATTTCGTTGTCCCGCATCCCGAGGAAGTCCCGTGAATGAAGCTTCGAGGGACTTTGTTTTGGCACAAAACAACAAAACTTCCGCTGAGTTTGAGTGATTTAAGTCAAAAAGGAATCATCTCTCAGCGAATTCCAGTGAAAATTTATTAAACAGAATTATTTTACTTTATATTACTTAACTCAGCAATTTGATAAAAAACGTGTTTTAACATTACTTTAAAATTACAACATTTGTATTGAAAACATAACAAATGCGTTTCCAAATGTCTCAAATGTGAGCAAAACGGTAACAAATTCCTAAATTAAAACTTTAATTACAATAGTAAGCTAATTCCCAAAGATTTCCCAGAGGTATGGTTTGTTCCATTGTTTGACACACGGCAAAGTTACACAAACATGCACACTGTGGCGCCTAAATGGCCAGCAGTAACACAACCGGGCAGTGGTCACTCCCTTTAACACGCATGCGGATGAGACTATCGGACAACTTAGGCACCAGTCTCTCGGAAACTACAAAGTAGTCCAGGCGCCTACAATGAGAGAAAACAAACCATATCAAATACTATACTTATATTTAAGGATGCGACTTCCTGACGTTCCTTAGTGAAATCATGGCCGAGTTGAATAGTGATGTTTAAAATTAAAGTATTCAAAGTTTTGGTATTGGACTGTTAATCTGTCTTTGTTTTAGGTTTTTCGTTTCCAACAAGGAAAAAGAGTAATGACTTCAGTTATCAATGGTACACCGTCAGGAAAATTACACTAATTGACATAACATCAATACATTCCCTACTTACTCCTTTAAGGATAATGTTGTGTCAGGGAAATTGTAAAAAGTTTCAGGGAAGTGTCCTTCACAAGTTGTTTGCCAGATACGATAATGTTCAAAGTTTCCGGCAGAAAAGTGCAGCAGCAACGAAAAACTTTTTACTTCGAAAGATTGGTTTAAACGTTTTCTTGATTAAAAGTTTTCCAAATCAGTCTAACTGTTATTTTTATTTGTCTCAGATGAGCGCGTTAATTTGAAACGAGAAAAGTAAAAATTGAAATGTTTAAGACATTTCAAATCAAGGAAAACTTTGAAGCGAAACATAAAAAATATGGAATACGTTACGAGAAAATACGAACGTTCATCGTTACACTATTACTACAAAACGAAACACTGTAAATAGCTGCAACACAAAATGGCCGTGAGAAAATCTCGATTCGACACAAAATTTATTTAACCTTTGCATAATTTTCAACGTACCAGCCAACATTCTTTGCGCGAGCGTTCCTCATGTAAGACCAAAACGAATACTGCTTGGTTTTGTTGGGATAAAAATGACGAAAAGAATCGACGAAACCTTCTTCGAGCAATTCAGTGAAATCTTGGCGTTCTTCTTTGGTGAAGCCTGCTGTTTTTGTGTTTGTTTTCGGATTCGCTAGATCTAAAAAAAAAACAAACAAACAAACAGCAATTGGTTTTGAACGTAATAGAGCAATTTTCACTCAAGTGTGAAAAGTAATTCGGGATCGCATTGGTTTTGCTCTACTCCGCTCTGTGATTGGTCCAGAAAACTCACGCCACTCTCTCCGCCAATGAGATGCAAAATTTGAACCAATTTCGACTTGGTCGCCCGCGTTTTCCCGCGTTTTAGGCAGTTTGGTTGTTTTTACTTTGAATTCTCACTGGTTCTTTATTCTTCTTTATACTCTGTTGGCGACGACTGATCCCCACCGTTCCCCCCTGAAAACCGTGTGATCCGCCACCCCGAAAAACCTCCCCTGGCGATAAAAAATGACTGGTCCATAATTCAAACAAATGCTCTCAATAGTATGAATCTCCATAAGCATTACATACCTATTTCCTTATGAGCTACATTGAGGTCTCCGCACAGGATAACAGGTTTCTTATTGTCCAGTTCCTTGAGGTATTCTCTGAAATCTTTATCCCAGCCCTGGCGATACTCAAGCCTAAACACAAATCAGAGCAGTTTTCAACTGAATGTCAAAAGCAAAATCGCATTAATCCCAGCAGTCAATCAGAACAAAGGTTTATATCATCATTAGCCAATGAGAACTCGAAGTGAACAAAGTGAAAAAATGGAAACTGCTTAAAGCGCGGGAAAACGCGAGCGACCAAGTCGCGATTGTTTTCAGCTTTGCATCTAATTGGTTGAGAGGATGGCGTGAGTTTTCTGAACCAATCACAAAGCAAAGTTCAGTACATCCAAAGCAAACCGGATCACTATCGAGACTCAATTAAAATTCCTTTAATGTTGTAGTGTTGCCAAACAAATTTGTATCATTGTTTTGTCCTCTTTTAAAAACTACGGTGATGTTAAATCGACCTGCAAGTCAGTTTAAATTCTACAGCCTAACGATGATATTTTTTAGCTTGTAGAAAGCACCTTCCGTTGCAATTTTCAATCGTGGAACCCAAAAGTATACGGCTAAATATTTTTGAGCGTTTTATACAGAATAAAATTTAATTTAAAGGGAAACATTTATATACAGATGCCATATGATTTCATGGTAAAGAAACAGCAACATTACCTTGTAAGTCCTCTTCCTGAATTCGGTATATCTAAATAAGAACAGACAAGATTATCAGCTGGAGGGTGTTGTTTTTATTGAGTGAAACCAAATTCCCCTGTCTAATATACAAGGAAAATTATGGCAGTTAGTAAGGGGAATTACTAATTGAATCTTGGCAGTTGAGAAGTTGAGACACTAGACCGTGAGACAAAGATATGAAATACTTACAGGCTGTTACTAAATAGAAGTCTTCAAATTCAGCCGTAATGACTCTTCCTTCATTGTCATGCTCCGAGATCCCTGTAGAGAAAGTAAGCAGTATGGGACATGAACGACAAATACGTACTCTACTTGCCAACTCTCACGGCTTCAGCGCTATTCTCTGTCCTCAGATCAAAAGTTTTAACCTTTAACGTTTTCTCCTGCTTCGAAAATTTTTGCCCCATCTCAGCCTCGACTGACAAATTTCGAAAATTTGTCAGCGAACTTAGCTTGAAACAGACATATAAATATAGGGCTTTCATATAAATAAATATATCCCAGAGACTTCTGATTTTAAAGAAAAAGCATTTAAAAGTTTATGTCAGATCTCTTCAAGATGCCTTGGAAAATTTTCAGTACGCGTTAGGAAACGTCGAGTAACTTTGAAAATGAGTTGGACCTCTCCTTACCGTCTCACTCTATAGACTCGAAAATTATCTATTTCTCATCGAGCAAGAAAATATATTAATATTATAAATAATTTACTAATAAGAATACCTGTACATCATTTTACTGACCTATGCCATATGATACATTAATAGGCTTAACTTTGCTGCAAAGTCTGCAGGAACACAATAACCACCATGTAAGTGATAACACAACTGTACGTACATTGTAAAGCATTACCGTATTTTTGCAAGTTAACACCTGTCACGGCACTCAAAACATTCTTAGCGTTTCCGATGCTGAGTTGATGGGAGGACGGCATTACTGCGAGGGCGGCATTTATTTATTCAAGGGCAGCGTTTAATTCAATAGATACAGTATGTGTAAAGAAACTACGGTCTAAAAGTTGGTCAGCTCAGTGAGCTCCAGATAAAAAGATCCCAAATCAAGCCAAGACAGCGGTCAAACGTCTGCGCATGTGTGAACGTTGTAGAGGTGGCCTCGAGGTGGCGTGCTTTCAGGCTGTTAAATATCAAGTTGTCTCACACCAGAAAACCGATAACTTTTTTTAACTTTTCTTTTAACTCTCTTTTTTTCGATAACGCTAAAAAAAATGATAAATTAGCTTGACATCTGTAATTAAATAAGATTTGTGTATCAGAAGTCTTGAGTTTTTCTTTTCCATATTTAACGTATCAATGTGTCTTCGCATGACAGCAGTTGTTTTTTTATGTTTTATATGCCAATATTGATCCCTTTGCGCATGACCTACGTTTAACCGCTGTGCTGGTAAAGCATTGGTGATGTCATTGCGCATTCTCACAGTGCAGATAAAATGGTGGAGATTTGTCACCTGCAAAGGACAAACTTCTCATCCTAAAGGAGATGACATTCTCCTTTTCACCTCAAGCCAATTAAACCACTATAAACTCACACAGTAGAATAAGTTATGAATTCATGTAAGAGTCATGAAACTCACCCAACTCCACTGTACCCCTTTGTTTGTCCTTCTGCCCAGTAGGTATGATATCCAGGAAGCTTTATTTCCTTAAAAAAGATACATTCAATAAAAATTTAAAGTTAAAATTAAAGTGAAATCTATGATTCAAAAGTTATGAAACGAAATTCTTCATATTTATAAGTAAGATGTACTGCAACAAATTTTCTTGCACTTACTAGCAGACATCTCAAAAAACAACTTTCACCTCCTGTAATAATCACCATATTTGATATCAAAAGAAAGCATTTTCATTTAAATAAGAATGACAACACTTCCAATGTGAATAATGACATTTTGATAACATGCTGCTATTCTTCTATAGGGTCAAATTGTTTTCTATGCATTTCAGTGATGTTATCCCACGGCAGTCAGTTTTCTTGAGGTTCTCCTGTTGTTGTTTCACTTGCCTATCCTTTCTTAGTCTCTAATTAGTTCTCCTCTGAGGACAGAGGCAAAGAGGTGGTGACATCTCTGACTTGTATTTCCTTGAAAAACACACAAAGAATTTTGAAGTCCCATCAAAAGTCACACACCCTTTAAATTTACAACTAACCCTTTAACTCCCATGAGTGACCAAGACAGAATTTCTCCTTACTATATCAACACAGAATTAAGCAGACTAGTGAGGAGAATAAAGAAGAAAACCCAACTAGGGGACTACAAGTTGATCCAATGCCAAATTCTCCAAATTTAAATCATAAGTGTTTTATGGCAGACAGTAGGGAGAATTACTAAAGAGATCTTGGGAGTTAAAAGGGTTTAATTAAACTATATACTTTAGGTATCAGATTTGAGTAAAATTTGGGTTACTAAGGACCTTTGGAATATCTTTCTCTGGGCATTTAGTCTCCTGTATACAAAAAACATCAGCATCTTCATTTTTCATGTAAGCCAACGTCGAGCCATGTTTCTAAAGAAACAAAAAATGAAAATGAAATTCAAAAGCAATTCGCTAATTGGCTATGAAGTATTTGTAACACATTTAGGTATTTTATTCAAATCCTTGTAGCTCTGTACATATTGCAAAAAAATAAGGAAAAAATTCATACCAAAGATATCGAGATACCTATCAAATTACCTTCCACACTTTGCGAGTCTTAAATGTCAGCTAGCTGGTCCTCACACAAAAGAGAACTAAACTCAAGAGCCAAATATTTTCCCATGAGGCCAATCAAACTCAGTCAATAAGCATTTTATCACATGACCACTAAATGTTGAAAATTTCGAAAATTTTGTCTCAGCTTAAATAGGATACAACATATGGGCACTCACTAAAACCCACAAAAAAGATTCTACAATAAAAATTTTCCTTTGTTTTTTTAAGTCAGAACAATAAAAACACAAACCAGCAAAAAATGCACCTTCTTTAACTCTCTTTTTTTCTTTTCTTTTATTTTTTAGCAACAAAGCCTCTGAGTGCAAGGCCAGACAGCTGTTTCTGGACTGGCTCATGTCAACCCACCCAGCACTATACCCATCATCTTTCACTAAGGTTTTCTATGGAATTACAGATGCAGGGCTGTATGGATCATATAACAATTACATTATTATCATCTGATTGTGAGACAAAATTTGGTTTATAAAAAAAAAGTGGTAATAGATGATCATTAGACAAGGTGCCAGAGTATTTCAGTCTATATTCTGTGAACATATGGGACATTTCTTAATTTTAGTCTACAACTGCAACTTTGTGATACTAACCTGCATCTTGCACAGTCACTACCCTTCAGGTGCATTTTTATAATATTAACAATAATTTTGGAAGCCTCTGCAACTGAATGACTATTACCTCTTGCTAGTAAACATTACACAAAACATAAATGCAGATCTATACAGTGTTCTTACCAGGCAAGCTCGGATTCCATTAACATTCCAAGATGAAATTTTAAAATTCCACTTCCTACAAAGATGAAAATTTTTAATAAAAATAATGATGCAAATTAAATAGTTTTAAGCAATGTATATAAAGAAAGAAAAAACTTAACCATAGGCAAATTCTAATTCTTTATCACTATGGCAACCAATTATTATGAGCACATACATCACATCACACACTGCCATTGAAAATTTATTCTGTTGCTTTTTATCTAATTTTATCTAATCTTTTTCTTCCACCCAAGGTACAGCAGAAAGACTATCTGAAAAGCTCAATCAGAATTGATAGTAAAGAGTACTGGTTCTCATATTTGATAGCCTAAATGAAAGCACTGTTTTGATTTCTCACCTGAATAGAGAATAATTGTACTGTGTAGTTCTGTTCTTAAACCTTTTTGTGTCTTTTCAGGAGCTCTCAGTTAAGAAACTCCACCCATGCATGCAGGAATACAGTCATTTTCCAAAGTCAGCAAAACTGTCCAGCAATTTTTCTCAAAAAGCTTTAACTAGTAAGATTTCTTGAGAACTAAAACTGGGTTATTAGATTTTCTATTGATAAGCTTTAGTTTTTCAGTGGTTTCACTCAAAACACCATCACTGCAGCATCTACTGGGTTATCAGATAATATCATAAGTCACTTACTTGCTGGTAGATGCACATGCATAGTCGATATCCCCATCATCCTGCCCATCCTCAATAGATTCTTCAGATTCAACATCCATATTCTTTGCCTTTTTAGATTTGGGTTCACCATCATCAGCTGTGTTTTTCTTCGCAGGACGTTTTCCTTTTCCTTTGCCTCCCTTTGCAGATATTAAATAAATGATCCACAACAATATTATTTCTAGGTCTGTATAATCTCGCCCTTTTTAACTGCTAGATCACAGTCTCTTCAGGGTCAGATAAACAATGATTCAATTTTACATGTAGTATTTAAGGGAGTATCTATCAGGATCAGATAAATAATGATTCACTTTTACATGTAGTATTTAATGGAGTGGTTCATAGGGATAAGCCAGAAATATCATTGCATTCCTGAATCAAGACTAAATTACCATTTGCAATGTGGATAAATATTACAAGGATTTAGCCAACATTAAAACAATCATGATGGGTTCTAAGGATACTTTAGAAGTTTCTGAGAAGTCATCTGATATTGAAAAGTGAAATTATTTGTGGGAAGAAAAGGGAGGTCTACAAGGTCTTTTCTGAAAAGGAGAATTTGTTTGACAGTCAGGAGCTTCTTAAATTGGTGATCATTTCCTTTATTCTTGACTTTTACATTTGATTCAAGGGTGAAACTTTAAGGAGAAATTAAAAGTCAGTCACTCGCTGGAACAAATAGCCGTGGCTACATTGATATCTAAATAAATTATCATAATTTTAATTCATTATATCATCCAGAACATATCTGATAATTGTCGCTGATTAAATTAATTTCCTTCATTCTTTTCTCTATGGATTTCCAAATGATTTCATCATAAAAGAAGAAGTTTTTTTATTTGTTTTGATTCATAGCAAAACCATCGTAAAGTTTAACGAAAAATAGAGCGTTAAAAAATCAAAATACCTCAGTTGGAACATGGTAGTCAAGCAACTTGAAATCGCGATAAAAAAAATCACGCGGTTTGATGAGTAATCAGACTTACAATTTTTTTCCTATTCCAAACATTAAAAAGGAAATCAAAAATACTTTCTGATTCTTTTTTTAAAATCAAAGAAAAGTTATACATTCAAACCAAATTTTTTGTTGCGTGGCATATGAAACACTGATAAGTACAGTGTAGCGCACATGTGCATGGAAATTCCATACCGAGTTTTGCAGTATTTGTCACATTTAAAGCTTGATTTTGCTAATCAGCTGCTAGATCTAGCTATCGATGTGTTGGTTTCCAAGTATAGAAAACCTTACCTCTGATTCTTTATTCTTTTTCGGTGGCATCCTGGCCGATTGCGATGTTCAGAGAATCTCTCTACTATTAGCGCCACAGTTCATTAGCATGTCTTGTATGCAACACGAATTGTACGTGACTGGGGGAAGGCTTGACGGAGCAGGGGTCTGGTAAGAGTCAGTCTAGCCCTATGCTTTGGGTTTTTCTGCATCTCTAGCCGATTTTCTGGTTGTGGCAGTTTTATTTGAAACTCTCGATATTTTGCTGTATCTACTTGTATCCCAGAAAACCAAAGGTGCAAACCTACTCGACACGCGTCTTGTTGGGGCTCACCCCAGTCCACTCAATGGGATAGTTTACTGTAATTTTTCTCTCGTGAAACGTGATTTTGGTTTTCAGTTATTGTCGATCCGTGTGTCGGAGACTTTGTGACTCGTGCGTGACACATGTTAGATGGTGAGTGTGAACATTATGTCAAGAGCTAGAAGCACCGCCTTTCGTGATTTTGGGACTTTGATCGGTTTGCATGATCGACGCAACCTTGAATGATCTTTTAAATCAGTGCTTAGCAACAACCAATCATAATGTAGAGAATATAGTATAAGAGAGCGATTTCTTACAAGTTATGCTCTTTACATACCCGTTGTAAATGGGTGAATACGAGAATGGATTAAAACAGTTTGATTGAGTCTAGTTCGTCAGAATTGTATCCCGAGTAAACGGGGCAAAGTTTACGAAACGTGCAGCTTGAACGAACATTTGAATTAAACGTGCAAGTGAACCAGCTTCATCTTCTGTTGCGTATTTGGCAGCCAATAACAGTTTAAAGGGGGCAAGTTTCTAAAGAAACTGTGGTGCTGCGTCGGTGGGAGAGTATAGCAGGTAATTTAGTGTTAACAACTGAGTTGAAAACGTAAATTGGCCACCGTAAAGAGTGAAAAAGCTGACGTTTCGAGTGTTAGCCCTTCGTCAGAGCGATCGCAGCTTTGGGTTTATACATAACGCGTGATTAACGCCAAATTTAAAATGCAAAGCATAAATTTTACGTGACACGTGGATTTTTATAAAATTCGTGCGTGAAAGCAAAGAGTGAAATCTAATTCCTTACAGACCTAATGGTATTGAGGTTTCAAGAAAAACGAGTCACCTTTGAGACAAATAAAGGAGAAAATAGAAGACAATTGATCCGTGAAATTTGTTTTCAGTTTACCGTGAAACGTAAATTGCGTAAAAAAACTTGAAAAGTTCTAATTTTTAGACGTGAATTCAAGTTGCTAAGCCTCTGATCATCACAAAGCAATTTAATATCAGCGTAGTCAAATTCAAATTAAGAAAGGACCCTCGAAGGTGAACTTCAATTATAGAAATTCCAATTAGGCCGGGAGAAACTAGATAAAGGGGGTAAGTTTCTTAGGGAAACTGTTGTTCTGCGTCGGTGGGAGAGTATAACTGGGTAATTTAGTCTTTATCAACTGAGTTGATAACGTAAATTGGCCACCTTAAAGAGTTTGAAGGCTAACGTTCCGAGCGTTAGCCCTCCTCAGAGCGATTGGAGAAATTGTCGGTTGTGTGTGGAGTTATATGCGGAAATGGAGCTACGCTACGTGGTAATACGGTGACGAAAAAACAAGAATAGATTAGTTGAATGAAAAGCGCTCGTTAATACCGTGGAGATAAAGAGTGCCGATTTGAAAGGATAACTTTTGTTTTAGAGTTTTGCGGCTTTCCGAACTGCCTAGATGTAAGGAAAGGCCGCAAACTGCTCTATGCTGCATAGAATTATTAGGGAGATTTAAGTGTCTAACGACTGGTTTGGATGCGTCCTTCTCATTTCTTTCTACGTCTCGAAGGTGTTCTCAGAATCGGTCACCTGATCGTGTTTAACCAATGTAAAAATTTTTGCAATAAACGCAAGTAGTTGACATTGTCGGAGGTGCACATGAAGTGATCCCTAGGTGATCTTAATGGATCTTTTGGGTCTCGACATTTTCTCCACGTTATGAATGAAAGGACAAGTTTTGCATCGTAAGCGAGCGCATTTGAAAGTTCCAGATTGGTCATTGGTTTGAAATGAACTTCTGACCAAAAAGTTGCCTATGTTTTTGTCACGTTTGAATGAAATTGATGAATGTTACGAAAAGATAGTACCAATCTCTCAATCGTTTTGAAGTGATTTAAAGTTTTTGAGAATGAAAGATTTAACTGCGTGGTTGTGAGGGTTAAAAATGTGAGAGTGAATGGAATGCGATCAGCATTTTCCTTCTCAGCCGTTTGTAGTGCTGACGGTCGATCAATTTGTTGGGTGTGGTGGTGACCCACTTGAACGACAGAAACAGGATAGCCACGTTTATCGAAAAACTAGCACATTGCTCCTGTTTTTTCGGAAAAATCAGAGTCGTCACTACATAAACGACGAAGTCTGAGAAACTGTGAAATAGGTATGGAGTTCTTGACGTGTGATGGATGCGCAGATGAATATAGCAAGTAACTATGTGAATAAAGAAACTTTAGAATCGCTGACAAAAGGAATTTTTAGTCTGACCTAACACCCCCGATACAAAAAATATAAACAAAAAATATGTTCTTTTCGCGCACGGTTTTTTCAACTCAATGGTTCCATAACTGAATACATTTCTCAGTATTTTATTAGAGCTCGTAAATTTTAAAGCGGCACCAATCAAAATATGAGTGTTCATTTAGGATGTGTGAAAAGCAATTTAAAATTGGGCCATTAGCAGTTAGGAAGATAATTGTCAGTTGACACGTAGAATCGAAAAATTCGGGAATCGAGGAAAAGTGCTTGATGGTATGCCGGTCGAAATACAGGACGCTTTTTCCAAAAGCGTTTCTGCTCTGTTATTTTTATGTGCCAAACAAACAAACAAGAATCTTTTAGGGAAAAAAATACCGTATTTTATTAACTTTCGTTCTTTACTTTTCACCCAGAATCACTTCGATAGATATTTTTTTGAGTATAATGACTCAGATACTTTAAAAATTCCAACCGTCTTTTTGATAGACTGTCGGTCGCAGTCAACATTGAATGAGCATTTAACAGAATTGCACGAAGTACAACATCAAGCAAGAAAATCTGGTTGCTGCTGAAAATTTAACGCATCCAATGGCAACCCGTTTAGCTATGCATGCATGAAAGATCCCCGCTGAAATTGATCCAAACAAATGGAAACTCAGGCCGCTTAAGAATCTAATTGATTTTAAATCCCCGTGTCTATGTTCAGTGACTTTCTTCACTCATTTTCGAAGAGAGGTGAAGCTATAATTGGAAGCAAAGAAAAGTTGTTTCGCAAGAGAGAAAAGTAAGTTTGACTATAACTGAAGCAGAACTTATTACTCAGGTTGGAACAACCTTAACAAGTATTAGTTCGTTCATAGTCAACCTCGAGTGAAAGAAGACAACATTCTTGTTCTAGCGTCGAGTTTAAACAAAAAATCTTCTTCTTTCGCCCAAGGTACAGCAAATAGACTATCTGGAAAGCTCAATCAGAATTAATCGTAAAAAGGTACTGCTGTCATATTTTATAGCTTTGAAAGCGCTGTTTTGATTTTTTACCTGAACAGCGAATAATCGTACTACGTAGTTCCGTATTTAATTTAAACGTTTCTGCGTCTTATCAAGAGCTTTCCCATAGGAAACTTCCTACCATGCGTGTAGAAATACAGCCATTTTCAAAACTCATCAAAACCGTCCAGCATTTTTTTTTGGAAAACGCTAATACCCACTAAAAGTAAAGAGAGACGTTGTTAATATGTTTCAACTAATAATAAATTACATTAGTCTTTCTCTGCCCGATTACCAAGCTTTAACTTTACATTCCATATTTCTATGTATAAACCTGCGTTGATCTGAAGATTAATTTCACTTCTTGAATCTTTTCAATGACCATTCAAGTTTGCGTCGCAATTTTCCATCAAATTTCTTTCAAATTTGAACTGTTAATGATCAATTAAATTGAAAGGCTGAACTGTGGTAACACCACTCTTCTTCGTTTACATTCCACGCCGATGCAAAAATTGAGTTTTCTATCGAAAGCTCGGCGGGAGACCAGCTCTCTCGAAAACCAGTCAAGCCTTTTTAAAAGAGAACCACTGTGAATCGCAAATCGAAATAAATTCTCAGGCTGGTTCGAGCTTAAAAGGAACTCTTAGCGATAAAATTTTTCGCCGGATGGAAAACAGCTTTCACTTCAACAAGAAAAACTTCAAGTTTTCGTGAAGTCAAATCAGGTATTTGTTGAAATACAATCATTCCAACGAAATAGACACGGTATTTTTATTTCTTTATTGAATTTCTTCCACTCCTACGTCAGCTTTATTGTTGGTTATTCTACCAACTATTGCGAAATGTCTAATCCAGTCGCAAAGAGGTTTACTGTTTTAAACAATTTGCTCTGCGATCTCAGTTATTTTAATTTCGCTTTAATCGGACAATTTGACGTGAGCTTTCTCGCGAACTCAATATTTAGGATTTTGCATGATTAAGTAGCTAGTTTGACACGCTTTGTTCCGAAAATTTCCCCTGGACTGGCTGGGAAGGGAAAAATTGTTTAATCAAGAGCGTTCAATATACGAGGATGTTCCTCAGGTAGCTGAAGGGTTCTTTATTCCTGTTCGTTCCTTATGTAAGGGTAGAGAAACTCGTACCTACCCAAATTTTAGCTATATCAGGGTTACACCATAATACTAAGAATTAATCTTCGACCGCTTGTCATAGTCTTCTGATATATTGTTCATTCCGACCACACTCACAAGAGACGCTCAATGTGAAAATTTTTTTTTAGGATGAGTCAGTCAGTCTTCTAGTATTCGCATCCTGATACAATCTTAACATGTGCACACTGAAATTTGGGGTTTTACAAAAATAATCTGTGCTACGCCAGGTACGAAAAAGCACTTTAAAAAAACCACCTTTTAAATGTGGTCAAAAAATGCGTGGAAACGTATTCCTCATCTAATGCAGCAGCACAATACCCCGAGGAAAGGGTAAACTAACCTGACTGGACTACTAATCACAAAGAAAAATCAGTGATTGTAGATGATATTTTACAGGGAGTTGGAAAACCAAAATCTCAACAAATATAAAACGAAAGTAGTCAAGCATAAGACTGATCGACCTAGAATGACTTGATTTTTCCGCGAAACGTTGAAATAATTCTAAACTCCCATCATACCACGCGAACGTCTTCAACGTGCCATCAGAATATTAATTTCTGACCAATTCGTTCCCACGTCACTCAAACGTTAGAAATTACATTATTTGTTATCGTTCACAGAAACTGAAATGGATGTAACAAGCTTGTGGTTGATAATTATGATGTCATCCCTCGCATTTACTAAACCTGCCGAAGGTTTACCAAAAGGTAGGCCAACTTTTAATTGCGCTATGAATTCTGGGACATATTTTCCCAACTATTGTTTCATGAAAAATGGTCTGCACGTCAAATGGGCAGGGAGGGGGAAGGGTTCACAGTATGTCATAGCCTGGGTACGTAACAGATTGTGAGTTACTTTAAGTGTGAATGAAGGGGGGGAGGGAAGGGGGAAGAGGGACAAGTTTACCAGATGAATATCTGAGGCTGGAAAAAAAAACAAAGGGGGATGGGGGGAGGGGGTGGTCAAGGGGAACCCATGTCTTCCCCCATCCTCCCAACAACGCCCTTAGTAATCCTCAGTGTGACGGCTGTATTGAGCAGTTTTGAGGCATCTACAAACGTAAGCTACGATTTGGTTTTTTGCCTCGTTAGATTTTTTTCAGTCGATAATTTTATATTCACCTTTCTTTGCGAAAAATAAAACTATAAAATGTGAAAACGCGCGAGCCAAAGTTCAATATCAGTGAAAATTGCTAAAGCTGTTTAATTAAAAAAAAAAGTCTCTTAGATGTGGTAGATTACGATAGGGACCTTCAGTAAACCATGACGGCGACGGCAAGGAAAACGTGGCAAAACAAAAGATCTAATGGGCAGAACAATAGCTCAGTACGTGCGTTTTAAAACTTTGTACATTTCTTACATAACAATGTGAAACCACTACAATTTGCGTCGTCTGCGAAAGGAAAGCGCGACGTCAAATTATTTTGATTTTAATTTGGAATCTTTCTAACTGAAAAAGGAAATTCCTTTTTCTAATCAACGTCTTCCTTGGCGTTGCCTTGCTGACTGCTCAAGATCCCAATAAATTTGAAGAAAGTCGCACTGTGCTTCCACAATGTCAAATCTCTTGTCCATAGACAAACAAGGACGTTTGATGCCTTAACAAATGAAGTAATACTTTATTGAAAAACACTGACTTATCCCAACAGACTGCTCCGAAGTTACCGAATCCCGAACTGGCTTGTACCGCATCGACCCCGATGGGAAAGGCGCGATCAAGGTGTTTTGCGACATGAAAACAGATGGAGGTGGTTGGACAGTTTTCCAGAGAAGGATCAACAACAAGGAGGACTTCTCTCGGAATTGGACCGAGTACAGAAACGGTTTTGGTAGGCTGGGAAGGAGGACAAGTTTTTGGCTTGGAAATGAAAACCTCCATCGATTGACATTCAATCGTAGGGTTGCTTTACGAGTGGAGCTGGAGGCCTGGGATCACCCCCACAAAACGTTTACTACCACGTATCAGAAATTTAATGTTGGTGACGAAGCCTCCCTGTACCAAATAACATTAAGCAAGGGGAAAGGCTCTGCTGGTGATGCTCTCCGTCCGCACAGGTCCATGTACTTCTCCACTAAAGACAAGGACAATGATAAGTCTAAGAGCAACTGTGCCGAGCGCTTTAAGGGAGGATGGTGGTACAAAAGTTGCCTTTACTGCAATCTGAATGGGGAGTACATAAACCGAGAAGATAGAGCCCCCCATCACTTTGGTATCGTTTGGCGGAAGAAGAAGCTGGGGGAAGAAACTTCTCTGAAGTTCAGTGAAATGAAGTTAAAGCCGCTAAAGTGAGTGGTCTAGGGAGAGAGTTTAAAGTAACTTACAGAGATTCTTTACCGGATAATAATGAGAAATAACAGTTTAGTTATAATGACTGGTAAATATATAGTCATGTAACGGCCAATATTTACAAGGGTTATATAAACACGCTACTGCATTGAGTGTAAAATGGCTGCCGGTGAAATAAAGGTTATCTAAGGTGTGACGAAAGTCTACGAGGGATTTTCAGGTAGATAATTACGTAAATAAACCAAATCGGATCGCATTCTCAAAAAATTTAATACGTTGACCGATGGAAACCTCCGATACAAAACTGAAAATCTATGGTTAACGAGACAAAAAAACTGCATTTATGTAGTATTGGGATACCTGAAGGTTTTTTGACTCATCACTGACCAATTGTCAAATCTTTACGCACGTAAAACTGATAAACTGGTCATCAGTAACTATTTGTGTTTAAAAAGCGAATATTTTTTGGAGCTCGAAGAGAGAAAGAGAAGTAACGAAAAAAGCGGCTACTTTCTATTTGGTCCGGGCCACTCACATATGTAGAGCGAAAAGCGTAAATTGAAACTCGGAAAATCTTATTGTTAACCTCGAACTGAGCTGTCAATCCCTGATAAACATGGTGAACCCTCAAACTCTGTGGCGTCACATGAAAATGATAATCCGAGACTTCAAAGTTGACCGTAGCCAAAATAAACAATATTGGATTTAATTTCTTGTCCGAGTCTCATAGATGAATTGACACTGTGTTTTACTCAAAGAAAATGTAAGTTCAAAGCGCAACTGACGCAAACCAACTAAAGACCTAAAAAGATTTCATTGATGTGAAAATTTCGAGTCACGACGCACGGCTCCTAGCGCACCGATAACTTTCTGCTCCCTACAAAATGCAAAATGTTCGTTCTGTCTCTGTGAGGGTATAGTTTACACAATATCTATAAAATATATGTCTCTGATAAGTGACTTCAATACAACAATAATTAGCCGAAGGCCAATCATAACACCTTCCCAACACAGGGACAGTTTGCTTCCATCTTCTAGGAATAACTAGGAAGCCACCTTCGAAAAGATTTTCTAAAGGAAGGAAGAAGACTGACTCCGAATCAAAGACAGAGTTTTTCTTGGTAGATATTAAGCCGGTTCATTTGTTTCTTAATTTGCTGCTTTCTCTGTTGATTTGAACGATGCGGATGAGTGCTTTTCCTCGCAGATAGGCTGCACAGTAGTATGGTTATCTTTTACCACCAATTGTAGCCTTGTCTTGATCTAAGTGAACTGCCATTAGTGATCTCTTCTCTTCTGTCTGGTTCTTGGAACGCGCACAAAAGGAGTTCAAGATTCTGTACATCGCACGAATACTCACAACGTTTATTCGGAACAATAGAGAGACAACAGCCACGACCAGTACCAGCAAAAAACATGTGGGTACTAAGCTGAGAATTACGAGCTCAACCACTTGCAAAACATTCCACCAATGTCGAAAGGCCTTGTCGTCGATTGAAACACCCAACGAAACAAACGAAGCAAAGAACACGTTCACAGATCCCAAAACAACAATAAAAGCCAGTGAAATGGTCTCAATTACGTTTGCAATACCATCACGAAATGGAAGAGTTAAAGTGTGGTGAATAAGAAACAAAACACTTAGCAAATTCATAATGACGACTCGAGGCAATGGGTCGCTGACGAATGACTTCAGCGCAGCAAGAATCAGTCGACGGCCAATCATGACACTTTCCCAACAGAGGCACAGTTTACTTCCTTCATCAGGTCTTTTAAAGGAGTCATAGAGAACTATTTCCAGATACCTTTTTGAATCTTGCCTCGGAGGTGCAATTTCAGGGACTGTGCCTCTCAACGTTGCACGCAACACACCATAAGACCAATAGAATAGCAGTGGCAGAGGCAAAAAACAAGCCACGAGGAAAGTCTTCACGGAGATAGTGTCATCGTATAGCTTACAAGAGCCCCAAAGGAGGACAAACAAAAAAGGTACCACGTAACAACAGACAAATCCCGTCAAAAGACGCTGCCACCATTGAAAACAAACAATGCTACCATCAAAAAACAAACGCTTCTCCCCACCAATATCAACACAACGCAACAAACTGAAGCTTTTGGTTGCTATGATTGTATACCCTAGCAAAGTAGCTTGCAAGATGCCACCTATATATGGACCAGGAGATGGATTCCCTTTGCCACGGAGCTTCTGAAAACCACAAAGCACGCAATACAAAGCACATATTACAAGCAACGTGCAAACAACGTGAGATTCTAACAATAGCTGCTCTGTTACCACCGAGAGACCAGTAAATGGACAATTGAATCCCTGAAGAGAACCAGATCTGAAGTTGAACACGCCAACTATTGGTTCAATGATTTTGTCTTTTATAGCCAACTGGGATGAGCCAGAGATAAGAACAAGATTTGCTGCTTGATAAAAGTAGAAAAGAATCTTCAGATACCCTTTCTCGAAGATGACCTTCTGGCCCACGGGCTCTTTCTGCTTGAACCACAAGATCTGACGCTTAATCCAAGGTACCACCGGAGGCCTAAACGTTAAGTACAAAGCCAAGAGTGATACATAAACTAAAGCTATGGCCCAGTACCAATAAATATTGCACGGGTCTAATGGTATGCATTCTGTAGAGTAAAGAGTCTTTGTGTAGTTGTCTTTACACTTCCCACACAATTGGCCAGACCGGTTTCCTTGACAACTGTTATATTCAGGAAAGTCTTCTTCCGTCGGCTGGCTACAATACCCCATAGGACACATGGTGAACCTTAGCAGCGAAGAGTTTCGCTGCTCTTTGAAGCCCCAAAAGTCACGTTTGGCGACTATATGTTTAGTACAGTTTGCACCAAATGGGCAAGGATGACACTTAAATGGTGAAACAAACTGGGTTCCTCTGGCTCGACCACGTTGCAGACTATAGGAATTTCCCTCACAAACAGAACATCTCAATTGAATACCAGAGACTCCACCATGACGATGAGACGCGCAAGGTCGGTCTGGAGTGGACAGGATACCAGGCATACAATTAATATTAATTTTACTTCCAACAGGACAAATAAACTCCACTGGGAAGCTGTCGTTTCCAAGCATTACCTTACCACTGATGCTGGTCGCCATCATCAAACCTTTATCACGACTGTATGCCTTGCTTTCCACTGTTGTGTTGGACATAACCAGAGTTTCTATATCAACTATGTCAATAAGTGAAGAATGGTCAGAGTAATACATTCCGTTGATTAATCGTGGCTTGTTTCCGGTTTGCTTATAAATGCTGTCTAGTATCGTCAAATTGTTTGTTTTCAGCGCGTATACATGATCACCGTAACGTTGGGCGAAATTGTCAAAAAAATGACAATTCCGAATTTTTGTCTTGCAGTTAGCTAAGTACACAGCTCCACCACTAATCACTGCTATATTACTTTTAAATGTTGTGTTCTGAATGATCGCATATGATCCTTGTTGCCATTGTTCCGGTTTGCATTTCATATAATCCGAAATAACAAGGGCCCCTCCAAATGATCCACTTAAAGGGAAATTACCCACAAATGACGAATCTAGGATTTCAACGTTTTTCACATTGTGAAATATCGCCAAGGCATTTGCTAAGTTATTTGCAAAGCTACAATTAAGTATTTTTAAGGATGAGCTGGATCCAACAATGGTACATCCGCCTAACAAACCCCTACTCCGTTCGATTATTACTTTCTCGATAATAACGCTACTTTGATCGATCACGTTTACATAAATGGCACCACCTGCAATTGCTGCGGTGTTGTTGGTAAATATTGACCCACGGATTATAACACCAATGTTGCTGTGCATTTGTTGAGATTTATCACCAGTAACTGGCTTGACTTGGATGGCTCCACCTTTCCCAACAGGAGCCTCGTTAGATATAAAGAAGCTGTTGCTTATAGTAACAACACCAAGATTTCCTCCATCATAAACGATGCTTAGCGCTCCACCATAAAGCGCGCTGCAATTGTTAAATCTTACATTTCTAACTACAACCTCTAAATCATTGTCTTTCTTTTCATTTTCGTTTTTGAAATAATTGGAAATAGAGGAGATGACACGGAGATCTACTGCTCCTCCATTTCCTTTCACAGCCGTGTTACCTGTAAAAGTACTGCTTGTTAAAGTACACCTGACTCTAGCGCATTCAGTTTCGATAGCTCCGCCATTATCTTGATTAACGGTATTGTTGATAAATGATGAGTTTGATATTTTCAGGTCACATTCACCAGATCCCTTTAAGGATACAACCCCTCCATATCTTGCCGATCGGTGACGGTTGAAACGTGAATTAGAGATTTGCAATAAAATGTTGGTTGCAGACACATTTAGCGTTCTTGCATTTTGAGCTGTTAAGTTGCTTGAGTTGATAGAAATACTCACATTTTGGCAATTGAAGGTAAACTCACTGTTCCTCTGATGATCAATCAATTTTTCCTTTATCGGTAATGGTCGGTTGTTTATGGATTTCACCTCATGGTATTGAAAGTATTGATCACCATTTTTGAACCGGAGGTAAATGAGGCCTTTTGAGTTGTACGTGTTCCCGGAAAATGTTACAGTTTCCACAACGATAAAACAGTTTACAGTCTTTTTGTTATCTGGAGATTCAGTGAAGGAAATGAAATTTCCGCCTTTGGCAATGTTGTTTTCGGACATAGTACAATTCTTTAAAATTAAGTTTTGTTGTATAATTGGAGATCCAATCCTTGAATCCGTGACAAAAATTGAGATGCATTCCATGTTTTTAACAAACTTTGAATCGGTAATAACAATATCAGACACCACTCTTCTGTTTATCACAAACTTCACGCCATGTTTGCTGCCAACGAATTGGCAGTCATAAATGTTAGCGGAAGAGTCTTGAAAGTACACCAAGCTGTCATTTACGAATAGCCCTGATAGTGTGACATTTATCTGCATGGCGTTTCCGGAGCCGTCGAATGTCAAACTTGCCCCCTCAGAGCATCTTATATGCGGAGGCGTGGGTCCAATTCCTACTAAGGCAAGGCTTTTATTGATATAAAGCCCCGGATGTTGTGTTGATTGACAGTTGTAGGGATCTTGGTCAGTGTTGATACCATCCAGGTAAATTATATCCCCGTCTGAAGCCAAAGACACTGCCCTCCAAATGGTTTTACATGGTTCTGTTTGATCACATGACCAGCTGTCATTCCCTGTTGCGCGCGAAGTATAAAAGTTGGTTGCTTTAGAGACGCGACCTGTGGGAATAAAGATGCCATCTTATTCCACATGCAGTGTTATGCTTAAAAGCCTTATATCTCTATGTTTAAAAGACAGACTGAAATCCAATGTTTGAAAAGATAAGATCGAAGTGGTATTACTAGTCTCAAACCCTTTTTTGAATTTGTTTCGTCAGTCTCAAAGGTTGACACCAGGCTAGTATGTGGACTTAAGCTTTCGGCCGTTTTTTTTTTTTCGGGGGAAATTATGACTAGATTTTCTTCACCAGCTTTTAAAAGCTTTTGGGGATGTGTCTGTGAGATCTTAGAAAATATCTTCTTACCTAGAGACACAAGGGTCTATACTTCTACCAAACAAGACCTGGTCATTCCAGCACAAGAATTGTGTTTCATAAGAAAACATACCTTGAACAATGGCACTTAGCAAGAAGTAAAGAATAATGCGGTGCATGCAATTCCAGTTCATTCTTAACAATTTTCAGCGTGTAGTTTTGTTTCGTTGATAGAGGTACATAGCCATCGGTAAAGTTGATATGAATAAAAATGCCACTATAAACAGCAGAAGAACTGCAGGACCCTGCAGGTACAGAACAGAGAATTGAAATGTGCACACCTTAAAAGACATTCCACAGAGGCTAAAGAGCGGCACGCGCATGGAACAGCTAGCCATTGAAAGGGAAAAAAAAGTGGAGTGAAATAAGATGGTGTTTATTGATCAGGGCCGGATTGTTCGTAGTCGGGTTAATATAACCCAGGGTTAGTGTAAAATCTGATTTCAGATCTGAAAGCTTTAAAAGAAAAATCAGTAAAATGTTTTGTTTAAAATTTGATAATTGGATGCTCTAAAAGGAATAGAAAAAGTTATCCTATGAAGGCTTTTGAACAAAGGAACAAAGAAACTCAGAATAAAATTTAACCATGGGTTAGCGCTGATCGGCCTTGGAAAAACTTGGCCTAGTATCGTTATAAAACGTAAGTGGACACTTAAGCCAAATGCAACCTGTTCCATCCTGTTCCAAGTTCTCGATCAGTGGATAAAAGGGGGAACATTTCCTACGAAACTGTGGCGCTGCGTCGCTCGGGGCATTACAGGATAATCGTGTTTCATCGATTAAGTTTTGTTATGTGAATTTTTCACCGTAAACAGTGTCAACCATATCACCTCAATCGATAAAACCAAAATATATCGATTAGTGGAGGCGAGTGAAACAACAGTTTAGTGACAAACAGTGGTTGTTCCTGTCAGGGAAACTACTACGCACACTTACTTTTGTGCTGATTTTCGCTGACCGAGACTCCCTACCAGGTAAATGTAGCTGATAAGGAATAAGTAGCGAACAAGGTGATTTTGCCTGCCGTCGGATTAACAATGATGAAAGACTGAAAACAAACTAATTCTTCGGTATTATTTGCGTTTTTAAGTTGTATTCCGTAAGTGTCACTTTCAGGGCTTTTTATAATTTTTTTTATGAAACTTTAATTTGTTGAAAAGAAAATCTCCTTAAAAGATGGCAAAAACGTGTTCTTTGAAATTACATTGGTGCAAGCATGTAGTGCAATTGGGATTTTTAGCCCAAGTGTTTATTTTGTAAGACATATTAATGCCATCGGATGTAATGCCTACTGAGAGAATATTTCTGAAAGGTCTATAGACGTCTGCCAACGGATGGAATGCCCACTGAGGGTATATTTCTGAAAGATCTCTGGTCGTCTGTATGACCTAAGGGTGCCTCAAGTGTCTGGGTTATCATGCTGATGATTGATTTTTGCATAGTAATATTTGTGCATTATCGGTCCTTGTGCGGAACAATTTTCCAAATTATCCTCAGTGAAATGTAATTTTAATTAAAAGCATGTCCAGAGGAAAAAACATAAAGAAAGATTAATTCCGGTATACCTTACTATTGTCCTAAGCCGGTCGGGCTTTCTTACATTACCAACAGGCATTTCAAATTGTAAAGTCGGTTACACACTTGGCGATTTTATAAGCCGATCGGCGCGAAGTTGATCGCCGGCGAAAATCGCCGTTATCTGGCATGATTTTCAACGCCGATCACGGCGATCGGCGAACAACGCCATCGCTACAGCAGGCACACTTGGGTTATTTCGTCGATCGCCGTGGTCGGTGAAAATCGCTAAGTGTATGTGTCGCCGGCAAGTAACTTATCAATCACATGCCAGGAGATCTCCTATGGATACAACCTGGGAGTTCCAGGCGACAGGTTGCCGCTGGGAAAACAATTGGAGCGGATGTAGTGTATTGCGTTACATAAGGTCACATAGCGTCACTACTGTAAGGAACTTTCAGTCGTGCCGTAAATCTACTCTCCTAAGTGAAAGTAAAATAACTGATTACGAGTATTGTACGCTAAATATATTTTCTTAATTATTGAACAAAAGACAGTTGAATCAGAGGAATGAGAGAGATCACTTGACCAATGACTACTCTACAGCGGATGTAAGGTTGGGAGGGATGCAAATTTCGATCACTTTTCAGATAAAAAATTAAAAAAAAAAAAAAAAAAACTCATATGAATTTTGTTCTTTTCGGCCTGAGGAAGATAAGAAATTGAGAAATTGAATAGTAACGCGCAACCGTAGCAATAATTTTTTCGTCAGACACGTTTAAAAAAAACCATACAGATGGTCCGATAGGTGGAGGGGGGGGGGGGGGAGGTGTCTGAACTCCCTTGAACCCGGACGCCACTCATCAGACAATACAATTTTCCTTACCCAATAATAGGAAAATGTGTGGAGATATCTCTTTTATATACTGAGTATACATGTTGTTTATATTCACGTACTCTGTAATAATCTTCAATGCTACAATACGGGTGAATAGACGCATTATAGTTTTGATCACGACTTTTGGTTCAAATATCATACCGTGAGCTACTGAAGAGACACAGATATCCCTACAGAACCTCACCTTGAACGATGAAACACATCAGGAAGAGAACTGTAAATCGGTTATTGGATTCCTCAGCGTTTTTGTTAATATTTCTTAAGATGACAATGGATGGATGGCGAAATTCAGCAATGTTTACTTCTTCATTGGAGCTCGTGTAATTAGTTAACTGTGGTCATGTGCGCTCCACAAAAGTTCTACACGTGATTACACTCCCACTCCCGTGTCAGTGCACGCACGGACACATGAGACGCGATCAACACGGCTCCTCGAGGTAAAGAAATTGGTAAACAAATAAGTAGATAAATAAATAAACAAACAAACAAATAATAACTTTATCTTAGGTCTGGTCGAGGGCCCTGAGATAATTCGATATTCAGGACGAAAGAACAAACCTACTTCAGGGAACGCGTCATCTGGAGATAACGGGAATATTTGGGGTTATCCTGGATCGAGACTCATGGGAATATTCCTCAAACATCTAAATTTAAAAAACGCCAAGCTAGTCCAAAGTGTAGAAACCATGCACTGCTTCTAAGAAAACTAACCAATCACCACCACTGGATAGTTCGTCATCGGATCACCGAATAGTCGCAGCTTAGTCGAGTGTCTGAAGGATCACAGTACTCTTCTGGATGATCATAAGACCGGGCTGTGATTGAGGACGTCAGACAAAGGGTCAAGTGCGGACTCAAGTGTGATTTAACAAATATTTCGCGAAATAGGCATCTTTAATCCGACGGAATTGGTGGAACAAGGTCTGAGTTACGTGGGGAATGTCATGGAAGTAAGTACTTCGTTAAAAAATTATCACCCCTGTAGTGATTTTGTGGTAAACCAATTTTTTATAAATATTGTTGGATTGCTATCAACGAAACTTTCTGAATTTTCACTCCCCAAAATTTAGAATCGTTTAGATGATTAAGAGAAATTTTCTTGGTCGGAAATTTGTAAGCAGTAGAATCGCGTCATTATCTCATGATATAAGACTGAAATGTTGATCACGCTGTGGCGTGAAAACATCATGCGGACATCACACCTTAAACAACAACCAGGCGGTATGCGCACTCCGATTGCGTTGCATTATGGTAGCGTTATTTTCAATATGGCGGTGAAAGTGGCAGAAACCGGCTGATTTTGACTGAACATTCCGTAAAAAAGTTGGGGTGTTCCTTTTTCCTTTCACCATGGATAATAAAATTTGATTTATTCTGAATGCGTAGAATTATTTTTTGTACGCATTTGTCGCGTATTCAACGGTTCTCAAGGACAAACACAATCACTGTTTTTTAGTATGTAAGTTGAGACTGGTTTTCGAAAGTGTCAAATTTGATGTGCGTCGTAGTTTGAAGCTTTTCAAGGATTCGGATGGCTGCTTTGATCTTTCTCTTACAGCTCTGACCAAAAGCTCTTAAACGTTCTCCAACAGTACTCGTGTTTTATGGATTTTAACTGCTAGTGTTTGAGCGAAAAGGCCTATTGTTGTGTGTAGTGTACTGCGTTACATGGCGTTACTATTGCAAGGACATTTCCTATGTATACTCAATCGTGTTGTAAATCTACTTTCTTCAGTAAAATCAAATTAAATGATCGTCGTACTGTATGCGAAATCTACTATCTTGATCACTGAATGAAGGACAATTGAATTGGCAATGAAAGGAGTCACTTGACAAATCAGTAACTCTACATTGCGCAAGGCGACACGCTAGATAAGCCGGAAAGCAAAAGACAGTCGACCATTTCCTTTGCGATGTCATATCAGGGTTAGTTTTAAGGTGTCATTTCCCCATCTGTAAGTTCTCAGAGTTTGGCAAAACAGGATGAGATTGTGTTACAAAAGGCAATATTTTCTTCTGCGTAATTTATTTTTGTTATTAAGTATTCTATCTCTCTCGCAGAAAATAAATCCAGAGATACGCTTCTCAAAACCTTCATCTAGGTATCCTCTAGTCTTTAAGCGTATTTCGAATCTTTTTTAATCTTGTCAGTTGCCCTCTGAAAACGAAGTCGTCGTGGTGGAATGATAGGAGTCGCGCAGGCCCGTAAACACTTTTTAACTTTCGAAGGAACGGCATCAAACAGTGAATCTCCATTGCATTCCACGTACGCTATTCTCGCTGCCTTCAAAAATATTCTCTTCTGTTACGACAGTAATGCAACGCAATAGCGCGGACAGCGTCTAAACAATAACAGAGTAACAGAAGTAACATCTTATTTTGAACTGTCAAAGTCAATCACGGACGAGGAGACTGGACACTCATCTATCCCATCATGCCTATAGGGTTCATTTTAAAAATATAGTTTCAATGGCGTAGTGATCGGGTCAGCATTAGATTCCATCCACCAAAACCACCTTGGTCGAGAGGGACTGAGATGGAATGATGGAAAAAAATTACGAAGCTACGACAACATGCCGACTTATCCCGATGACCCAAGTGTATTATTTGTTTGGGAAATTGCGTCAAAACTTTTTACTAAAGAAATGGTAAGTATTAATTTATTGTTCGATTGTAGTATTATAAAACATTTTACGCAATTTTATGCAGATATTTCACGTATTTAAAAGGTGCTTAGATGTTACGTAGTTTTGGTGGATGTCATTAGGGAACATCCACCAAAACTTTGACCAAAACCATCAACAATATATTTTTTAAATTTTATCTATAGCCATTGTTAGATGTTCAGGGAGACAAAAGATTTATACCACTAATTAGCAGTTAGTGCTCTGGCTACCTAATTATTTTTTATGGTGCACAATTGCTGACCGACCAAACGTTCATAATGATTATCATAACTCTTAACACATAGAATAAAGTGGTTTTGGTGGATGTTTCTCTCCATCCACCAAAACCACCACAGAAATTTCTGCTACTTCCTTACAGAAGACTGATGTGACCTGCTATTTGGAGTACATAACCACAATCTATTTCTTTGTATGTAGAGATATTTTGGAAAGTTCTTGAGTCAGCACCTTTTATTATTGAAACCATAATCATAACATGGTGCATAATATAGAATACAAAAGGTTCTGGTGTGGTAATCATGTAATCTTGAAACAGGAGAGTTTTTAACTGACTTAAACTGATTTAAACAAACATTTGCAACAAAATTCCAGGTCCAGAAATTTCTTCCACTATTTCTGCCAAAATCATAACCTTTAAGTACAACAAATCAGCACATTAGTAATTGTTATCAGGGGTCTGAAAATCCTATAAATCTTTCACATTTATTTCAAGTAACCTTTAATTTCACATGGATGAATAAGTATACACTCAACATGCAGAATGTCTTACAGTTTACAAACTATTTCCCTTTTTATGGATAGACAGTGAAAGGCCTTTGCCACATTGGTGAATCAAACCATTGTATACCATGCATTTTGTGATAATTGTTTGTTTTTGCTCACAATACCCAGAAAAATGGAGGGGATAAATTTAAATAGCAAATTCTATGGTTAAAATTAAATAACATTGGAAGATCAAATTAACTTTGTACTGTTTAAAATTCAGTTTTGGTTTCTTGCTTATTCCAGCCTCTTGATATTCAAAAGCATTCCTTGTCATTTTTGTGTTCTTCTGTGTACATAACTTGAAAAATAAACACAGAGAAAGGAAACCACAAAGGATTAAACTTGAAGCTAAAGCAAAGTTTAAGTTGAGCCATAGCTGATCCAAATACTGAGCACTTTGTATTGTAACCCATTTAGCAGTAAAGTTTATCTATATGTCTGCCAGCTTGTCACAAGTCTTACCCCTCTCCTTCAAAAGTCTCTATAAATAAATTTTTCTTTGTGGTCCCTAATTGATGATTAGTATATTACAGCTCCTCAATTTTCCTCTCTCAAGTCAAGGTTACTCTAAATTTAACAAAGTAATGGACTTGATAAAACTCAAACTATAACTCAGCTGGCTGCTACTTGCAACCTTAATTTCTAGATATCAGTATACAATAATCAATATGTTATAAATAAGAACCCTAATGCTTAATTTTGCAGTGATCACCTTCCTCCTTTTCATTTGCAGACCAGACTGGAACCTTAAGGAAGAAAAGGAGTCATGCCGCATATCTGATTTATTAAATCGCATTTGTTCTGTTTATACATGAGTAGAACTACCTTGTTCTCTGAAAAAAATAAAATTTCTCGCATTTTTATCTGTGCTTTGCAGTCAAACTTCCTTGTGTCTTGGACAAGAAATCTTATTTTCTTGAAAACAAAATCTTTGTTTCCAGCCTTCTGTAATAGGTAAATATAACAGTGTAAGATGAGTGACAGTGTATTTCTCAAGTTATTTTTTGGAATGTGACAAAACGGAAGTGTCATAGCGTGATAAGGAGCAAACATATGATTGCTTGATAGAATGCAAAAAATGCAGAATTGCATATATTTTCTCCTTTGTCAGCAGCATATGTTAGTGAAAAGTTCTTACAATTGTTAACTTCTAAACCATCTTCAATTTAGCCAAGATTGAACTGTTATCACGTTTGTCATAAAAGTATTCTGAGATCAATGTCATATGACCCATTCATGTATTTGACCTTTCAAATTAGCAAGCCATAGTTGACAGAAACACAAAGGTTGAGGATAAAAAGAAATTATTATATACAGTACTTCTTCTGTATCTTTTCGTTTCCTTTTCTCTCCAGCTGTTCAATCTATGCCGTGCTGGCAATTGAACACTTTCCTTCCCAAAATTAGGAAAGGCACACCAGTAAAAAACGAATTTTTGCTCCTTAAATATCTCATGCATCTTCCCCCAGTATTTTGTGACTTCTGTCCGAGGAAGGAGGTGTAAGCATTAAATTAACCCGAATGATTCCACGATTGTGGTATCATCCAAGCCATGCCAGAGGACTTGAACTAGACAAACTAGTGAGAATGCACAATAGCGATAGCAAAGCTTTGTAATGCTTAAGAGCTATATCAAATATATATAAATATATGTTCCCGAAACCTTTGACAGCTTTAAAGAAAGAAAACTTCGTCGTCAATCCTGTTTCAAATTCCGCATTAAGTTTAAGCGCCTCATCAACAGAATTTACGTATCCTAAATTATCTGCATGTCTACCATCAATGGTTCGCGACTTAAAATTCTCGCTATGCTGTTTCTGTTTGTTCCTCAAGAATCATGGGATTTACAGCTTTTGATGTTCGGCTACATCACTTGCGGATTTCCGAGAATCTTCGGTTATGTTTTGCAAGTCATTAAATATTCCATCTCAGTCCCTCTCGACCGAGGTGGTTTTGGTGGATGGAATCTAATGCTGACCTAGTGATCGAAGGGTTTCTTTGTAACGTTTCAGGTAATTTGAGGCTGTAAATAGTTTTCATTTTTACTACGAGACGCGTTTGATCGGCTAACTGATATCATTTGTCTCGCAAGTCTGAGTTGGATACGCTTACAGATGCATTCAAGCCAACATTCGTTCGCATATCGCGTACCGTATGCCTGCGGAGTGCAAGTTAACATTTATCAGGAGCAGAAGTTGGTAAACGTGTGGAACAGAACTTGCTACTTCTGTTAAGAAAAAACTGGTTAACCTATAAATCGAGAGGGATTATACGTTTTGGTTTGATTCTACAGCGCAAGTTAATGGATTTTTATTTCATATTTTGCCCGCCTCACATAAAATTTATCTAATCTTATGTTCAGAACTAGCTAATTAAGGGACTCGAACACCGAGCCTTTCAGCTAACTCGTTCACTCGTAAGTTTATCACAGCATTCAAAATCACATGTTGGATGTCTTTTAAAATAAGATTAAAGTTTATGATCTTGGAAACAGAATCAGCTCAAAAGTAGTTAAAAAAGTAATGTGTTATCATTTTTCTCTTAGCTCATAGATGTTCAATATCTTAAGAGGGGTAAACAAAGTAAAAACAGAGAATGGGCAACACTGGATCAGGAAAACATAAGGATGTGCACAGCTCAGATTCTACATTAGAATTTGAAACTGGCAAGAAGATGTTCCCAAGTGGACAGGAAGCCAAAATGGTTTCATCAGGTGTGTATCTATACATGTTGGGAGTTGACCCTTTCATTCCAAGATTTCATTAGCAATTCTCCATACTGTTTACCATATAATTCTTTTTATTTTAGTTGGGAGAATGTGGTATAGAATCAACTAATAATCCCCTCAGTGATCTTTTTCTCAATTCTCATCACTTATATGCTTGATATTGTTTCAATATAGTGAGGGGAATTTCTGTCTTGGTCACTCATGGGAGTTAAAAGGTTAAACCCTGTACAACAAGAAACTCTCTTTATCAGATAACCTTGATAACCTTGCAAGCTGCAGGTTCCTCTTAAACTAATCAGGAAGGAGAGTCAACTGTCTGCAAGATACATTACTGCTTACTGCTTGTTTACAGTTTACTTGCTAATGATGCTTTCCTGTGGGATTTTGCAGTGGATATTCAGCTGTAATTCTCAGTAACAAGTATTGTTATTGTCATGAACTTGTATTAGTGAATTTTTTGTTGAAATCCAAAGTATTTGTACCAAGGGAAAATTAATCTGAGGAGACCAGTAATTGGATGAAACAGTTGTACTGTCAAACCTCTTCCCAAAAATCATCTTTGGGATGGATGGTAGCCTCTTTTTTATCTTTACTGAAAAGTTCAATTTATCTTTTATCATATTTTATGTTAGCAAAAGAGCGCGAATTTGATGAAAGTGACTATGATTTTGATGATGACCTCATGGAACCAGAGCCTCCGCTGAAGAGGACTGTGCCAACAGTATTTGGTTGGGAACATGGTGGCCGGGAAGTTTTACTCTCAGGGAGTTTCAATGACTGGAAAACAAGAATTCCAATGAATCTTAGGTCAGTTATTTTGAAGTCTGAGTAATAACTGTTTAGAATGCCATCAGTAGATGCCAGCCTTTTTTTTTTTTTTCCAAGGACCTACAGTATCGTACTGTATGACTGTCATTGTAACAACCCTTTGTTTCTCAGTCATTCACTTTGGTTGATTTGTTAGCAGATTTCCTTGCCTTTGTTCATGTTTGATGTTGTTTTTACTAGTGACCAGCCCCTGTTATGTACAGGTTCAATAAGTAAGTTACTGGTGTTGAGGATATGTCTTATTTCCCTGTTTGTAGCCAAGGAGAATTCTCAGCAATACTTGAACTTCCAGAAGGGGAGCATGAGTATAAGTTTTGTGTGGATGGCCGCTGGATCCATGACCCAAATGCTGTAAGTGTATTTAACGAGACAATATTATAAAGATTGGTAACAGTACTAGGATTATTAATTTGTGGTCATGAAACCAAAATGTTCAGCCAAATTGGGGTTGCAAGCACTTTTAAGGGTCCTAAAATTTTGGTGACCTTCAAGGAATAATTTGGTTTTGGTGACAAGGAAGACACACTCATAGGTAATTCACATTGTTCAACAGGTGTTCAAATTAGGCTATTGCTGATCACAAAACACATCTGTTCACTCTTGATCACCAGTGTTTCCCCTTATCCTAAGCACAACTGGGAAAATAAATTTTCTAACCAGATGAGCAATTGGTTTTCCCATTGAATTTTCAAGAATTCTAAGCATTTTGAGCTGGTAATTGGATGTACTATAGGCTGTCAAGTTTACAGCCTACCACCTGAAAAGGAGAACACTGGATCAATAGATGTTATAATAAATAATCATTATTGATGAAAATCCAGAAACTGCAAGGATTTAAAGCTGTGATCTCCTCATTCTATTTTTTCATCTTAATAGCCAACTACAAATGACAATTTTGGAGGTAGAAACAATGTGATCAATGTAAAGAAGTCTGACTTTGAAGTGTTTCAAGCTCTGGAGTCTGATGCTAGTGCAAGTATTGGTTCTGCTGGATCAATCAGTGAGTGCTTATGTTTTGATTTTTATTTTAAATTGAAACTGAGTATTTGTAACCGAAATATCATTGTAATTTGTGCTGCACTGTACATGTAATCAGGGTGTAACATAACAACCTCTTAAAATATCATGTCTGGTCAGCTCCTTGATGGCCAAACATTTTGTCTGGCAGATTAGGCATTGAACCCTTTATGTCCTAGATCAAATTTGAATTCTCATTACTATCAACTATACAGCCCTAATAATGGTAGTTCAAAGAATTTAGTATTTGATCAACTAATTATGTCCAAATTGATATTTTTCTTCATTCTTAACACTAACCTGGTTGATATTGTATTGATATTGTAAGGAGAAATTCTCTCTTGGTCACTCATGGGAGTTAAAGGGTTAAAGAAGAATTTTATTCCAAGCCAAGTTCAGGTTTTAAATATGGTGTAAATTATTTTTCATGCATTGGGTTTGAGGCTTCAAGCACATTAAAAGCATCAGTAAATACACCTGTATTTTAAGGAAGGAGGATATTTATTGAAATATGATATAATGGATATTACATGTATTTGTCTTGTCAAAGTGGGTTCTGTCTTTGACTGGACAACTTGAGCAGTGCTAGCCATAAAATTATATTAAGCCTTGTATAAATTAGACTCAGTAACATGCTTTGTGGTTTGTAGAAAACTGTGGTATAGTCATGTGTTATCTAGCCTGTTACATGTATTCAGTGCTTAATCCTTTAACTCCCAAGATCTCATTAGTAATTCCCCTTACTATTTACCATAAAGTTCTTATAATGTTAGTTTGGAGAATTTGGTCTTTGATCAACTAATAATCCCCTTATTTAATATTTTTCTTTATTCTCATCACTTGTCTGTTTGATATTGTATTGGTATTGTAAGGAGAAATTCTGTCCCAGTCACTTAAAGTTAAATCGAGTTAAAGGGTGACTTGTCATTGCAAGTTTGAATTTAAAAAAATGGTGATTGAATTTATTTTTATGTTTCTATGTTAAGAAAGAAATTTTGTTATTGAAATTGAATATTTTTTCTTTTAGAATCAGTATCAGGATCTCCACCTGGCTCTTATGGCCAACTTATTCCATCACATCACAACCCTGTTATAGTACAAGATGGGATGCATTCTAGCGTACCTCCAGTTCTTCCTCCACATTTGCTCCATGTAATACTCAACAAAGATGTGGTGGATCACAATGACCCTTCCCTTTTACCAGAACCAAACCATGTGTCTCTAAATCACTTATACGCTCTCTCTATAAAGGTATGTGATTATTTCTGCAGAGGTTGGTTGTTCAAAGCTGGGTTAAGATAATCCAGGGTTGCTGTAAAAGTTCATTTCAGATCTTAAAGCTTTGGAAGAATATTCAGTTTTCATTCTTTTTGTCTACAATTTGATGAATGGATGTTCTTAAAAGAATAAGCAAAATCATCCCAAAAAGGCTTTTGAACAGAAAAATGAAGAAAAATTTATTACAATTTAACCCTGGGTTATTGCTTATCAGCCATTAAACAACTGGGCTTTGGTCCTATATACATGTAATTTAGTATTATCAACTGAGTTGATAATGTAAATTGGCCACCATAAAGAGTTAGCTATTTGCTATGACAAAGGGCTAATGCTTGAAACATCAGCTTTCAAACTTTTTACAGTGGTCAATTCATGTTATCAACTCAGATGATAGTACCAAACGACCCTGTTATACTCTTTCCACTGACGCAGCACAACAGTTTCTTTAGAAACTTTCCCCCTATATACATGTGTATGTGTGGCATGTTGCAGCTCAATTTAAGTGTAATCTTAATTCTGTATGAAAGGTACATTATTTAGTTGTCTTGTTATTTTCAGTTGTTTTTGTGGAAAACTTTCTGCTTGAAATTTCCAGGGGCAATGCAAACCCTTTCTCTTTATATTTCAAGAGCAATTCTCCTCACAGTCTTCATTATATTTCTTTGTATAACACTTCATCATAAGTGTCTCCACTATGATAAATAATTGCAACCTACTTTAATCTTATTTCTCTATGTTTGCTTATACAGTGTTAATTATAATGAATCAACTCTAATTTTCTTTTCTAGGATGGAGTCATGACGTTAAGTGGAACGCATCGCTTTAGGGAGAAATATGTTTCAACCTTGCTGTACAAACCAATTAAACCAATTTGAATGGCAAGATACAAAACATGTTAAAAGACTTAGTGTGTTGATATGGACTGAAGGTGGAATGAAACTACAGACCTTTTTCCCAGTTCAGACAAAATGTTTGTACTATGAAGTACTTAGACTTCCTATAATACAGCGGCAATACTTGGTTTGCAAAGTTTACTTAAGGGCAACAAGGAAGGAGGAAGACTTGCGTGCACAAGCTACATGTAACACATAACTCTCCTAACTAGCTTTTGCTTTGTTGCAAATTCTGCTTAGATATTTAGAAAGAGGTTATCTCAGAAATTATTAATGTGCTGATTCTCCATGCAGAGAGGTTATGAGAACTGACAAGTTTATCAGCAAGAGGGCATTTTCTTGATATAGGACCAAATTTAGTTGTCTAATTTAAAAGGAAATGCATGGGAAGCAGTGGGAAGAATTGATCTTTGGATCATGGGATTAAGGGTGAAAGTGGTGTATTTAGTATTTTGCCACTCCTCTGGAAGGTGTGCGATTGGAAAGAGGAGACCATGTCATAGCACTTTCTAATAATTGTGGTATTGTTAATGAAAGAAAATTTTGTAGCTGTAAATTTTTATTCAGAGTTTTACAGGGAATGATTTAGAAAAAAAAAATTGGGGAGAGAAATTTAGAAGTCTATTAGGGATCATGAAGGCTCTCTTTATTAAGCATTTTTTTTGTAAGAAGGTTTGTGACTATACAACTTTAGAATCGATGAGTTGTGGCATACGTTTAATTTCTCTGTGTCAAACATGACTTATGTGCCAATCTATATGAAGTCTCAACATACTTTCATGCTCAGAAGGGGTGGGGTGGGAATTTGAATCTTACTTAGCTGGGTGGGGAATTTGAAGTGGAAGTGTGGAGTCTTTCAAGCAGAATAAAAGTGTTATATCTTAAGATATGGAGGAAATGTGTAGTCACAGTCACTGATTCTGCGTTTGAGGGCAGTTTTTACCTGGGGGGGGGGGGTTTGAACAAATCAGTCTTCAAAAGTTCAAAGGTCTGAAATTGCTTGATGCATCATTCAGAATGTAAGGGGAAGTGGGCTTCAAAGTACTTTTTTTGTGATGAAAGCATTTAGCAAACAAGATCCTATCTTTGACTTAAAAGAGTAATCATTACATTAACTCTCCTCATAATTTTAACTCTATGCAACAGAACAAGCAATCAGTATTAGTCTGAAATTATAGATGGGAGGTTGATGTTCCAAACCCACAGAGAAATGCATAGGAAATCTCCTTCTGGCTTATGGATTGTGATTATCATGATAACAGCCTTTTGTTGTGCTGATATTGTACAGTATTTAACAGAGTATTTTGTTGTTTTGTTATGGTAAATAAAAAAGAGATCTAGGAAAGACTATTTTGAATAAGGGGTCATGTCTCATCCATTGCTTATGTCTTTGTTAGCATGTGACCTTGTCTGATGATGTGTATTGTTGGTATGTGTTAGGTTAGCAGGGGTGTAGCCAGCTTTTTCCAATTTGTTGTAGGTTTGGGGCTTGTTTCTTAAAAGTCCTGGTTACTCAACAGGACTGTCAAGCTGTTCTGTTTTCTTTCAAGATGGGGGTTTCAAAGTTTTCAAAATTATACAGTGTAACTATAAGCTAAAGAAACAAAATGGAGTTGTTAGGATGTCAAAACCTGCTTCTCAATTCTTTTAATATGGCTTGGACCTGTTAAGTTACCAGGATCTTTGAGAAATGGCCCCTATTCCTGAGGAGAGTTCATTTTTTGTTTCAATATTTGCACAAGTCATATTAAAAAAGTCAAGCAAGTGGAAACGGAGAATTTTTAGGCCTGGGCCTATGGACTGGCTACACCCCCAGTAAAGTTTTTTAGTTCATAGAAATAAAAAATTATTCCAAGTGCTTCATTGATACCACATGTAGCTCTAATTTTTCTATTCAAGAGATTTAGTGATTTAGTATGTGACTGTACAAATTGCAAATAAAGTTATTGAAGAAGAGTTTCAAACTCAGAGAATTGTTTTGCCCCCAATCTGTCTTTTTTGTAGAGAAGACAAGGCCAATAAAATATGAGAAAGCTAAAAATAATCATAGTTATGGTGTATAATTTTGTGGTTTCTTGCATGTCCTGATCCCCTCTAGGATTGGCCATGACACAGTACTTAAAATAATTTAAGGCTTCCCATAATTGTTCTTAAGATTGACAGTAATAGTCCACTTTAAAGTTGCGAGCTTGGTTCCCAAGCCTTCAAACAGGAGTGATGCTAAGAGTTACCTTGTTATGATACAAACATTGCTGCTTTTTCAAACAGAAATGACTTTGTTATCATGCTTACTACATACTGGTCTCTATCATAATAAGGTCACCTTCAACCTTACTCTGAATCAAAGGCTTGGCAACTAAGTACAAAACTGTAGAATGACCTATTTAGATTGTTGATTGAGTAAATTTTGCCCTGAAAACTGCTTTTAAGCTTCACCTTTACTGGTCAGATTTTGAGTATATAGCAGCATGGGGTAATATATTTTGTTGAATTATTTTGTCTCTACCCAAATATATAATAATGAGAAATTCTACTCTTGCTCAGGTGCAACACTTTACTGGCACAGTTGTAAAAGTGATTTGAATATAAAGGGTTTTTATTTTTGTACCCTTCCATTTCATCCTTTAATGTCTCTGAACTTTGACTAAGTTGAACAAGAATCCAAGTGTGATGCTGTATTAGGTATAAATGAGGAAGTCAGAACACATAATTTGCTTTAGATTGCCTTGTGGCCTCAAAAGTGTGTTGTGTTTTTGGGCAGGATACTTCACTCCCACTCTGTCTTTCTCCAAAGAGTACGAATGGGTGGAAGGAAAGAGCACCACCAGAAATTAACAGGCACCCTATCCAGGATGTGTGGTAGTATTTCTAGTCAGGGCTTAACCTTTTACATCCTTACATCAGCATCAGTATGCATATTCTCCATAATTTCCTTTACTCTTGTGATCTAAATGAATGTTTCAGATTAATGCAAGGGGAAATTAGATGCTGGTCACTGTTAGTGTTTTACAAGTTTAAACAGAATCAAGGATAAGCTCTGCATGTAATTCAAGTCACAAGGTCAATAAACCTTCACTTGGCAGGAAAAGATCAGGGAAACCACTGCCTTGTATATCACACAAAGTAAACACCATTTATTACAATTACCTGTGATAAGATACCTTATAAATTACTACATATCTGTATTTACCTATAGTATTTAAATCATCATCACCGATACAATTTTTTTCCAATGAAATTCTAATTATATTTTTGTAGAAAATTTTTGTCTCTACGACAAAAAGGGTTTCCTTTACACAATTTTGGTATCTACGTGGCTACATAAAATTTCCACCCAACCCAAAACTTGGTCCCTTGTTGTTTCTTCACAAACTGTAATTTGAAAGTGGATTGTGCATTAAAAGAACTCACAACTTATGAACCCACAATTTCAATACAAAATGAATTCCTAAACAAGGGCATAGTCAATAACCTTCTAGGTGTCTTGTTCACTACACACTGTGGGTACAGAAACATTGTTGGACAGTTTAAAGAATGCTCAGTGAACAAATTATTTATCAAACAAGGGTTGTGCAGTTATGGCTGTAGCTAATGTAGCCTGTTATTACCACCAAATTACAGTTTTTCCTTCAAAAATTCCATGTGCCACATATTTGCTGTCTGTTATCCTATCCAAAGTCCATCACAGAACTCAAAAGTGTCCTTAAATAAATCACATCAGATAATCCACACCAATACTGATGCTGATACAGGACTAAATTTAATACATGTACAATCACTTGATGACAGCCTGTAGCTGGCATGGAAGATTGAAACCATCACAATTGTTGGTGAACACTAAATAATCATTGTCTCAACCACTGTCACTGATGGTTGTTTAATTCAGAATCTACCCTCTCCCCTATAGACATGTTCCCTATCAAACCCCCCCCCCCTCCCTTTAAATTTTGTATCATCAAAGGTGCAACTACAACTACCTCTTCACAAAAGACCTTTGGAGCCCCCTTAATAATATCTTTCTAACTCGCATGGGAGAAGACATCGAAGAGAATGTCCCTGATCGAAAGCTGGCCAGGCAAACGTCATACTACTGTGAGTACACTTAGTTGCACGTATACACAATCATCTCAATTTGTGATCTCGCTGTGTCTTTATCGATAAATTAAAACATCCAGTTCATATTACGATGAGCTTTCTTGATGCAAGCTCTGAACGGTCGAACTTAGAGTCTCCAAATTCTTCATTAACTTTTCCAGATTGCCTCCACTTCTTGGTTCTTCTTCATCTCCAAATCCTTCCGTCATATTGTCAATTTCAAAGTGAAGCTGAGCCAAATGTTCTTGAAGTTCGCGTACTTTATCCATCTTTTCGATTGTACAATCCCTACCAAATGCATACAGTTTGCCGTGATTGAAATCGTGCATTAGATCTAACAGTCCTTTCTCCATTTGTTTCACGTCTGTTCTGTCTGTTAAAAAAGAATGTTCTTGCATTTTCGGAGTGGCCTTAACCTGTGATTTCTCACTTTCTTTTGCCTCTTTAGATTTAGCTGTACTGTTACTTTGCGCTTCCATACTCTTAGCCATGAATTTTCTTTAAAATTGCGTTAAGAATTTTCGCTATTTGACTTTAAGGCCGCCATGTTCAAATTCCCATAATGCACTTCGCCCCATAGATATGATTTACTGCTCATGCGCTTCTTAGTTCCTTCTCTTCCACCAAAATAATCATCGTACAGCGATGAAGTAAGTTATCTTTGAAATCCTTTCCCATCCAGACATTTATCTACCACTTTAGAACATAGATCAAACATCCAAAGCTACTAGAGTTCTTTTAGTTTTATTTCAGTGAACAAAATTGAAATTATAACAATTAACAAAAGTGCAATTTTCCTTCTCTTCTTAGTGACTCTCTCATGCTAGGAATACTACTTGTGTCTGCTTGATAGCGTACTAAATTCTTCTATTTGATTGGAAATATGAAATTGAATTGGTCATATTTTCTAGGCTCGAGTTGTGCAATTACAGTGGGTACAAGATCTACCCTGGCCATGGCAAGAGATATGTTAGGCTGGATGGAAAGGTACGTTCTGTCGTAGAGTTGTATAGTAGCTGAAATTGCAGTAGATGGTAGTTTGATTTTCGCATAAATGCTTTTCAGAAATTGTTCTTTGCCCTGACTAACAGTAATTCCATTGAAAGAGGAAGCACACTTATACATTCGATTTGTAGTTTCTTTAGTCTGTCTTCTTACACGTCAGAGAAGATTTTTTCAAAGTCGAATGTGTCTCTGTACTTCTTGCTTTTAATTTTATTTGTATAGCGAAACTATTGAATACAGGTGTACATGTAAATTAATTGGCTACATTTTTGAAAAAGAGAGGAATGACACAACAGGTACTTTGGTCATTAAGTGTAAATGTACTAGCATTCTGTTGCAAATGCTGCAATCCGAATGGTTACTACTTGGTATCTACTCCATGATAGAAAGCAATTTAGTTTGAATACTTTCATTGTCTTGTTTAAAAAGTAAAATGAAAATAAGACATAGGCCTGTCTTTTTAGGTTCTGAAGAATTCATAAATTTATCATAAAGTAATTAGACAGTTCACTCTTGATTTTTATTGGTGATGGTGGATTCAGGCATACCCCACGTCAGCTATCATGCAACATAAATCTTGAACTCACAAACAAATCGAGATATGTTTAGACATTGGATTCTGTATTTGTACCACTGTTGTTGAAGAGGACCTTGTGGGTTTTTGTTGATTGTAAGTTGAAATTAAAAGGATGGGTGAAAGACCTTATGATAGGGGTATTCGTAAAAGCAGTTTACTGGCTGTCTGCTAATGCTTATAAGACCTCTTACTGGTGTTTGATAAGCCTGCAAACACTTGCTCCTGTTTGGGTTTTTCCTTAGGACCTATAACTGGTAACAGCCACTTATTACACCTTTGGCAGCCGCTTGTGGAAAAAGTTACTACAGTAGAACCCCTGTTTATGGTCACTTTAACAAGTTGTTTGTTAGGGTGGGCTCCCTGCTGAGATTTTTTTTCTGTTTTATGGTTAGGTCTTCAACTTCCTCAACAAGAAATGCGAGCGAGCCTTGTTAATGCACCGTAATCCTCGTAAGATTACATGGACTGTGCTCTATCGGAGAAAGCACAAGAAGGGTACCACAGAGGAAGTCTCCAAAAAGCGAACAAGACGTAATGTCAAGTTCCAGCGTTCAGTACAGGGGGCAACTCTTGAGAACATCTTGGCTAAGCGAAACCAGAAACCTGAAGTCAGAAAAGCCCAGCGTGAACAAGCCATCAGGTTGGTGTAAAGAGTACATTTAGCAGGGCTAAAAATTGATGGTCACACAGTTGCCATTGGCAAGTTAAAACTGACCAGGGCTACCAAAAGTTAAGGTGTGAATGCCCGATGTGCGACTATGCTACAGAATTTCAAAAAGTTGCAATGTAAATTATGCGAAGTACAAAGTTAAAAATAGAACGCAAGATGTAATTTAATTGGACTACCTTTCTCTTTGTTTCTTTGCCTGGACTCTAAAATCATCCATCTTAGTGGATTTTTAGTTCTGAAGTGGAAATTCCGAGCCATTTTAACAGTAATTTCACGAGTGATCCACATTCGCAACATATAGATGCCATTTTTATTTTGTGATTGCCAGGTGACTCTGGACTTTTGTGTTCTTTCCTTTTAATTAATGCTCTGTTAAAAGCCATGGGGTGTTTATTCAAGTTTTTCATTTTAAACTAGAGGTAATTGAGGGCAACTTCATTTTGGGATGGGCTACTAAGAATTCAAGGAAACTGGCCTGACTGGCCACCAAGCACTGGAGTTAATTTTTAGCCCTGCATTTAGTCCAGCAAATTAAAGGAAGGGTGTTATAATGTTGAACCTGGTAACCATGCTGACTTTTTGCGTCTTCATAAGTGGAAATCCAAATGGTGTGTTTTTGTAGGCATTGAAGATATTCTGGTTTCTCATTGATCTCTATAGAATTAGGCTCCCTATGAAGCTGCTGCTTCAGGAAAAAATACACTGAAGTGCAACCTTGTTGTCCAGACATAATTCCATGATGATTTAATATACCTACATTGTTTGAGATCCTCACAGAGAATCTCTGATAAAAGTCATCAAAACCCTGAGAAAAGTGTTCTGGACAGGTCGACATAATTTCATTTAAGTATATATTGTTGTACAAATTTCTTCAATATCAAAATATTCTTAATTTTTTCCCAAAGGGCTGCAAAGGAGAAGTCAAGGGCTAAAGAGCAACAAAAGAAGGCTACCAAGGTATGAGTCTCATTGAGGGGCTTTTCTTTACCAAGGATTGTAGCTAGAATTAAGCTTAGTGGCTGAAATTTCAAGTGAGACGCTTCAAGGAGAGACATGGTCTGGTGATGACTATTTGTTCCCAGTCATACAGGAGCTTCTAAGCTTCTTGTTTACAGAATGTGGGATGAAAGAAATGAAAAGAAGTCATAATTGAAAAGAGTTCAAAACAATGATTTCTTTCAGTTACTTTACTTGTTGTAGTGTCACTAATACAGAGGTTAGTTGGGGTTATATTTAAATATTTTTAATCCCACTATAGTGTTCTGTATTGAACATTTGTTAATTGCATAACCTCAGAAGTGCCAGCTGTGCTTTACTGAGCAAATTTGCAGGCAGCTGGCACTTAGGGAAAACAAATTACTTTTTTTATCAGACATTAAATTTGTACACTTCAATTTCTTTAGGCACAGCAACAACAGCCCATCAGACAGAAGCAAAAAGCAGCCAAACCTGTGCAGACAAAGGCTCCTCGTGTTGGAGGAAAACGCTAATGAATTCAACTGTAAAATGTCCAACATGTAATAAAGCCTTTGTTGAAAATATTTCTTGTGTAATGCATTTTCTTAGGGTTGAGGGGAGGGGGAAGGGGTGTAGTTTTATTTACAGATGTTTTTCTCTTGTCACTTTTGAAGTTGGGATTCTGAAGGTGGATATTTAACAAGGGCATGTCATGCACATGCATTGCATATATTTTACACATATTTTGAACTTTATTTACAACCATCATCCTTTTTATTACTATAGTTATTAATGTACACAGAGTTTAATATGACTAGTGCTGAGGTGTGTAACTGGTCTGTATGTTGTTTGTACTTGTCAAGTTGCTGTGAATTTAGATCAAATCACAAAACCAGTTGGTTCTTATCAGAAGTATCGCGAGTGTCTTAATTGCAATTTTTTTCTTCGTGTACTTATTATGTCAAGTTCTCTAAAGTGGAATGGTTACCACAGCTAGGTGAAGTTCAGTGATGTGGAAATGTTTAAGCAGTGAAAACCTCCATCTCATGTATGATGCACAACTACTTTGTTATCCAACTACAGAATATATTTTTTATTATTATAGTTATTGATTGATTGTACAGATTTCTCTCTAAGCTTCTACTTGTATTTCAAACATTAACATTGTCCCTTACAATAGTACTTAAAAAAAATTAACATTATTACTTTGACATGCGCCAAAAGCTGGATGCTAATTCATGCATTGTGAGTCCTTTCTTCTATTTTTCTTTCATAAGTGTGTTTCATATGAAATGAAACTTTCATTTGTTTCATGGTTGGTTTGAGAAACAAATTTTTAAACCAACTTCCTAAACAACGTCCTTGAAAAAAAACTAATGCTAATTGGTGTAAAAATGAACATTCTTTTTGAATAATTTAGACTTAAACCAGCTTACGAAACAAATCAAGTATGAAATTAGTCTGTTTAAAGTTAGCTACTCTACAACTAATCAAACTAACACTTTGAACATGTATCTTCTCCTTATTAGGAGAAGTACGCTTCTGAGGCCAGTATGAGGGCCAGTAAGAACTTATAAATAAGTTTTTCACTCTTTGTTATTTCTAACATATTTAGTAATACAAATTGTTGATGATACTTATTACAAATACAGTCGTTTTTTCTGGAGTGTCCACTATCCCCCACTCCCTAACATTAGCCCTGTATCAATTCCTTGCAGTTGCCATTTTGTAGTTGTTGCAGATATTGATCTGAGAGAAATAGGCCATTAAAGCCTGTTCAAACATGTCCAGACATTTATGAATTGTTAAGAAGGGATTCACGAGAAAGAACATCTGGGTAGTACATTCCAAAGCAGTTTTGGCAGTGACCATATCTCTCTGGTGCAGCAGTGCGGTCACATCCAGTTATAATACATCTGTGAACTGCTACTGTTGTATGAGATGCAGTAGAAGATGGGGTAACTTCCCCAGGGAAATCTGTAGAGAGATGCAAATGAATTGTATCAAATATATTTTAAGATGAGAAAAGGGAAAGTTAGAGCTCCCCTAGATGATGTAAAAATGTTTAAAACACTACTTGCAAGAACTCATTAGTTAAGGGAGGTTGTATGTCTTATAGCTGTGATTGCAGAATTTTGCTATTGTATAATTTGTGCACTAACTATTTTTCTGTTTTGTTACTGTTCCTTCCATTGTAAGGAGATGTGTTTGCAGATTGTACAATGTAGGTTAGAAGTAACCTACTGTTCCAGCCCAAACAATTGCATTCACTGTAAGTTTTCAAAGCAGAGAAGCACATTCATGAAATTGTGTGGAGTAGCTACTCAGCAATACTATGTTGATTTAGCTTACAAATTTAGCTTCAGTGTTACCTGGAACTGAATGTGGGTATGAAAGAGGAATGGTGCTTTCCAAAAAGCAGCGAGAGCAATATCCATTTGTCTCTGGTGTTCCGAATAGGGTGCAGTTAGTGCCACGGCATTTTTGACCACTGATGTCACCACTGCCTGAATTTGACTGAGATTGCCTCACTTGCGAGCCATACTGAGGGCTTTGTGGCTGGGACACTTGTACTGGTCCTGGAAGGTCATAACCAAACTGGCGATTTTGTGTTGGTGTTGGAAGATTGTGAGAGTTACCTCTTATAACTTGACCCTGATTTTGATGCACTTCAGAGGATAATGTGGACCTTTGTTGAATCCTTCTATTATCAAGATAGCACTGCTCACATAACCCATTCTTCTCTGGGGTTCCAAATCTGAGACAGGCTTTGGTTTTGCATGGAAGCTCAGTTACCTTCACAGCCGTCCTCTTGGTAGTTGTCTCTGTTTGGTTTATGCCTTGAGAAGTGCTTTGTGCTCCCTTCGTAAGAGAAAAAAATAATATATGTTAGGGTTATCGATGACAGGAAAATGATTTTCCTGATTAGTTATTTAATTGGTAACATTTTTTTAATGAAATTGATGTCTGTGGATTGTCGTGAATTCCTGCAAAACTAACATCATTTTGATGCTTACTTGTCTTCCTTGAGACATTTTGCATCATCATTCTATTTGCTTCAGAAAATCAAATGAAGGTAACAAAAGGTGCAAATAAGATTTTCTTGAGTTTATGAACTAGACTGCCCTTATAGGTAAAGAATTTTGGGTTCATTTTTCAGATAACTGCATACCTGGTTATTTGAAGCAGCAGCTGTAAAGGTGCCTTGTTGTCTGGATGATGTCTGGGAGACTGCAGCTTGTCTCTTCTCAATGTCATGTAGTTCTGCCTGAAAACCTGCAGCAAAGCAATCTTTGCACAACCCACCATCCAGTTCTGCTCGTTTTCCACACAAGGCGCACTTATCTGCTTTTGATCCGGTGGATGGTGCTTGTGGGATGACTTGATAGGGATGTTGTGCCCCTGCAGATGACGAGGTCCCAGCGGTGTTATGGGTATTGGTGCTGCCACTTGTAAATGCTGGGACAGGATGCCTTAATACACTTGATACAGTCGCTGCCATGCTGCTTGATCTTGTTAGCTGTTGCAAACCACTTCCTGAATTGGTAATGAATGGAATTGGATTTGCATTTTCACAAGCTTGACATAATCCTCGCCCATCCCTTCTTGGATTTTTGCAAGCTGGGTTGGAGCACGTATACAGACCAGTACCATTTGTTGGTGCTGATGTTGGGTGATAATTTGGGGTGCCTGCTGCTGCTGATGCAGATGTGAAGGTTGGAGATGGTGTGACTAAGGGGACACTAGCTTCTCCTGCAGTAGTTACTGAAGTGTTTCGTACCCGAGAGGGACCAGACTTTCTTGCATGGCATTCTCTACACAAGTCTGAGAACTGAGATATTCCTTCATTGAAGCAGCCTGGAGAGGCACACAAGACACCCTTCCTTCCACCACCAGTTGGAACTGGATTAATTCTTGTGACATTCTGTGGTGGTGCTTCCTGGGGTGGATTGAGTTGCATAGCACTCCCAACTGATTCACCCTTGGAGGTTATAAAACTGTGAATACAATCAGTGTAGCACTGTACGCACATACCATACAATGCAGGTACACCAGGGAATGGACAGTTGTGACGCTGGCAACTGTTAGGCTGTCCTGGCAATGCAGGGCTACGTGGTGATAAGGTATTTTCCATCTGTAAACAGAAGGTTCTGTAGCATCTGGAGCATAAGTTATGATGTTCAGGCAGGCCAAAGAACTCACAGCCATTCACTCTGTTTGCACAGTGCTTTGTGGTTGCCAATGTCAAGGGATTCATGCTTGCTGCCATTTCTTCTGCATTTCTTTCAGCTTCAAAGCACCTCTCACATAGGCCACCATGGTTAGACACTGCAGCATATTTGCACCCGGATGTCCGACATTTGGCAGGAGTTGTAGCTGGAAAGGTTGTGGGAAGGGTTGTCACAATGGCATTAGAAGCTTGTGGTGTTGCAGATGTGGTGGTTGTTACAACATTTTCTCGAGAAGAAATCTGTCTTGCTGCTGCATAATGACTTGGTTCTGAAGGTCCAAGGGTCCTGATATACTCGTTCAGACACTGAGAGCAACGGTTCCCAGTCTCTGTTGATCCATAGAAGGTGCAACCTTGAGTTTGGCATGGAACAATCTGTAGTGTTGGCTGTTTGGTACCTGGTTGAGACTGAATATTTACTTGACTGGTTCTTAGCATACGTTGATATTCTTCCTTGGCCCTTTGGAAGTATCCATCAATAAGAGCTTTCATGCAACGAGGTTCTTCACCAAAATGCAACTTTGCAACAAGAATTGACTGCCTAGAACCTCCTTGATCACTCAAAACAGATACTTTAGCACAGTCCAAGTACTGACGCACACGGTCACTTGCCAATGGTACTTCATGATCGAGAAGAAAATGAACTGGTAATGGTGATCCATCATATTTAATTAATGGCACGGCATGCATGCAGTTACTTGACCTTAAAGCTGGCTGATTTTCATTCTCCAGGTCTAGTTGTCCATCTTGAATACTGACAACTGCTGTGAAATGTCCATTTGCATAACCAATCACTAAGGGACTTTTCACGCAGTCTACAGAGTCCCACAACAGAGGCAAATAAATACCTCCAAAGTTTATCGGAGAATATGAATCGCCATATGGTCCTCTTAGGGTGTCATCTGACATCACTATAATAGTGCGACGCAAGATATTGGCGAGGACAAAGATGTGGATCTCTTCAAGGCTCCCAAATTGAGCACCATTTGGACCAAATGGAAATTCATTCTGTGATACATGTCTGATAACTTCTTCCCATTCACGATTCCATTGTTCTTCTGTTCTCTGATATCCTCCAAGCTGGTTCAATATTTGCCGTTCTTCTTCAGCTTTCCAGCGACGATGGTAAAAACCTTGAGAGTAAAATCAAATAAAGAAAAAAAACTGAAAGATAAATACAGGACACCAGGTTTGAATCACAAGACTAAACCAGGTGAATTGTGAGAATTATTATTACTCTGTTGGGCATAATGGCTCTTTAATGGGGCTAAAATGGAGATTTTTACATTTGACAATTTAAAGAACAGATAATTTCTCATATATATGAAAATGTGGAAAGCAAAGACTGACAAGGAGCAAGATCTAGTGACTTAATAAATAACCTGGGTCAGTTAATTGTGATTCAAAGATCACCCAACCATAACAACTTACTATCAACTTCCTTACGACCGTTGCTAGTTAGCACTTGCAGTGATTGGTTAAAAACTGGAACTCAACCTATCTGAAGTACCAACCAAAATGACAGTGAGGAAAGAGATTTATGAACTATAATTAACCTGTGAATCATTTATTAACATTTTCCTTTTGGTTCTAACTTACAGTAATGAAAGTGGAGAGGTTTGGAGGAGGATGTAGCGCAGTAAAAACAGGCTATACTAATCCCATCTTCCCTTCTTAGAATCTTAACTTACTTGTACCTTCCACGTCTTCCACGAGTGCTTCGTGAGCAGTTTTCCTGAGAGTCTGATAACGATCGTTGACGGCCCACATTCCAATTGAGGCTGCATGCATTAAACAGTTTCCATCGCCCAAAGTACTCACTGTCGCCATACGACCCAAAGCGCAACACCAATTAAGTCTTTTGGCAGCTTCCAACTCTCTCATTGTGTGTCCATCCACCAAAAAGCTGAATACGAATTTTCGGAATTCGAGAGTGAAATCTTGGAACGAAGGAAGCACAAATGTAAAGTTGGAAGAGGAATCTAGATATCTGTGTTTTGTAACGTCTTCGGGTACCACAACATCTTTCCGCACTATTTCTCGCACGTCTAAAGCGGAGTCGAGATCGTTCAAAGAGATGTTTCGTTCAAATAGATGACTCGGCGGTTGAAATGAAGCCATGGCCATGGTGTACTTGAAGGATCGTAACCAACGTACGGACCCACTTTCTGTCGAAAATTTTACTCCTTCTACCAGACGATTCAAATCTGGAAACTTATTTCTGTATCTTCTCTCAAGACGTTAAATACAAAATCCTGAAAGAAAATTAAGCAACGAAGGTTTTAAAATGCGATTGCAAAGCGGAAGTAGACTTGTGTCAGAGTTAGGGGGAAAAAAAAACGACATAATTAGCCGAAAAAGTCAAATTGCTTGCCTCACACCTTTTTTAAAATTTAAGCTTCGTTGACTAGAGAGAAACAAACCTTTAAAAGGGGCAAGACAGTTCCCAAACCCTAGCAGGAAAACGAAATCACTAGTACGACAAATCATTATCAACGTTCGTCCCCGGGATTTTCCCGTGGGGAGTCCCCGACCCAGCCCCTTAGTACGAGCCAATCAGGTTGCAACCCGTTTTTAGGGTACATACGAGCGTAATTTTTTTAACTGAAAATATTACCCCCTTATGGAAGCATTTACCTTTATAAAAATTGGCCTAGAAGGTCAAGAAGATATTTTGTATGGATACGAGTATGTTTCATCGCACACTTTGCTTGTAGGATTGATAAGACGTTTCCAGATCTCGCCCTTACGTACACCACCCCAGAGGATTTTGTCGTCTTCCCAGGTATCACTTGTGGCCGCACTCCAAACCTGGAAATGTCGTAATTGAGTCACTTTCCCTTCTTAGCCTAACGGGAATTTTTTCTCTTCCTGATCGGCGCCCCAAGTCGACAAACAAGGGCAGGTTCGTCAATATTAATTACTTTTATCATTTAGGGATTTTTCTTTGGTTAAATACAATATGATTAACTAACGTAAGTCAGATTCGAAAAATAAGACCGCGGTTATCGATCTACTGCTTTTGTCACGCAAGGAATAATTTTCTATGATTTTTCCCAAAATTTTTTAGCAATGCTAATTGTTTGTGTGGTGTATTAAAATACCTTACCAGCCAAGGCACACCTAACTGATCAGATCACGTTATGGCGACTCCCTTTTTGTTCATAATTTTATTCACGATACATAAATACTTATGGACACGATTTGAAATTAATTACTTTTTATCACACATAGAGAAGAGTGAGCACTCCGGACATACATTTAAAGAATGCCATGTTTTCTTCATTTTTTTCCTTCGTTATTCCCGCTTAGTCCATCGTGGTCAGGTTTCGAGACTGATGAGATTCGCAGAAAAGAAAAGATAACCTTTTGTGTCTATCCTTTTGAGATTCAAATTGTGTTATACTAGTTACCCACAGTGACTCATCTTTAACACGACCGGAACCTCAGTTCCCCTCTACTATTGTTATATCGATCATTCATTAAGCTTACGTTCCTTCCTCCGATATCTGATGCCCTACCCTGCTAAGCTTGTCACATGGGCCATCTGACAAATTTATTGATTACAGATCTGTGTAATTTAAGACTTAACACAAAATTGGACATTATTTTGAAAATAATTTTAAAAAATCCTTTGGGATTTGAAAGAATGGGTGCTATCTGATGGGATCTTAGAGATGTCTGAGTATTTATTTGACTAATTGCATAAACTTTTATTGTATTTGTGTTGATTGCCACTGACCAACTTGGGTATTGTGATGCAATACAAAATATTTATATTGTGTAGATCATGTCCAGCGCCATGCGTTTTTTACGTACTAAATTTCCTGTGGGGTGTAGATTATGGGTGTACCATATTTTTTTAGCCACATATAAATTAACTGCTGCATTCTTCTGATGCAAGGGTATTTTCTCATATGTTTTCTGAGAAAATGTTAATTTAAGATTGCATAGGAATTTTAAGAAGGGTGGAGGTTTGATTAAATGATATTAATCAATTTTCATGTTTCGTCTGGATAAATTTATATTCTCAATTCATGGAGTCATTAAAACTCAAATCTTTTGAAAAATAACATTTTAGAAGCCAGTGGGCTATTCAGAGGGTACTGCTCCTTAGTCTGCACTGACATGAATTCCATATGTCTGTAGTGATAAAGCCAATTGATGCAGTTTTATTAATTAAACTTGCCATTGATAAATTTCACAAAAGGATAAACCTCTTTTATGTTAGAAATGGCCACTTCAAACAGCAAAGGAAAAGTCACTATTATTGGCAGGTGGGAATTTTGACACAAATTCTTTGTCATTTATTGCTTACTTTCACCATAGGCACTGATTGTCACAATCCAAAATTAATTTGGAATCACTTTTCATTTCCCAATATGATTGGGCAATTTTGTGTGTGACTCCAGTTACATACTGGTAAGATGGTGAACGTAAGACCCTTTGGAGCTTGCTGTTAATATGATTAACTTCTTACTAATGTATCTTCTGGCATTGTGTTAACGTGAAACTCTCTGTCAAAGAAATTCATCTATTGTGATCACCAGTAGATGTGGTTGACTTCTTTCTTTGAAAACCATTTTTTAAATTGATTCTAGGCTCTAGAGTAACTTGTTCAGTTTTTACTTGTTTTGCTTGTGTCAGAAATACAACAAACTATATATCTTTAATTTTTTAATTTTATCTTGTGAGCTTTTAATTTTATCATTTGTCTTTTTTTCACCAGTGGGTTAATAGGAAGATCTTGGTCTGTGGTAAGTAATAACTGCAAAGCGCTCTATGACAATTTTTGTGTTAGTAATTGTTACAAAATGTAGTTTAAAGTTAGATGACTTAATTTGAAATCCCATGATTTCAGTTAGTGGGTGTGTTTTTTCTTCAGCTGCTGCTCGTAATGTTAGACACATGAAATCTTTTTGCTTGGGTTTGGTGCTGCACAAGTCAAATTTGACTAACCTCAGACTAAATTTACCCTTAGTTGTGCCATTTTTTGCAGATTTTCTCCAGTGCTGGTTTCACTGTTGCTCTTTATGATACAGTAGCCAGTCAACTGACTAATGCATTGACAAGTATTGAGTCCCAGCTGCGTGATATGGAGATGAAAGGCTTGATGCGTAGTCCAGGCATGACAGCTCAGGAGGCATTTAAGTTAGTTACCAGCTATGATGAACTTATAAAGGCATTGGATGGAGCTATGTACGTCCAGGTAGAATTCAAAGACAAATCATTAACCCTTAACACCCCAAAATCAGTATGTATATTCTCCATACTGTTCTCTAGACATTTCCTAAGATACTGACATGGAGAATTTGTTTAACAATCAAGATCTTCTTTAGTGGGGGATCAGTTCCTTTATTCTCCTGACCTTAGTGTTTGATTCAGGGGTGATATGGTAAAGAGAAATTAGATACCAGTCACTCCTAGGGGTTAAGGGGTTATTTGATTATTGATAAATAAAAACTGTTTGATTGAATATAAATATTGATCAATAGCATATTAATTTACTATGTTGGTGTTTCATTTTGGATTAGGAATGTACTCCAGAAAATCTGGACCTGAAGAAGAAAGTTTTTGAAAACCTGGATAAAAGTATTACTTCTGATGACATGATATTAGCTAGTTCAACATCATGTATAGTGCCTTCAAAGTTCACGGAATCTCTGAAGCATCGCAGTCAGTGTATTGTAGCCCATCCAGTGAGTGTCAAAGTATCATTAAGACCTTACTCATTGTTGACTAGACTAAACTTGACAAGACTAACTCACCTTACTTGGTGAGAGAGAAAAAGGAACAAATGAACTAACTCCAGTGATGACGAAAAACAATCTAATCTGAACAAAAACAAATTGATAAACCAGTCCTAGTAAAAAAGCATGCTTACAATGTTATTTATAAAATAATTCAAATAGTACGCACACTCTGATTGGCCATAAAACCATTTTACATGAGCGTATATAAACACGGTTTTTGTTCCTCTTTCATCAGTTATTTTGGTTTCCTATGCTTATCTCATGTTCTCCCAACCTCCTGCGTGTTTACATCAGGCTATGTAAACACGGAAACCATTTTACATTTCTTCAATATTATTCTTTGTGCCTCTATGTATTCATGTGCACATCGGTATTTAAACCCTTGCTCATTTTTCCTTTTGTCCCCTTTTACAACCTAAGATTAGAAAGCTTATTCTTCATACTGTTCTCCATACATTTCCAGTGGTGCTGTCAGGGAGAATTTGTTTAACAATATGAGCTTCTCTTTTGGGTGATCATTTCCCTTATTCTCATGACCTAAATGTTTGATTTAACAGTGGATATTGTAAGGAGAAATTAGATGCAATCACTCTTAAAGTTTAAAGGGTTTAACTTTATCACATTTTTGTGAAGATAACTTATTGCATAAGCACAATTACTTTTAGCATGATTTGCAGTGAACATTGTTTTTGGTTTTGCAATTATCAGATTAACCCTCCATACTATGTACCATTGGTAGAAGTTGTTCCAGCACCTTGGACAGACAGTAAAATTACAAACCAGACAGTTGCTCTAATGAAACAGATCGGCCAGTCACCTGTTGTAACCAAGAAAGAAGTGAATGGATTTGTTTTGAATCGTCTACAGTATGCTGTCATCATGGAGTCTTGGAGATTGGTAGAGGTAACAGGAAGTTTTGCATGGGGGATGGGCAGGTGATGGATGTTTGAGGGGGGTGGGGATTAGCTGGAAGTAGCACAGTGCCTGTTGTAGAGAGGTTGTCAAAATCCACAAACAAGATTAGTGTACTGCTGATCAAATTGGCTAGGTTAATTGGTGGTGTTTCTCGATTTGTGATAGACTTTCTCTTGTAGTGATGTGACTGGCTAAAGGATGACAATAACATAGAAATTACCTTTAATTGGTTTGTTACCTCTAAGCACTTTTGTGTGCAATCAGTGTTTTAGTTCACCACATGTTAGAGTAATTGTAAAAATGAGGATGGGAAGTTATTCCAGATTGCACTGGTCTTGCTTTCCTTTTCAAGGAAGCAGCGTACCAAGTGGTAATTAGTTGGAACAACGTCAGAGCCATAAACTTTTAGGCCTGATTATTTGAACAAAAGTTTTGTTTAACAAAAGTGCGTCTTAAACATTCCTCAATATAGCTGGACCTTTTATCTGAACATTTTATTTTGTAAACAGCGTCAAGAAAGCCAAAAGCTGATCGTGGAAGGACATTTATTTCATTAAAATCACCCCTCTCTAATAGAAAGCCTGAGGCCCACTGATTGCATAAAAACGTGGTTTGGGCTAGACGTCGAGTTAAAAACTGGTCCTTACTATTCTTTCAGTAAAGCAAATCTGTCTTTTTCACTTGCATTTTCCTGTGATCGACGCTGATTCTCTGTCCTCACTTTGCCTGAGTTTACAGTAGATTTATTGTTTCGTCGAAATAAGTACGTTCTCACTTCAGTCTATTATGGTATTAAGCAATTCAAATTTCTAAAGTGATGTATGGTAACCTTACGAAGACACATGATAGCATGTTTCTAGTAAATTAATATTTTTTCTTTTTCTGAGGATGGCATTTGTTCGCCTGAAGATATCGAGACCGCAGTGACAGAAGGTCTTGGACTGCGTTACGCTCTGATTGGCCCATTTGAAACCATGCATCTAAATGCCAATGGTATGTTATTATTTAGAAGTTATAACACTTTTATTTTTCCCTACGTTCATGCCGACTGAGTTGGGGTGGGTGGGAGAGAGGGGTGGGGAAATATTTGTCTCGAAGCCTTTATTCTTTCAGCTTGTATCTCGAAAGCTATTTCCGGCCTTTCTACGACCCTCATGCGCGTATTTTTTTTTTTTAAGGCGCAGCCTTGGCGTTACTTCATTACTGTCTATTGGTTTTGTAGGAAAGTCATGCAACTTTCTCAACTAACCAGATAAAGTAGAAAAACCAATCGCGACTTGTTCATTCACGGTTGTAACAACGCGAAAGAAAGAATGATTTGAGAGACCCATCTGGCATTTGAATCTTACGTGATGTGTTCATTTGTTAGGAATCAGAGATTACTGTGAGAGATACGGAGAAAATATTGTGCGTGTCTGCGAAGAAGAAGGGGGACCGCGGAAATTAGCTGGTGATACGTTGGACAAGATTGAAAAGGTGTTTAATGAAAGCATTCCTTTAGATCAACTAAATGAAAGAAGGAATTTACGAGACAAGAGACTAGCAGCACTGGCTCAGCACAAACATCAAGAGAAAAGTGAGAGCGGTGCCATGTGACGCTTCAAGACCTGACTAGCGTTACAAAATCAGAATTTTCTTGTCAAGCAAACTACTTTCCTGAAAATCGTTCTTCCTGAAGTTGCAATGATTTTATTCAATAGCCGAGATTTTTTTAAAGTGATTCTATTTTCCTTTTTCGCGACCTGTCATTGTTTGAGATTCACAATGATTTATGAAAAACTCATAAATCGAATTAGTGCTTAGGGTACTTTGTGCATTTTGTAATGATAAGTCGATTTTGTTTTACCGATATGGGGAGGGTCACTGAGTCGTCTCGGACAGAATTATTTTCGAAAAGCTGTTAGAAAAATGAAAAGTTTTAACAATGATTATTGTTGCGAAATCCCATCCTTTCTTTCCAACTTCTTTGCTCACATTTGCGCACGCTAAGATCGTCAGCTTAGCTTGCATGGCATTACAGTGTATAGCAAAGAACGTAATGCAGTTTGTTCAAAAACCTACTTTTCCTTTCGTCATTGGCTGGGGTGGACTAGGTAAAAAACACACATGGGAAGGAATTAAAGATCGCACCGTGAAAGAAAGGGAAAAAAAGGAAAAGGAAATGAAAAGAAAGCAAATATAAAGAAAACATTTACTGTGCTTTCGGCACACTAAATTTTTAGGGAACAAAAATGGAGACTTTTTTGAGTAAATATAAAATGTAACTAGCTACCTCTAATTAATAATTTAAAGTGAATTTAACTAATTTAGTATCGCGAAATCGTGCTTTAACTTACTTTTTGTCTGTCTATTTTTGGATGAATGGATGTTTATAAGTACATACGAATAAAGCGTTTAATTGCTATTTCAATTTAACCATTAGCGTTTTTGTGAATTTTAGTGACTTGTAAAGTAAGATGATACAGTAATCAAACCGAGATGTTGATTCTGGGATTGACTTATTTCAACAATGGTTGATTTTTCCACCAATTATAACGGAAGTTTCGTAGGTGAAAGCGGCCCAATGATCGTGAAAGAGTTGTCCGTAAAATCGAGCTCGCTACTCACGAGAATGGTTCTCGTTAACCACAACCAAAAACAAAAAAAAGTGTTGACTTATTATCAATGACAACGCAGTATTCAGGAATATTTTACCAATTTTAGCCCTGATACCCTCACTTTCAACCCCTCTCTCCTTGTGCTATGTTGCACCTGGTTTTTCGATCCGTGATTGCACGATATTGAGTGGAAGAAGGAGTGAGCTGCACTTGAATTCAAGTTTTTATTTCTTAATACCTCCCTAAATGTGGCTGCACGAATGTTACGTGTCGACTAATTTTGTCGCTGATTTTAGTTCGCAGAGGAGGGGAAGTGCAAAGTGGACGAGAACATCGAGCCAAGGGCGGGACAGGGGAGGTTCGCACTCACTTTGTACTTTCTCCTGTTGGTCTGAAGCGAAGGAAGTGCGAAGGGCGCCGCATACGCGAGTAAGAGCGCAAGAAGAAACTTTTCCACCCACATGTCTACCCCCTTAATAAGCTCGCCTCGCACTTTTCTCTGCTCGTCTCGGTGAAATGCGTATCTTGCCCTAGCCTCGCCCCGAAGGTGAGGCACGAACTGATCGCTGGGGAAGAGGTCCCAAGAATATCATCTCCTCGCGTCTCACCGATCATGCTTGCAACCTGCTCGATGTGAAGTTAATTGATTCAAATTAGTTACTAGTTTCATATATTGGTATATTTTTCTCCGGTATCGCGTGGAATTTCAAAACCAAAGGAAACTTCTAAATCTTAACCTTGAAAAGTAAGTGCCCTATCCACAGCTCCCTGATTGAGAATGTGCTGGTGTTAATTTCATCGTGAAAGCGGTCGTAAGAAGGGCTGCTTGTATCCATAAGAGAGCATCAAGTGATTTTTTTTCCGCTGGTGTCTTTTTTGAATGAAACCACAAGTGTATAACCTTCAATAATGAGAACCCAATATTTCGAGTTACTTAAGCCTTGTTTGTTATTTAATCAAGGTCTTCTATCAGTTTAAGTTGGACGGCTTTGTCGATCTTTTTATATCCTAGAAAAAGTATCCTGATTTTTTTAAGATTGTCATTTGCTATCCGTATCATTCTCCTCTATCCCAGTACCAGTCCCGTCTGCATTTTTTGCCGCAATTGTCATATATTCATCGTTCTATTTTTCTACATTGCAAATTTCATTTTTTTTATTTTCGCTTTCCAACAGGAAGTTTCCTTCCTTACGCTCAATTCGCTTTTCGAGGGCATTTTCCCGAACCCTTTTCCCAGATTCTACATTTAGGACTTTCACTTTTTCATTTTCATTCACTCGCCTTCCCCATCGTTAAACAATATTTTTGCACAGCGGATTGAGCAACTATGTAAATGTTTCGATTTTCACTGTTTTGTTGCTGGATGAAGGAGCCAAGTTCAGGAAAGGCATAAAACGAGGGAAGATTCAAAATTTGCTTCAATCTTAAGGTTTTTGTGTGAGTATTTTTGCTTTTAAGGTAAAGGTTTTAGGGTAAAATCAAGCTTACTGAGTGAAAGCGGATTGTGGAAGTGCTTTCTGTAAATCAAGCTTCGGGCAAGATTTCAGTGCTGCTTCGAAGATTTCGTTTTTCAGAATACTTATATCATTCGTTTCAAAAACTGGTTGTTCTTATCGCGATGCACTTTCCATGTAAATATAAAATCGATTTAGGAGAAACCGTAACAAAATACCTCGTAACTGACTGTAAATATATGAAAATCATATGCGTGAAGTGCAAATAAAGAAATGAATATGAAAGCGATCTTCGCAGTTATGAACACTACTGGCCATTAATGACCAGCTCCTGGTTTGCTTGTTAGCTCAGTTGTTAGAGCGCTGCATCGTTATCGCAGAGGTCATCCCGTACAGGCCTGAATTTCTTTTTCGGGCGTTATTTTCACTACTGCCTAAGTAGTCTTCATAACTGCGAAGGTCGCTTCTATATTCAAAATACCTGATGATCTTCATGAATCTCATAGAAGTTTTAATTTTTGTGGTATTCCTTCTTGTTAATTAATTATCGATGGTTTGATTTATGTATCGCTGAGAATTCTTAAGATAAATTCTTGTCATCACAAAACGTTTCACCCGAGCACAGGGAGCAGAAGAATAGAAATTTATTGTTCTTTTCTCATAAGTTAACCGTGTAATTGTAGCGTGACTCGATTTTGTTGATTGATCTATGATACATGCGATTCTAATACGAGGTTGTTGAAACCCTGTCTGCAGCAATGGTCGGCTAGAAAAACCCTTCCGCTCGAGGCATGTTCGGAAAGCGAAGATTTTCCTGCGAATCACGAAGTGCCCTCTCTCTGACTAACGCTAATCCCTCGGTAAGTACTGTTTGCGGTTTTCGTTTCGTGAATATAATTAAACACGCAATCGTATGTTTCAACGGTAAATCAACCTTATCAAATTTTCTGCAATTGTACAGTTTTATTTGAATGGAAATCCAGTTAACTCAACTCCCTTTCTCCCTGTAATCTGAGCGTTTGGTGGAGATTTTTCTACGCCTTTGTATCGCAATCTCCATCTCCATCTGGGCATTCCCGAGTTCAAAAATCCACCAATTTGGAAATGATGTTTTGTGTAAAGCTTTTCTTGTTAAAATGGGTTTTATTTGCATGGAATAAAAATAAGTTTCGTTTAAAGGCCTCGCGCTTACCTCGTTTTCAAGGAGAGGCAATTGGCATCTCGCAATTTTTCAAACTCTGGTGATTACTCGCCTGCTAATGAGTAGCATGTAAGGGCATAAATACAATGAAGAAAACAAATTGCTTTGTGAACCCACAGCAAGTAATCAAGTTAAGAGAATTTTTGGCGAAAAGTTTAGCATAAAGCATTTGTCAGTTTGGTAAAGTTTTTTATTTCATTCACCATAATACCCTAATACTCAGGCTACTTTTGTGCTAAAAAATATATTGGCGCCACACCGGGTATAACTACCAACTAGTCTTCAATCGACTACGGCCACGGGGTCCCGAGAGACTAGCTCTACCGCGACGAAGGGGACGATGGGAATTTTACTCTTTCCCATCTTCCCCACGCTTCCCACGTTGCTTAAGATTAGAGAGACGACTAAGGACGAGTGAGGCATATCAGTCTCTGGATTATCGTATGACGTCTTAACACGGTCTTGTTTTGCTTACTCAGAGCTCGGGTATTAACCATGGAGAAAGAACATATCTTGAAAGATGTCTTGAAAGCCGTAGACATGTGTGTATCCGTGGGACTTTACTTTGCGAACATTCACCATGATCACGCAGCAAGAGAATTTTACAAGGAGTCGACGAAGCTGTTAGAGTTCATCGAAGAATCCTTACACCAAAAAAATGCACCACGAAAGGTAATGGATCAAATAAATGTTAAACTGACACTTCATTGGAATAATTTTATACGTGAAGCACACTGACAAAGCATTTCTAAGTGAATTTATGACCTTATGCTTCCTCTGTGCGACCCAATATTAGCTTTCCTACTGCAATTTAGAATCACTCCGAAATTTCAACTAAATTAACATCGCCCAACTTTTTAGCCTGTAGTGATCACACACTGAATAATTGTAGAGCGCCTTATCACGGCTTTCTCGTTATTCCTCAGAGCGCAGCGTTTAAAAAGGACGAAGTAGATGTCTGCAAAGCTGCGGATAAAACAGTGGCGTGTTACTCTGAAAACAGCCATCGCAGCCAAGCAGCCCCAGAATTCTATAAAGAATGGTTGAACCTGTTGAGATCGGTCCAAAAGTCCTTCAGTTTAATATCAGAAGCAATACCTGAAGTAATACGAAAGACTTTGTTGGGCCCGAGAAATGAAGAACCACGAAAGGTAATAGATCACATGATAATGCTAGTACATCTTGCCCTCGCTGAGAGCGAATCGTGCCTTGGTAACCACTTGGAGTCAAAAATAAATGCTGAACTTGCTTTTGCAATTGTCTTAAATCACGAAAATGCCAGAAAAGATATAGCTCGAGCGTGTTACAGAATATTTTGGAAGTGTTTTATGAGTATTGAGCGATATGACCAAAAGATTGAATGTCTCATGAAAATGCTTGCAATTACCAAGGAAACTGGTGACACAGTAAAAGAAGCAGAGGTCTATTTCCAGCTAGGATTATGTTATTCCTTCGTAGGTCAAAAAGAACAGGCAGTAGAGTTTGTTGAGAAATCAATACAGATACGTCAGATCGATGGACACCAGGGGAGACTAGTTGATTGTTTAAACCTACTGGCAAATAATGTGCTTTCGTCAGGCCAGCAAAACGAGGCATTCGAGAGACTGCAGGAAGCCCTTCGAGTCAGCGAAGAGATTGAAGGGGGAATGATTAAATCTATAGTGCTCATAGCATTGGGACATGCTTATAAAGATATTGGTCAATACGATAAAGCAAAGGAATATTACCAGAAAGTGATTCGAGTCAGTAAGGAGTTTCATGTCCCAGACTTAGGAACATGGGCCTACTATCACAACGCTGAACTTCTCATTGAACTTCAACAATATGAGGAATCCATGAAGAGCATAGAGAAAGCCCTTGAACTCTGTGAAGAAGGCAATTTATCAAAGCAGACCACACTCTCTAAAGGCGACATTTATATCACATTCTGTAAGATACACCTACTGCTTGGCCAACACGATAAAGCTGACGAATGTGTAAAGCAAATATTAACGGAAGATTGGCCCAAAAATAACTTGGATCGGTCTGTAAGCCTCTTTCAGTTAGGTTCCTTTTTCAGTGTAAATGGGAAATTGGAACAGGCATGTGACATTATTTCTGAAAGTATCAAATGCTATGA